ATTCCCTTTCTGCTAGCCTGGGCCTAACCTAACCTTACCCTCCATAACTGTAACAAGTGACATATCCGAACCCTCAGATACGCGAAAATGATCACGGGAAAAAATCTATCCAGTCCAAAAGCATATCCCTATTTAAAAAAAAGGACTTACATTGGATGTAGGACCATATTCATCACGCATGCTTTCATTCCGTTTCAGACGTTTCTTCAGCACACCGATAAAGATGTTTATTAAACTTTAATATGCTTGTAACACCAACTCCCCATCTCACCTACAACCTTTTGAATTTTCCCTCCTTTTTGCCATTTTTTGGTGTCCCAATGGATCGAAGTCACGATAGCTCAAGAGCAACGGCGTATTTAGCCGAAGGTCGTGGATTCGAATGCCGCTCTTGGCACTGACTTTTTCATTCAACCAAAACCTTACATAAAAGATTAATTAATTGAAAGAAGTAAATTGGTCAATAGAACACTAAATATAGTGGATTTAATTAATAAAATCATTATAATTAAATTTCTATATGACTAACAAATCAATTATAACCTTCCCAATTGATGTTAACCAGTGCCTTCTAGATCTAGAGACACATCCTAGCCCAATGAAGTTGTTCATGAAACTTTAACATGCAGTCACAATGCTGATTATCACACTTAAGTATTACACATTAATAAGATTATTTTAATTAAATTTCCATATTACCAGCTAACAAATTATAACCTTCCCAGTTGTGGTTTTCTAGTGCTTTCTAAATCTCATAAAACTTCCTCCTCGCCATTTTGAGACACTTAACCTAATTTTACCCTCTATAACTCTAACAGTAACCTAACCCAACCCACAGATACGCGAAAAAATTCTTCCAGTCCAAAAGCGTATCCCTGTTTAAAAAAAAACTTACATTGGATGAAGGACGATATTCATCAGGCATGCTTTCATTCGGTTTCAGAGGTTTCTTCATGTTTATTACACTTTAATATGTAGGTACTGTGTTAATAATCTCACTTTTTAGAGTGCTGACCATAGCCCACCCACCATTTCTCCCGTACATGAGATTTTTTTTTTTTTTTTTTTTTATATAACTTTCCTTTAAGGAAAGCTAACTTATGGCCTTACGTTAATCATATTAGCGCACATGAGATTAGATCGCCATAACAAGTTGATTCATTTTACCTCCAGACCGATGGGGGGGGGGTCAAAGGGTTAATGCAATTTCACCCCCTCACAAGGTGTATTTTTTCAATTTTAAATGTTTTACCCTATTTGACTATCCTTTAACGGTTTTTTCACAAGGTGAATTTTCGATTTGTAATGTTTTGCTATGTCTAACTGCTTGCCTGTTTTGATGAGGGTTCTTTAATCACTTAGTTTTTTGTGGATTCTAAAATCGAGGAGTCTGTTTGATGTTATTATCCCGAGTTTCTCTGTCTATTTACTACTATTATACCATTATGCCAAACAGTGTGAAAGGCGTTTTGTATATCGATCAAAGCCATGCCAACATGATTCCTTATACCAAAGGCGTTAAGTACCACGATCCCCCGAAATGGAACTAGGCAATACAATAAGCGTGGTATAGGCTGCAACTCCTTCCATATCAAGACAATTTGAAATTGCCGATATTTCTATTAGAGCTAGTGAGAATTAACTGACCTCCGATCGATATCCGTTAATCCTTTTCAATTAGAATATCCTTTCAAATTGTCCAGCCGGATATTGGACCAACACTGGGAACAGGTGTCCAGTTAGTCACAATTTACACAATAAACCTCCTTTATAGTCTTATCCTTTGTTTTCTCCTTCACAAAACATCCTTAATCTATTCATCAAACTCGTTCTCACGAATTTCTAAAGTATTAGCAATATTGGTAAATGATTCTTAGTGTTCGTTCCAAAAATTCAATAACAAGACTTAAATGAAGACAAACGAGCGAAAATGATCAGTAACGATTAAACTACAAATTTAAATGTACAAATGTGATCACTGTACCTTTTTGTTATCACACGATCACAGCACTAGCTCTAATGCCAGCTTGCACCAGGAGGACACATGCTAGGAGAAGACCTAACTAACCCAATGCTGGCACTCAGATGACGGATTAAGGGGCAAGGAGGTCTGGGATGGTAATGTGTTGGTTGGTTACGTTGGATCGAGGCGGGTGTGATACTTTTGGAATCGGGACAGACCAGTTGTTGACAAAAGGAGTATTGAGGTCGTTGTGGATAGTGAGATTAATGACTAGTAAGGAGCTTAGACGATTTGTCTGAGGACTTTGCATTAGAATGATTGGATGCGCTGGATTTTGAATGACTTGGCAGAGCGCCACATTTCCACTCCACTGAAGAAAATTGCCCAATGTGGTCGCAGTAAACTCTTGTATAACGTAAGTAGAGTTTTAACGGTCAAGATGGATTTTGATCCTAGGAGTCTTCGTAGTTGTCTAAGTCTTCTGTTAAGTAGTTGACTTTTAAGTTTTCAGTGGGAATTCCACTCGGCTGTCTAAGTGTAGTTCTAGTATTTGACTTGAGAGGAAGTTGGTCTGCTGTTGATGTAAAGTCAGTAAGACTGTTTTTTCAATGCGAGCGTATACTGAGTACATTTTCCTTCATTCAGTCTTGTCCTCCACTTTTTGCATCAGTCTTCGATAAACTAAAGGTGTTTTTCTATATTAGAGGTAGTTTGGGTAGAATTCGATTTAGAGGACAGAATTTCGGTATCGTCCGCATAGGTTGTGATGATACATGGGGTGTGCAGGAAAGTCAGCAGTACAGATGATGTAAAGAATGGGACCAAGAATTCTCCCTTGTGGGATGCCGGTCTGTATTGGTTTGATTTCCGAGTACTCGTTGCCACTCCTTATACTTAGATTTTTAAAGAGGGTTTAATTAATGCTATATTGTGAAAAGTACAGTGATTTTGTTGCGGTTGTCGGCCAGACTAAGGTTTACATCACCTTTCATCACATTTGCCATTTATAGCTACTACGTCATCATTTAAAGCTATAGTAAGGTATCTTAGCTTATTTAGATTTCACGTCGTCAACCACCAACAACCACAAGAGAGGCTGGATTATCCAGGCAACAGTCGAAGGGTTAACCCTTTTTCCTAGCTCCTTCCTCAATCCTTTCCTGGCACTTTGTTTTGGAATATTTTGGCTGCCATGCATATTGATGTCGCTGTTATTCATTTTCATAAAAAGCTGTTGATGTCTTGTGCCCACTTTGTACGGTATTGACCTATTGAATTATTTCCGAGGTGCACTTTCGTTGATGGCTTGTACTTTCGACATGTTCCAGAGAAATTGGTACTCTGCGGCCAGCACAGAGAAGAGGAAGGAGGTCAAACAAATTGATTTATTCCATTATTATAAAACGTGTAAGTGGAAATACTGATTGTTAAGGTTATGGAAGTTCCCCTAGGACACGTAGGAAAATAATAAAAACAAAATCTGAAAATTAGCAAACAAACAGGGTAAAACTTTCCAAATAGAAAATACAATTTGTAAGGGGGTGGAAACTCATTAACTCTTTATTGCCCTTTGTTACTCTGAGGTCGTCCCAATTAATTCCAATCAATCTGGCGGTTAAACGAATTAATTTCTTTTCCCTAAACAGGGACAAAACACTCATGTATAAGGTTAAGGTGGCCTAACCTAATCGTTCCTAATTTACCATAACCTAACCCGTCCAAGAACCGATCTAACCTAACCAAACCTTTTAATTCCAAGTGACTACTTGCTTTGCATATATATATATATATATATATATATATATATATATAAAGTGTTCCTTAACCTGCCTTCTAGGTCGAAGTGTGAGTGTTAATTATCTTTTACGGTACTTACAAATTTGACGGTTTAACTTGAAAAAAAAATCTCATTCTGGTTAGGATGAATGAAAACGCTGAAGAGAAGGAGCAGTTTTCCTTGTCGGACGTACCCTCTAAGGTTTTATTTTTGTTATCTTTAACTACCGGGTCAGTCCGAAGTAATCACATTATTGCCAACTCGTATATTTGATAATCGTATCGTAAGACTGTAATTTTTTTTTCTAGGTCGTCCACAAGGGTGGAGGTGGGTTCGTTTAGCGAGATTGCTTCCTAGGCTTCTAATCACTTAACCAGAACAGAGTACGGTTTTTATTTGGACGGTCGACCCATTGAGAATGTATTGGTGCCCTGACATTTTCACGCTCTAATATTTTCACCCATTTCTTCCGCGGAAAAGAGTTTGATTACTGGATTACGGATTACATAATGTTATTATCTTCGTATCTTTGCGAATATTAAGTGTCCGTACGGTCATAAAAATATAAAAGAAATTATGAAACCTTTGTGTGAGAAATGTAATATACTCCTTTTTAAATGGCAGTTCCTTTGGCAACAAGTAGCATTGGAATGCATCCAATTTTTTCATATTCTACATAAAAGTACGTTCTCTTAAAAACAGATTTTTTTAAAAACTCAGCACTTTTATCTCGGCGGTGAAAAATATTTATAAAACTACTTATTTTGTTTAGAACAAAAATGCCTCCTCTGAGAAGTTTCCAGTTGGGTCTGGCGCCAAACAGGGTTGCATGCGGACTCCACTTCTGTTTAGTCTCTTTCTCACTGTCTCCGGCGACCTAGGTAGGGGTGGTCCATGTGAACAAGAATATGAATAATTTAAAAAACAATTCTTATATAGTAGATTACATGATCGCGGAAATATTTTTTACAGCATCCTACAAAGTCTCAACAGACTACAAAGGAGAAAAAGAATTCAGGGGAACATTAGATAAAATGATATGGTATACAGATGAGTCTAAAACACGCGAAGGAACCTGATCAGGCGTTTTTGGTGAGCAATCAAACTCCTTAAGAACTACACTTCGGTCTTTCAAGCTGAATGACATGCTAGAAAACCTTAAAAGAAGTTAATTAGTGAGGTAGAAGATAACTTAATACTCTATGAGAACAGGGGATAATAATAAATACAAAGGCACATGAAAAGTGGTGATATTATTAAATTACATGAGTGATTATTTTATATTGTAGGGTAATATTCAATTTGGTTAACTTCTCTTTGAAAATTTTGTACATATAATACAAGAGGATCCTTTAATACAAATACTTAAAATGAAAATGGTAATTTACTTATTAGAAAGAATATTTCTATTCACTAATATAATCTTTAATATTATTCTCACTAATAATACTATATATCAATACTGTTCTTTTTATGGATTTGCCAGTCTATACGTACTTTGGATTTGGCTAGTAATAATCGCCATCGTCTTTAAAATCGTCGTCCCCGTCGAAGTAATAGTCGTCAGCTCCCGGGGGGACGAAAATCCCGTCGCCGACTTCCGATATGCTCTCTCCGAAGCCCAGCATCTGCGCAAAGCCGTAGATAAGCCTCATGACGAGGAGACGGACGAAATTGACGACATTCGTCTCTCTGGGATGTCTCTTGAACTCTTCGAAAGTGAACGATTCGTCCGTTTCGGCATGTTCGCATTGGACCTCCACCAGCTGAAAAGGAAATGAAACGTTGGGGTATGAGCAGTGTAAAGACACACTCCGCACTGGACATTAGCCATGTTTATCATTTTCAGCGCGAAATTGGAGTGAAACATTCATAACCTTCTCAAACAGTGTTGCCACCTACACTTAAATAGATTCATTTCACCGCCAGACTGATCGGACTTGATCTCAGAGCAACTAACGCAATTCACCGTACTCGACAGCCGCCACGGGCCTTCACGCCAGCACACGGCACTGCGCACACCTGATGTGTTCAGCCATAAGCTGCCTTGACAGTCCACGGCACTCAACAGCTCCTAAGAACCAAGTCAAGCTTTTTCTTTTTGAGCCCATGGTCTGTCTAAGGCGTCTATACTATGAACTGAGTGTATCGGCAAAACGGTGGTCGCCTGGGTCCCGGGAGGGTAACGAAAAGGAAACTAATTAGGTCGTCCCAACCTCCGTACCTAACCCATCGGAGAATTTTAATCGAAAAATAGCCTACTAATAATAGGCCATATGAGATTGACACACAGGTCTGGAGGGTAAGGAAAATTTGGCTAAGGCTGGGAACGAGCTTACGAGAAGCTCCTACTCCTATGATTATACAATCGATAGATGACCCTTGGAGGATATGAATCTAAGAAGAGGAATTACCACACCCAACTAAGAATAGGTCATGCGAGGTTGCCACATTGGGATGGAGGGTAAGGGAAATTTTACAGAGTCTGAGATGGAAGAAAAGCTTCTATTTATGAAGAGCACAGTGATAATTGGCCCTCGGAAGTTCTGAATCGATGGATTTCATTTACCTGACTATGATTAAGTCATGCGAGGTTGACACGTAGGTCTGAAAAGTGCGAAAAGGTGCATAAGGAAAGGACGTACGAGTGGTTCCTACTATGATTAGCAGAGTCGAGGATCTGAATCGTAGGATCACCCGATTGAAAATAGGCCATGCGAGGTTAACCGAACACTTCCTTTTTGGCCAGTACCCGCGCATTTGTCCGCCATGTTGAGAAAGGTCGATGCGTCCCATTGAATTGAAGGATATCATTCCAAGACATATAGAGAGCGTCTAGGGTTTCTACCCAATATGAAAATAATGCTTGAGTATGGCAGAGCGTGTTTATTGAAATGAAATGTATTTATTAGCGTGAATCCGTATTGTAGTAAGTCAATAATCAACAAAAATTAATTCTTAACTTTAATTCTTACCAATAGGTGTAAGGCAATTATTGAAAACCTAGTTATATATCTGATCATCCTCTCATTCTTTCCTGCTGAAATTATCGCTGATATATCCAATAAATTCGGAACGTAATGTTCACAGCATCTGAAAAATAAATAAATAACAATATATTTGTAAGGTTTTACAAGTATTAAAAAAACTGGTGTTAAGTTAACCGTTTTTACACTCTGATGTAAGAGAAGGAATAAAGTTTGTAGGTGGCAACAAGGATTGATATAGTTATGGAGGTTTCACTCCGATTTCGCCCCAATAAGTGATAAAAAGGCCGAAACTGAGAAACGGACAGGGTAATACCTTGAATTAAATACACTTTGTAAGGGATGAAATGGCATTAACCCTTTCACGCCCTTTGTTACCCTGAGGTCGTTACCAAGTGAAAACGTTTCGGTTGGACAAACTACGGCCACAAATACGAAGAATAGATTAATTCCTGATGTTAATTTATATTAATTATATGATATAACTAGGAAAACAAACGAAGTGACATCATCGTTAATTGCATCTGTTATTCAACCGCATCTTATCCTTGGGAGCATAATCCTCTAGGAGCAAAGATTAACTGTGACCTCGCTACGACCCTAAGAGGAAATATTTACACTTGTACATCGCGCAATAAGTTCAAAAAATGGATTTCATGGCAAATATTTTATTTCAAAATGAAACGAGCTGCCTCCTTGGTTGGGTTTTGATGTCTTTCTGAGCCGCCAACACGGATTTTTGTTGAATCGATATCGTTTCCTGGTTGATTCAGCAATTAACCTTAACACGCCAATTTATTTTAAGTCATTCGCGGCTGATCTAGCAGAAATCTTAAAGGATACGATCTTATCCCCTTGCAAGGTGTGTTTTCAATATACGAAGTTTTACGTTGTCTGTTTGAATGTTGGCTAAACACTATCGTAAAATATGATTAATTGACATACACACATTGAACGGCAGTAAGTAGTTAATTGTTTCCACGTATACATAAGGAAAGCTTGTGGTCGTATTAAATTCAAAGGTCATGGTTATGGTTAGAAGCAATCAGGTTAGGTAGAGCATGGATGGGCTAGGTTTAGGTAGGTAGGAACGGTTAAGTCAGGAAGAGTCATAGACGATGTAGGTTTAAGTAGGTTAATAACGGTTTGGTTAGATAAGGTAATGGACGGGTTAGGTTAAGATAGATTAGGAACAGGTTAGATAGTAGATGATGGGTTTTGGTCTTCGAGTCGGTGAACTCATGTTGAACCGGCACACGGCTGTTTTTGTTTGTTTGAGTTATTGAAACAAAAAACCCGCGAGTGAAGACAGACCCAGTAAGTGGCCGTGTGCCGGTTCAACATGAACAGGTTAGATAGGTTCATGGACTGGTTACCTTAGGTTCACGTAGATTAGGAACGGTTTGGTTAGGTCAGGCCATGAACGGGTTAGGTCTAGGTAGGTTAGAAACACTTTAGGTAGAGTCACGGAGGGTTGGATTCAGGTAGATTAGGAGCGGTTTGGTTAGGTAGGGTCATGGAAAGTTAGATTTAGGTAAGTTAGGAATAGTTACTTTAGATAAGGTCATGGAGGATTAGAGTGGGTAAGGTCCAACTTGATCCAGATTATTCATGACATATCGTGAAGCGGAAAAATATGCAATTTCGACTTTTTTTTATCCTGTCCAACAGCTGGCAGTTTTCGTTTTAATCATTTCCCGCGCAAAATCGGAGAGGAACCTTCATAACCTAATTAATCAGTGTTGCCACTTAGAAGTTTCAAAGGGTTAATGTCCTAAAAAACTGTCCACGTCCTAAAACACTGCAATTTCAAAATTATTGTAAATATCTGATCTTCCTGAATAGTAGGGATCTTTTTTTCTGCCTAGTCTCACTTCTATCGGAAACTATCCAAGCAAGTTCTTCACCCTAACGAGCTAACGAGGAAATTTTAAATATGGAAGAGACCAAGATAGATGTCTATTGTTTTTTACTTTTACTCATAGTTTTTTTTAACAAAAGGTAAATTTTCTCAAGTGGGGCCAGATACAAGTTCATAACATCCCACTGTAGTATATCAAATCCAATGACAACACACAAAAGGTGAAATATTAAACAAACTATAAGATCAGTTAGAAGAAGTGTACAAAAAGAACACATAAGTTTAAAAAAAAAATTGAAACAATATCTTTACATGGAATATTAGGGAAAAATTTGGCAACAGTTAAACACATAAAAAAAGCATTTAAAGCGTCGAAAATGAGTTGGAAACTTATGTATTTTCTATGAGAGGGATAGTTAATTGATTGATATCTGTCTCACCTGAATAGCTCGAGGGTGACTGATGCCGGGCTTTTGATTTTGTTGGCTCTCTCGACGCCGGCAGAGTACTGACATCACGATTCTCTGTCCACTTAAGTCTAGCCATTGAATAACGGTTCCTTCCCTAACGGTTCAACATCTTTTTAAACCGATTTTAAAGAGTAATTACAAAAGAATAACGAATTGTTTTGATTACAGAGGTTTTTCCTTATTCTTTGTAGAGTCTGATATTTTAACCTGAGGTTGTACGAGATTGTTTGATTTTTCAAATTTTGGCTCGGGGTTGCCTTGCGAAAAATATTTATTAACGTTTATTAAGGTTTAACTAAGGTTTATCATTTGAACCAAAATGGTGGTTAAAAGCGATGACCGCATTTATTAATTGCCTTCATCTGTGAAAATAGGGCAACCCGGGATTTCATGGTGCAGGGATTTTAAAACGGCAAGTTACCTTCAAATGGGATGACTCTCCTAAATGGTATTGACACAAGTTCCCAAGTTTCCCTTCTACTAAGATGCGACATTAAAGAAAAGTTTATGCTAGGTATTCCTAATCGTTCTAGTGTCAAAGTTTTCGAATGATTCATCCAAGTTCAATTCGAAATTGTTTAATCCCGAAATGACAAAAACTGAATGAATAGGTGTCAGATTCGACTCGGAGTTTCGACCGGTGCCGTTGTCGTTTCCTGTAACGTTATAAAGTGAAAGTGCATTGACATCTGACCTATTTTCCCCCAAGAGGATCATTATCCACGAACCTCTGATAGGGGACGATCGTAAATCATTAATGATAATTTGTCATCGCTTTTGTGTTTTTTCGACCCCTGGCCCTAGGGCCTTTTTGATTTTCCGTCAAAATTGCTCGCCTCATGAATCTATTATCGGCACTTGAGTTGAAGATAAGATTATGCATTCTTAACTACTTCAATAACAGCAAAAAAAATCTCACTGGATAAAACAATAAATTATACCGGCCCATATAAGTTTCGCCTTTTAAGCCAATGTTAGCAACATTTGGATAAAGAGTTTTGAACTCATTCAATGTTCATTTAAAATCCTCCTCTAATGGACAAATAGTACAAATAACTTGGAAGTGTTCATTGAAACAATTCTGATGTAACGGATTTAACGGTGCCGGTGATGAGCTGCATTATAAAACACTGATTATTATTCGATTGGATTGCGTCCTTCGACCCTTTTTTTTACCCTTTCGACTTGGAATAATTCAACCGGAGGGGCCGACACGGTGAGGAAATACGGACCAGATCGCTGTTTGGAACGGCTTGTGTGCCTGAAAATATCAAAATCTTCCATGTTTCCTGAAAATACTGAATCAGGAAGTGAAATTGGATATCCAAAACACATATTTGTTCCAAAGAGGACTCCAAAAATACACCCAGAATAATCAGCCATGATGGTGGCAAAAATCTGAAAATTTAAATAGTTTGAAATTGAAAAGAGGTATGGGTGGAAATCACATTGGGGCCTATGCCGTGCTAATTTAGTGACTGGTAATTTTGGTGGACCTGAGAAGGGCCGGTGTTATTGTGAAGTGTAGAGCCGTTGGTAGAGGTCCGGGGCCGTGGAAGTAGTGAGTCGCTTCACTCTGCATGGGTTGAAGGGATTCTGGTCCAGCAGTTACCCGAGTGCAGCGGTTGGCCGGTAGCCAAGTCGGCTGTGATGAGAAGTCGAGGTCCAGGCTAATGCTGCGAGCGCCCTTGCTGTCGTTATCAGTTTGCTCCATTAGTTATTTTTGTGACCTCGTCGGGAGACGAGTCTCTAATCCTCAGCGAGAGCTGGACGAGTAAACGAGTCTGATGTCAGTGGGGCAGTGCCCCTGCTTAATACATACATGATTGGCTGCAAAGTTGAGGGCGAGGCCATTCCAGAACTGGTGGAGCCGCCTAGCGGGTACCGTGGTAACCGCAGGTGGACACCAAACTACTACTTGTGCTAAACCGACATAAGATCACCAATCGGGTCCGTCTTCACTCGCGGGTTTGTTGAAATACTTGTAAGTGGTCCCAAAATGTCAAGCATATATTGGAAATAAGGCCTTAAATCTGACGGGTCGCTCACCAGGGGAGCAAAGAGACGTTTCCAACAAACCTGGAGATCGTAGGAACGATACATGGAATAATCTATCCACTAAATAACTACTCGACTTTCGGAATTATTTAGTGTGGGAAATAAGTCGCAGATACAGTTCATCTAGCTGTGAAACATCATACATTTGAGATCACGATAAGCCGGGTGGGCGATATACATCTTCGCCGGATGTCCATCGACTAGGAGTAGCTGTGTAATAGAAACTCCCTCAGATTCTATCTGGCACAACAGTTTTTGCTTTTCCTTTCCTCCCTTACTCTGGTTGGAAAACTTGTATAAAATGGGTTGATTTCGAACATAAAGTCGAAGACAGTGGCCGAGACACCACGTCGACTGTCCAAGGCAGAGACTAGTCGAATAGAGTCGACTGTCGAAGTGCGGTCCGATGTAGGACGATTCGACAGTCGAGTGTCAAGGAAGCAGCAGACAGACAGACTCAGCCAGCCAGAACCAGGAGGACGCAATGAGAGCACTCAGTGAACAGTAGTCACAGTCAAGTCGAGGACTCAGTCAGAGCATTCAAGCAGCCACAGAACATCTGGGACTCACCCAGCAAGGACCAACCATTGTGACAAGTCGAATAGAGGCGACTGTTGGCGAGGGTTGAGGACCCAGGAGACCTTCATGTCGAGAGACGTGGTTGTAGAAATCCTTCAACCTGATGATGAGCTATGGGCTCGAAATCCGGATCGTTGGGAAACAACTTACTGTGAGTAGGAACTATCTTTTTAAAAAGGATTGATCATGCTATCATTATCCACCCAGTGTAATGCATTGCAGAATGTTTGTTTTGCCCAAAGTGCCCTTTTCGCGTATGGTTTTCTATTAGTGATCTCCATCCTGGCCAGAGGAGGATCTGTAAGACCATATATGGGCCCCGAGCCTATTCGCGGGATAACAAAAACAAACGCAGAATCCTCCATCACAGAATGGATCCAAAAAAAGACAAAAGGAGAAGTGGATAAACGCTAGGGCGTTGCACTGGACTAAGTAATAGGAAGGCACAATAAGCCAGAAGGCTGCAGTGCTTGGGGAAAACTACGTGGCCACAAGATAAGTCGCTGAAATCGAATCCTGATTACACGACATTTAAAAAATGGCAAAAAGAGGGAAAATTCGAGTTTTAGGTTGAGATTAGGAGTTGGCGTCCGAGTGGTTCGAAGTCACGATAGCTCAAGTGATTAGAGCAACGTCGTATTTAGGCGAAGGTCGTGGGTTCGAATCCCGCTCGTGACACTAACTTTTTCATCTCAACTAAGACCTTAGATAAAAAGAAAAATTAATTGAGACTATACATAGTATGCAAATAAATTCTAAATCAATGTACTCGAAGTTGCGATCCCCTGACATGCAGGCGTAATGTGGCGGTAATTATAAAAACAGTAAGTTATTCCGGAACAACATAACTTCCTTAACTATACAAGAAGAAAACCGCTCCAACTACAACTGTGCCATTTTTGTTGATAAATACTTACACCGTTGCTACAAAGTTGGACACAGAACTATGATATGCCACTTTTCGTGAATGGAGACAATGCCTTCCCACGAATTCAAAAGTGACACATGGAGGTGCTTTAGCAGGAATGAATCCACTTACAGTTGTCATTTATTCTGTGGCATCACACACCTGAATACATACTGAAAACTAAATAAACCGATTTTTAGAATTTTTCGACTTGTGTCACTTTTATTAAAAAGCATTAAATACCTAGTTCGTTCCAACTAATTCAATAAAACAAACTGTCCCGAAGGTTATATTCTATAATTAGTTGAAGTCGTGAGGAGCGGTCAAGAGTGAGGTAAATTTGAAAAACACCTTTTTAATTTTTTTGTACAGCGTTTCTACTTTTATTCAGATCATCTTTAGGGAATAAAGTGTGGTGCTATTGTTGGGTTTTCATATTGGTTTTCTGTCAAAGTGTTGTGTTTACAGTTTTTTTGTTGTTCTTTTCTTAGACTTTCACACAAAACCATACGACACCACAAGAATAGCACCGCACTTTTTGCTTTGAAGATAACCCGAATAAAGGTCGAAATGTCGGCAAAAAAATGAAAAAGGTAAAAAACTACCTCTTTTTGACCGCTACACACGACTTCAATAAATTATGAAACAACAGGTCACTAAGAAATCACATATCACTTAATGTTTGAGACAAAAAATGACATTTTCGTCTTTAGTTATGAAATACAGAAAAATAATTATTTCTTTTAATAGGTCTGTTGTATACATGTAATAAAAGGGCAAAGGTTAAAGATTTGAACTCGTAACATGACGTCATTAAACTCGTTTTTTCTAATCTCTGAGGCGAGTCCATGCGATAATTGATCTGATTGTGTGAAACCTCCGTTATTTCGTTTCAGCGTGTCGAAGTTCGATCCGAAATACTCGAGGCTTGACTTTTCGACGAGGCGAAATTCGAAAAGGCCCGAGGAAATTCGACAACCGGCGAGGCAGGTCAATCTCTAAAATTCCATTTTCGCGTTTCTTCTAGATTTGAGATGATCCCGATCACAGGCAGGAGCCCGGGCGTTGTACAAAGTTCCATCGCCACCGTCAAATCTTTCTACTACGATTCTTTTAAATGGTAAGACTTTTTTTTACAACGTGCTCTCGATCTTTGCTAAATTTCCTTTTTTTCACTCTTGGTTCCTCTTCAGTCTTAAAATACAAAAATGAAAAAGTTAGTGCCACGAGCGGGATTCGAACCCACGGACCTTCGCTCAATACGCCGCTGATCTACTAGTGGTGTCCGAGTGGATTGAAGTCACGATAGCTCAAGTGATTATGGTTCTATGGTTGACGATATCCTCATTGTCTACCCTCGGAGGTCTGCCATTATTTGTTATCCCAAATTAACCGTGGCATTTACTGTTTTTGTATAACTGTTGAGATTAAACTTAAATATTAATAGTACTTATTTTCAACTGCAAGTCTACGTTGTTGAAGAGGTGATCAATTTTATCTTATCGACATAAAGCTTGCCCTTTTTTTTACCCTTTAGTAACGACAATAATTACTTTTAAAAAGATAGTTCCTACTCACAGTAAGTTGTTTTCAACGATCCGGATGTCGAGCTGATAGCTCATCATCAGGTTGAAGGAATTCTTAATTATAAGTATAAAACACAGTCATTTATCATTTCTACGTCAATAATTTGTAATAGTGCTTTAAAAAAAATCTGATATAAGTCACAATTTCACATAAATGGAAGACTTTTAGTTACCGGCCAAGTTTGCACACCAAACGTGGCTTATTGTCTGCAGGGATTTGAAGTTGTTTGATGGTTTACATATACAATTCTTAAAATAATGATTATCCGTGGTGATTAGTGACCGTTAATTGATAATTATTCAGAAATCGTGAGATGCGGTCTGGTGTTGTAGAAAAAACATTTTCTTTATAGTGCCAACATTTCGATCTTTATTGAGATCATCTTTATATTTTTTAAAATAATTGTTTTTATCAGGTTGTTTGTGTTTTTGCAGATAGTAATGATAAAAAAAAGTTTTGTGTTTTCCTTTTCAGGAATATGGTAAAATGTGTGGTGATAGCAGGCCTGGGAGTTGGATTTGCACGGCAGTGCAGAGGATTTGAGCTAATGCCTCCTACATCGTAAACGCCTGATTAAACATAGCCTAAATACCGCCGGATTCGTTTAATTTATTCAGTGACTCCGTCTCGAGAACGCTTCACTATTTCCTTTTAACCGATTGTAAAAATGAATACAATATTAAATTAAAAAACGCTTTTTGTTATGCTTAATAAAATTCTACTCCGATAATTTTATACATAATTTACATTGTTAGATTCTTATTGTCTTAGTCAATAAAATGTTTAGTTAATTGTGTCTTGTTTTTTAATTCCTCTATAATTATCTTGTATTATTTACAGATAATTGACAATAAGTTTCTAAACACGTTTCATACAATGTGAGATAAATGCAAAGCTCATGTTGGCACTCACATGTTTTCTCAACAACATTGATATGAAAACTAACCCAACCTAACCTAATCTGTATGTAATCCTAACCCAATCCATATACTCTATCCATTAACATGAAAATGGGATCCACCCCAAAAACATATCCATGTTAAAATTAGGTCTATATGATCATAGAATAAATTTTCCGTGTGCATTAAGGTTCAGATTTCAGAGTGATGAATATGATTTCATTTTAATGGACTGGTTTCTCACGGAGAAATTATAAATGGGAGAGGGCTTTGTTGTTTCTTCTTTTCAGGTTTGCTACCTCACTCAGGTGCAAAAAAAGTTATTTTTCGTAACGGTCTACTATACCCTCGAGTCCTTTGTCTCGGATACCTTGTTTTAGGTGAGAATTGACACTTGATTTACATAAATTAAAGCCGATGGTAAGTAACATCAAGTTACTACAGTACGAAAGTAACTTACCATTACTTTGGTAAAAATTAAGATAAACACAAATACTCGCACTTGCATATTTTTCAGTTACATAGAGAAACATTGAATCATTCATATGAAAACCTGTACATAACCCTAACCTATTCCAACCCAACAAAAAACTGTGCTTCCAAGTGAAAAACACATCCATGTTAAAATCAACTTTGTACTAAAAAGTCTGGATATTCAGTAAACTAAAAAGACAGACCTACTTTGACCTAACACTGGAATAACAAACTCATAATATACAAAACACTAATCAGACCGATTCGAATATACCTAGTTGAGCTCAACGTTCCAACATTCAGTCTTCTGTTATATCAATATTCCCTTCAACGTCACTTACCCAAACCTTTCATGCTAGTGCATCTGTTATGAAAACAGAGGATCTCTGGATCTGAGGTTTCACTGTGCATTGTAGTGGAAGGATGAGGACTGTATTGTTTTAACTTTATTTTGGATTGAATCACATTGTTTATTTAATCCAAGGGAACGATTTAGTATAAGTAATCTATGTAATGTACATTTTTTTTTTTTTTTTAATAAACCTGACACTTATTCTGTATATTCATATTTGATTGTATTAATACAGTTATAATAATAGTTAAAGTGCAAGGCATTTTTTAAATTTTCAATAGCTAAGTGCTTGTTTAATTATTTAATATTTTTATTGGGGGATTAATTTTATTTATTTGTAAGATTTAGAAATATCATGCAGGGTATTAGTTCTAATTGTCCTAAATTACATTAAATTGTATTCAATTACATCTTATTACATATTATTATTCGTAGACATAAACATGGTCTAATCTAGTATTGTAGGTTGATGCAATAGTTATTTCTGTAAAAACATCATTGCAAGTATATTATTTCTTTGAAACCATGTATTAAAAAAAAAGCTTTGATTGTTGCACACTATATAAATTTTTTCATTCATTACCGTAAGTACTACTAGTCAAGAAACCTTTATTAATACATAAACATAGATAAAGCAGTCAACCTTTAGCTTTTGTCCAATTAAATGACAAAGTTTATATATTTTGTGACTAGTGTTGATGACTCGATTAATACTTATCTAACCGTGAAATTTTTGCCTTCTTTAACAAATTATTTTTAAGAAGTTTGTTGTGGGTTTTTTTACAGGTGTTCAGCAAACAGACACCAGTATGTTACATTTAAAGCAGCAAATAATAAAGGGAAAAAAATCCTAGAAAATTTGTCAATCCTAATCGCTTTCATTCTATTTTTGTTTGCGATATTTATCGTCGGCCTTGGCGGAGGTGGAGGCAGTCCATGGTTACGAAGTTCCTTTGTTCCCTTAAAAAGGAGTAAACAAAAAATTTATATAATTTAATTAAATGTTTTAACTATTAATTTAGTTATCTACTCCTTTTCTAATATTTCAGCATGCTACCAACTAAGAAAGACCTCCTCTTGTAACATTAATTATGAATTAATAATTATACTTTTTTTTTAACAAGGATTCGCAACAGCAGAGGTCATATCAACCCTCGGGGCGCCGATGTTTTTGAAAAAAAAGCCCATTTGTAAGTATGTCGGGTTCGAATGCAGGGCCGCTGGATTCGAACCTGGGACCTTTACCTTACAGTGATGAGTGCTGTGTCAACGCCTAAACCGTTGCGGCCACCGACGCCCCCGGTTCCAAGTTGTAAGGACAAATATAGGCATTTAAGCTTATTCCCCCGTACAGAACACACCCTTAATCAAAGTTGGGGAGAATAAGGGAGGAAATTAGGCATTTACACATACTAAATCAGACAAGGTGGCTGGCACAACAGAACCAATGAAAAACGGGTTTACTGGATCCAAGCACAATGTGGATTATTGTGTGTTCAATATTAGTCCAATTCCATCAGTCCAGGATTGTGATTTTTCTAAGTAGTAAATGGACCAATTTTTTCAAGAGTTTTAGCAAGGTTATTGGAAGTCATTGTGGGATTAGAAATTTTATTTAGATGTTTCACAGTAGCTTCTATGAGTTCTGTATAGAAAAATTGAAAATATGTAGGAGAACAGGAAGTATAATAGAAAGAACATGTATTAACTGTACAGGTATATCATCACAACCAACTGTCAAAGCTGTTAGGGTCAAATGAAGGAAGAGGTTGTGCGGATCACACATAGATGATATAGTCACTTTTTTTCTAAGGTAAATAAATTAAATTCTCAAGCCAAAATATTAGAGCCCATTGTTTTGAAGTAGTTCAAAACAGTATTAGAAATTTTGTCGATGTACAGCTCACAGTGGATGTGGTTAATAAGAAGGGATATACAATTTAGGAGGCAGTATTACATGTTGGAGGGGCTTTGGGTCAATATTTATTTTTATTCACCTCTCTTTCAGCCAATGTTGTAGGTTAAGTGCGAGAACGAGATCTTTATAAAGGATAGTATAGCAGTTTGCTCCAAAACCGAGCATGGTTCATGAGCTGGTATTTATGGAAACTAAGGATTAGAATAAATATAAGACTTGGGCAATTTGCCACTGTCTTTCAAGCGGAGAATATTGAACACAATGCTAAGGAGATCAAAAGGTTAGGGATCGTTAACAGACAAATAGCCATAGGCAGCACTGAATGCAATACCACAATGGTAGTAATGGATAGAGTTGTTCGGGATGTATTACAACCTGTCATTACTCGAAGAAAACAATAAAATTACCCCCCCCCCCAGGGCAGAGGGGCAAAGAAGAGGCCCCCTATTGGCCTTGAACTCTTTAATGCCATACCAAACTGCCAAAAATGTGGATCCATTAGACAATGGATTAAAAAAAAGACCTCCATTCAATGGGACTTTAGCCCCAACTAATCTAATCATATGTAGATGGGTGGCCAGTGTGGATTATGTCGGGATAAGTCAGCCGTCTACATAGCATACAGAATACCACCAAGGATACCACTCTTGCAGAAGTTCTTTGGCTGACCTCCTCAACCCAGAGGAAGTAGATGAAGGGAAGGATGCTTTTGAGCAGCAGCAAACTGGACCCTATAAAAGAAAGCACCTGGCCAGTGTTTCAGCTCAAAAAAGAGATTGCTTCAACGACACGAGAAGCTTCTGGAATGTGGTGTTTACAGAAGCTAAAGTTATAAAATGGAAATTCTAGGATTGGAAGGATTCTTTTTAGAATGAGCTTATCGATATTTCATAGGATATCATTTGAAATAGACAGTTTTATGGAACTTTAGCTTGGCTCTTTATAATAGAAAACTTCCATTAAAATGAGTTCTAAGGACAGTATTATAAAAATATTGCTTTTTAGGGAAGAGTCAATGGATTTCAGCAGTTATTAGGTAGTATACATTAATCCATTCAGTAGGTTTCATTTTGGTAAGATTTTCAATAATCTGGACCTGTTACTACCTCAGGGCTCACTCCTTGGACCATTTCTTTTTATACTCTTTATTAATGACAGACATGAAACTTTATTATTAACTATGATTTTTTTTCAACTTATTTTGATATTTTGTATTCTGTTTGCATTTAAAACTTAACCTAACTTTAAACCTTAACTTCAACTGGTAACTGAGAACTATTTACACTCTGAACTTTGGCAATTGGTTGATCATTTACTCACTTTATAATTCATGCTCGATATTTTGTCATGGCTGTTCTTTTCAGGTGGTTTTGTTCCTTCATTATCTCCGAGGACAATGTTGACCAAGCAATATTCCATAAGCGCCATGAATACAAAACTTACACACAAAAATCAAGTTAAATATCTTATTAAGCTGTCGATAATCTCAAATGCTTACACTGTGCATACAGACATGAAAGCATCGACTGCTTTTATGTAAGACACGGGTGGAAGAGACGCTTGAGACTTTGCGTGCTGAGTCGAAAGAGTCAACAATGATGTTACCCCCAATGTAACTCTAGCGGGTGCTGCCTCAGGTTTGATCCAGAATGAAATCCACTACAATGCAAAAGTGTCGTTATTTTTTTTAACCAGCTATCAGGATAAAAGTTAGATATAGAAAATACTTACAGACATTATGACAATTAAACAAGTTGGGAAATAAGTGTGAAATAAATAGTAGCCTAGTCGTCTTTTTAAAACGAACACGACTTCCAAACAAGTGAAGTTCCCTAAAAAGTGTTTTTGTCTTGTTAATACTTTATTACATAGGTCTTATATTGGAATAAATACTATTACTAATGGATGATAATTCTTCTGTAGAGGAAATCTTGATGAATAATACATAAAAAGCGGCAGGACGGGGTCAGACCTTGATCTTATCCATCCTGCCGCTGAAGTCAGGCTCCGGGGCTGCCATCTAGGTCATTTCAGCCTTCAACACATGCAGTTTTTAAACTTAGGCACACTCTCATTTGTTCTTAAACATTCTTTCCTATTTAAATACCATTCACTCAAATAGGGTCAATGGGATTCTGCATATTCCATCAAGGGCCATTTCATGCTAGTAAATGCATTCCCTCCCAATACACACAAAATCTACAAAGTACCGTATACATTACTACAGACCTGTTCCATCCGTAAATCAGGAGTTCTAAATATTCACTGCTCAAGCACCCTGGATCAATATAGTTTTTTGGAACCCTTTCTATGTTGTGGGAAACATCAAGCAACATTTCTCTACATGCTTGACAAATGTGCTGCTTTTAGCCCAAAAGTAATTGTTTGTGTTTCAACCTTACATGGCCTATCCTTAGTCAGATGGTGATCTCTCTTTTTTTTGTTCAGATCCTCCAAGGGTCATCTATCATCTGTTCTCATCATAAGTAGGAGCTTCTGACCTGCCGATGCCATTTCCCTTCAATCATATTTTTATTGCATTTTTGTCATCAGAGGGCTGTATCATGGTAGTCAGGTTTGGAGGATGGGATGTCCCAGCCTTAGCCACCTTTTCCTTATCCTTCAGACCTGTTTCAACCTTGCATGGCCTATTCTAAGTCGAGTAGTGAGTCCTCTTTTTTTATTCAGATCTTCTGAGGGGTACCTACCAACCCGTGCTCTTGATATAATATAGCTTCTTTACCAATCTAGTCCACATACTGGGTTTGTAAAAAAGCTCTATTATATCAAGAACACGGGTTAGTAGGTGCTGCCATTTCCTTTTAATATTTTTTATTACATTTTTAACGTTGGAAATTTGGTCCTTCACCTTTTCATTGCCCTCATCCCTAAGTGTCGAGGGACCCAGACGACCTCCATTTTGCCAAGAAGCTCCAGTTCATGGTGGTATCTCTCCAAAAACAAAAGGACGAGAGGTCTACAGAGGACCTGTCGTAGAGCAATAATCACACTGAGGGTGTCACTGCAGATAAGGTAAAAAGAGTCTTCATTTGATGATAAAGTGAATACTAGAAAGTGGGGGTTTTGTGTTCTTTTTGTGCTTTTCCTAGTTCCTCAAGTACATTTGACTCACTTTTTCTTTTAAGAAGTTGTAAAAAGTTGAGTCAATGCCCTGAAATTTGGAGAAGACCTAGTTTATATCTATTGATTTGGTGCCAGTTCCTCCTGGCATAACCTACAAATGAGATCATCTTTGTATATACCCTTATTTAGACATTTTCTCAGATACCAGTGACTGTATATTAGCTATATACTTCCCTGAATTGTATTTATAACATTTTAGAGAGAAAAATTTTTCTTATTAACAAATGTCTTTTCTTGGTTAGATTTATTTCCTCTCCTTTGAATATGCTGTGAATTAAATACAACAATCAATAATTAGTTATTTCTAATTACCTGTTGAGTAAACCTGAGTGCAATCTGCTGTTTTGTTTTTAACGAGCTGCAATTGTGGTAGTTCAATTTTTTCATCGACAACCAAAGGAACATCCGGATCCCATTGAAATATCATATCGTCAGTAGTATGAGACACTGTAAAATGATTTCCCTTAAAAATCTGACAATTTTTCTTATTCAAAAATCGAACATAACTTACAACTTTCCATCTGGAGCTTACATTCTTGCGTGTCATGAGGATAAATCATAAAATTCATAACACAGGAGAGCCTCAGCGTTAATCTAATTTGTACATTGAATACAAAACGGGTAAAAAAACTTAAATATATGATTCGAAATATTTGCGCGAAATCTTACTTCACCATGTACAGTATAGTCTTGTCTTTGTAAAGCCACATGTAATGGTTTGGAATTGTCATCGTTTGAAATGTCACAGACTTGGCATTTTTGAAAAATGAGTCAGGCCTCCACATATTTTTCAGCCAATCAACCTCAAGCAATCTAAAAAAAATAAGATAATTTCCACTTATAAATCGCAGATTGAAATAAAAATTAAAAATGCCTGTATTCGGATGTCATGTTCTCCGGTAGTCGTAGCCTGTAGTCTTTCCATGTTTGAGCAAAAAATATGTCAGCAACATAAGTCTAAAACAAATTTGTTAAAAGAAAAGAAATGTTTAAAAAGTACTTTTATTTAGTGTTTTATTCCTGACCATGGAGTTTTCATCAATCGAATCCAAGCCCATCACAGTGACATGGAAGAAAACGACAGTAGGGTTGCCGTCTTTTTTGGGCGGCCTCATTTTGTCATAAAGTTTCTGGTCTTCTGGCAAAATATCTTTGAACGCTAAACTTGTTGCAATGCTGAAATTGTTTCAATTTTTAAAACTGATGCTAAGTGAATAAAACAGAATTACTTACTGGCTATGCACCTGTGCTAATAAGCCGCATAAAATCACGATGCACTGCCTCTCTTTCATCGTTCATAAATCTAAACAACGCATTTTACTTTTCTAACAATAAAAAAATTATATAAAAATTTCTAAGGGAATAGCATTGTAGTGTGATATTTGCAGGATTTGGTGGATAGGTGTATTTTTCTTTTTTGTTTAACAAAAAACAGCCTATTCAATTAGCAGGATTAATTAGACAATGGATATATGATCCATCTGCTAGAGGTGGTTGGATTAAAAGAAATAAGAATCAAAATGTAAATAAAACTATGGAACTGTACTGAAATACGAGTGTCAAATTTTTTTAAGTTTTGAATAGTGTGTGTGTGAACACTGAACAGTAATGGGGGGGGGTCTCCGCAACGTTTTAGGCGTTGACACGGTGCTCATCACTGTAAGGTAAAGGTCCTGGGTTCGAATGCAGGGCTGCTGGATTCGAACCCGACATACTTACAAATTGGCTTTTTTTCAAATACACCGGCACCCCGAGGGTTGATATAACCAACAGTTGTTAATTTGTATTTTCATGTGGTTTTTTAATGTTAAATCTTTTGTGTTTCTATATTTCACAGTTTTGAACTATGTTCATTTTTCATCCTTTTTGTACATCATGTAGTTGTTTTCATGCTTGTCTATACTGGTGATTATGAAAATACAATCTATGAAAGAGCTAGTTTTTTCCATCAATTTAACCCTTTTTAATCGCAAAGGTATGAGATGTAAGCAGGTTAAGGAAAATTGCTGCATTTGAAAAAAATAAAATAAAATAATTGGGCTTTTATAAGACGACATGTAAATTATTATTATTATTACTTTTTAGTTTGTGGAAACTTTGTTAAAACCAAAATCAATAAAATACAAAGTGTACAATTAATACAAAACATAAAATTCATATTTCACTATATGGCATGGTAATAAACTGTCTGAAAATCAATTACAATTACAGTTAAAAATTACATCAAATTATTTATAAAAACAACTAATTCTTCTTTTTAATTGAGAGTTTTCCTAAATATAAAATAATGGCTATAAAAATTATGTAAAATAAATAAATAAATATGTATATAGTCATTTGAGCTCTTGGGGTAAACCATTGAGCAATCTGCTCTAATGTGTGAAACACTGCAATAGTATTTATTTATTTGAACGGGCAAATCCCCCCCCCCAATAAAAATATATAGCTTTCTTTCATTTAATTAACCTTTTTCAATTTCAAATTAACAATTTTTAACTTTAAATTAATTTTTTTTAATTAAGCCTTTTTAACATCAAATTAACTTCATTGTACTTTAAATTAACTTAGTTTTACTTCAAATTAACCATATTTAACTTTAAATTAACTTCATTATACTTTAAATTAACTTCGTTTTACTTCAAATTAAACCGTTTTAACTTCAAATTAATAATAAAAAATAACCAAATAAATATAAAAGAAGTAAGAAATAATAATTTAAAAAAAATAAAAAAATAAAAATTTAATTTATAATTTGTCAACATTATGTTGTAGATATGCAGTTCAAATTCAATCAACTCTTTCTAGATTCAAATTAACAATTTTTTTATTTCATTTTTAATTTCAAATTAACATTTTTAATTTCAAATTAACAATTTTTTATTTCGTTTTTAATTTCAAATTAACAATTTTTTACTTTCAATTAACTTTTTAATTTGAATTTAACCCTTTTAAACTTCAAATTAACTTTGTTTTACTTCAAATCAACCATTTTTTACGTCAAATTAACTTTGTTTTACTTCGAATTAACTATTTTTAACTGTAAATAACTTCATTTTACTTACAATTAATTTTTTTAACTTCAAACTAACCTTTTTTTACTTCATTTTTAACTTCAAATTAACCTCTTTTAACTTCCAATTAACCCTTTTTTAACATCAAATTAACTTCCTTTACTTCAAATTAATTAATTTTAAAAAGTTCATAAAATAATTGGGCTCTTAATCATATGAAATTAATTGCTATTACTATTAAAAAGTATATCAAATTAAATATTAAAAACAAATTATTATTCTTTTTACTTGAGATGGTTTTACAACCTACCGTTGCCGAGGTAGATAATAAAGAATCCCTTTTTTGTACATCCTGACGGCCATTATTTTGCCCATTTTATAGTCTCTAAACCCGCCCGGCACTAATAAAAACAAAGTGTGAAATTTTCATCGAAATCAATTCAGTAGTTTTCATTTTTACCAATAACACACGTACGAACATTCACTTTTAATATATGGATTTTTTCCTAAGTATAAAATACTGATGAAGTGATGTTATGTTCTGCTATAATTTCTTGGTGTATTTCTATTTAAAATGTTGTAAAAATAATTCTACGAGCATGGTTGGTTTCCTAGTCAGTTTGTCCGTTGAATTTGAAATAGCTTTTTGTCGTGATTTGTGTGTATTCTTTGTCACAGTTTTTGTTTAGTATCTTTCGAACAATGTCCATCGTTTCCTTTACTCGCGTTGATGGATATAGGTTTTTTTAAGTTAAATGATATTAGTTTAGTGGTGGTTTTTAATTTGCACGTCTTTGATCTTCATAATTGGTCCGTTAAGATTTCTTAAAATATGTGTTTTGTTTAGGTTGAGGTCTGTTTTGAGTAATGTTATACTGAGTTTTGCGAGTTTATAGTTTACGACTGATCTTATGGGTATATTTTGTTTGTGTATTTTTGGGAGTGCTGCGAGTTTGCGATTTTGAGAGTTCCTTTCCGGTTTATGATTAAAGGAGATTTGTCAATTGTGTCTGAAGCTTTTTGTTAATTTATTTGTGGGGTATTTGTACAGTAAATGTTTTTTTTCTTTTTAATAAAATTATAAGCACTTTCGACACGACACGCAAGAATGACACAATTACACAGAAGACAAACACTTTGAGCCCTGAAGATGATCTCAATAAAGATCGAAACGTTGGCACGATAAAGAAAATGTTTTTCTGAAACCTACATCACACCAGACCGCATCTCACGATTTCTAAATAAATAAAATTATAAGTTTTGTCGTCAAGTATGAAACCACTACACAACGTACATAAAGTACGAAAAATGAATATACTCGAAAATCTAGAAATATATGAACGTAAAAGATTCAACACTAAAAAAGACATAAACACGCCAATTAACAATAACTCACAAACATCGTTTACACCATTTAAAAGATAGCACAACTTAAAAAGAAAAAAGAACCGAAGAACAAAAAGACCGACTAGAACAATAAAAAACTCGACTAAAACTTCACTCCACAGAAATCACCCAAACTCAACAATGAAGATGGCGAAAGCCGACACGCGTCCGACTCATAAAAACCATTTTAATTATAATTAATTTTCATATGGTCTTTTAAGAGATCACTTATTTTACAGTTTAAAAAAAAAATTCTCAAATATACAGGAATTTTATTAAATAAGCTTATGTTTTGTACCATCTCTAAGTTTTTTTAATTCTTGAAAGAACGGTCTAATTTGAAATTAAAAAGAGTTATTTGCAAATAAAACGGGTTAATTTGAAAATTAAAAAACGATTAATTTGTAGTAAAAAATGGTTATTTTGGAGTTAAAAGGGTTAATTTTAAGTTAAAAAGTTGTTTCCCTTTATGCAAAGCATATTAAGCCATATCCATGAGTTAAAAAGGGTTAATTTGACAGAAAAAAATCAGTAACATCATGAATTTTTAACATCTTCTAACCGTTAGATACTTAAAAAATTTCTACAATAAAAATAAAATCACCTGGTCTACTATAAGAGCCAATATATTTTATAGTTAAGAAAATTCAATTTAAAAAAAGAATAATGTGTTTTTTATGTACTTTTTAACTACAATAGTAATTAATTTTCATATGGTCTTATAAGAGCACATGTTTTTTTTTTTTTTTTTCAAAGGTAGCAATTTTCTTACAATTTTTCCTACTTACATATCATACTATCTACTAAGTTTATTAAGCCTTTAAATAATTTTGAAGTTAAAAAGGATTAATTGGAAGTTAAAAAGGGTTAATTTGAAAGAAAACAGCTGTAACATCATGAATTCTTAACATCTTCTAACTTTCAGATACTGAAAATTTTTCTAAAATAAAAATAAAAATCACCTAGTATACTGTAAAAACCAAAATATTTTATACGTCAAAAGATCTAAATTAAAAAAAAAAAATTTGCTTTTTATGTAATTTTTAATTGTAATTATAATTAATTTTCATATGGTCTTAGAAGAGCACATTTTTTAAAACGATCCATTATGTTTTTTAAGCCTTTAAATAATTTGAAAATAAAAGGGTTAATTTGAAGTTAAAAAGGGTTAGTTTTAAGCAAAAAAAATTATTTCGCGTTAAAAAGAATTAAATTAAAATTGGATAGTGTTAATTTGAAGTTAAAAAAAGTTTAATTTGTTGTTAAAAAGTGTTCATTTTAAACAAAAAAAAGCTTATTTGACGTTAAAAAGTCGATGATTATTCGGAAATCGTGAGATGCGGTCTGGTGTGATGTAGGTTTTAGAAAAACATTTTTTTTATCGAAACGTTGGCACGATAAAGAAAATGTTTTTCTGAAACCTACATCACACCAGACCGCATCTCAAGGTTTAAATTAAAATTGGATAGGGTTGATATGAAATTAAAAAGTGTTAATATGAAGTGAAAAAGGGTTCATTTGACGGTAAAAAGCTATAACATCAGGAATTCTTCATTCGTCTTTTAAATCTACCGAATTAACCAGTTAAAATTTTGTTCTGTGACCAGAGGACAAGATCAAGCTGCAAGTTCCTCCTCTTCGCACAACTCACCACAATCTAAAAACCTCCGAGGTAGTTTCTCATTGAAAAACCACAATTAAATTTGGCTCTTAGGACCCATCTTTCCAAACGTTTTTGCCGTATTATTATTTGTGGTCATGTAACGTTAATAAGTAATTTCTATACCTTTGAACTCCTTGCTAAATTTCAATGCATCAACTGGAAAGACTGAATTTAAGTTTTCACCGTCGCGGTTTGAAGGCATAGAGTTTAAGCCGGAAGGTACTTACTTCCTAAGCCGGCCGAAGAATACTGACGGAAAAGCAATCGATGTCCTACTTGTCCCATCTTCAGCACTCTTCAGCCTTATCCGTTTGCCGACGGCTGCAGTCCCTTGCTTACTCCCCGCCCACCCAAGACACTTGACGTTGAAACATCTTCAGGAAAAATACTTTAAATTTTGATTATTTATTATTTAGTCGTTAAAGATTCTCTAAAAGGAGAAAGAGCCTGAAATGAAAGCAATAAGAGGTTTATAGAAAAAAGGCTTTGTTCCTTAAGAAGAATACAAGGAAAATCCACATACGTCAGCTTATCTTTGAAAATCCAAATCCGAGGGAGATTATTTTCAATTTGACCGTTTAAACATTGGGCTAGTTAATTTTATCCATCGGATTGAATGACAGGGGTGGAATCGATATCAAACGGGACGTCTATTGGCCGCTAATTTCTGCTGGCTGGAGCAATATTTTCTCGAGCCACTTCAACGCTTAAAAGGGCTTGGCTGAACTTTATTATTCTACCCACCACCGTTCTAATTTAAAAAGCAAAGAAAAATAAATAAATGGATATGACTGTTTTTATTGTTTGGTGTTTACAAGGAGGTAGGGGAAAGTTTAGATAAGGAGTCATATGAAGATCAGAACAGCCATATTGATTATATATCAATTTGTAGAAAAAAATAAAAAATAAAATCTAATAAGTGTAAAGAGATTCAAGTCCAGTCCGTTCAAGAAAGAGATTGATGAGCAACAAAGGACTTAATGAGTATAACCGCTTAGAAGCGTTTTCGAGGATTGATCGGAAATGGTTTGGGATGCTTTGTTTATTAGGATGAGGGTCGAGGGTTTTATAGAGGTGTCTTGTCTTCTAGCAGCAATGGTTCGAACAATTCTGGACTGGATTCCTTGAATTGTTGAGTATTCGTGATGATTTTATTTGAGGCTAATCGCGCAGTTAGATTTTCCGTCGCTGTCCCTTAACAGGTCCTTTGAATCTTGCAAAATAACTTAATGGACGATGGGTACACAATATTCCGCGATCAGCCATCTCGTACGTCACATACTCGTCAATAAATACATTCACTCTCACGCTAGGAACACAAAGCTGTCAGTATTATGCAATAAAACAATCCTATTTCCTCCAAAAATCGGAACAGGGGACCCAGAACACACGCTGCCGTGCACAAGCATAATTGTTATACTACACGCTTTCTATATGAAGCCAAGAAATTGCATCCTTCAACAAGGTGGGGGACATCGAACAACCTTTCTTTACATACGAAGGCTTTGTCCCAAAAGTGTTGTCATCAACCAAGCTCAGCATATTCTTAATCGGGTATGGATGACCCCTCTTATACGACTCAGATGAGGAGGGTCTCTACTGACTGTGCTCATCATAAGTAGAAGTTTCTCGTAAATCCTAACCTTAGCCACCTTTTCCATAACGAACGGGCCCATGTGTCAGCCTCATATGCCCTATTCTTGGTTCGGTGGTGATCCCTCCTTTTTTATTCAGATCCTCCGAGGGTCATCTACCGACTGTGCCCATCGTAAATAGGAGCTTCTCATAAATCCTAACCTTAGCTACCTTTTCCTTAACCAATGAGCCCATGTGACAATATCACATGCCCTATTCTCCGGTGGCGATCCCTATTTTTTCATTCAGATCCTCCGAGGGGCCTACCGAATTTAGCTCTGATATTCTCCACCAATCCGGGCCACCAACGCTGTCACTTTCTTTTAATCATGTTTTAATGCTTTTTGTGCGTCATGGGTGGTTAACTTCGTAGCTTGGGACGTCCTGGACTTAGCTGCCTCGTCCGCCTTTTAGTTACTCTCCAGACTTAATGTCTGGGTATCTGGACTACAAATACGGTTTTGTTGAGATAATCAAGCTTGTGGTATCTCTCCAACAAAATGGTCGACGGAGGACCTGTCACGGACGGCAATAATCGCGCTAGGTCTCGAATCAATTCAAGCGCATGACCAGTCGCGACTATGAAGTGGGCGCCACACCTTCACCGATCACACACAGAACTGTAGACAGGCGAAAACCAGCGTACCAAGCTCGGTGGGTAGGGACCACCTGGTTACCAGGAGGGCCCAGGGCGAAGTCTGCCGATTGCCCAGCTAGAGTACCGTTCCTAGTGTTATCCCTGCCCTCCCTAAACCTTTGCCGATGCGAATTCCCAAGGGGCTGATCTATTCTACTGTACTGGTATTTAAGGATCGCACACTAAAGCGCATTTCCCGGTTTGGCCAGAAACCCCGGCGCATAGCTGAGAGCAAGCTGCTCTCGCCGAAGTTCTGGTACAGGCTGGCCATTAGTTTTTTCTAAATGTGCCGCAAACCGCTCAAAGGCCTTGATCCAATCAAGTACCTGTACCTCTGCAAGCGCGCTTTTCGGACTGAAGTGCTATGCAACCATATAACGAAGTCTAGTACAGTGATTTCCATGAGTCTCTTCCTGTCCCCACCTAAAGTGACCGACGAACTTTAATAGTTTCATCACTTTTCCCTTCGCTTTGACGGCGTCAATGTGTGGCTGCCATTTTAACTTTTGGTCGTCCGTGAGTCGGAGGCCGAGGAACCTCGCCCCTCGGGCAGAGATGTGGAGGACTGTGGGCCCTTCTCAGCCTGCAAAAGTGGACTGACACGGTTCTCGACACAGAGAAGACATGTCCATTTAAACAAATCAATAAATACTAAGAAAGTGTTTCACAAGTATGAGTGGATCTCCACAGCACCTCACAAAGCGTTCCAGGAGTGCATACAACCATAAAACAGCTATTTATAAAAATAAAATTCCAGACATTCGGTTGTGAAATAAACGTGAATATAGGGTGAAAATGCGTGGATTACAGTTAGTCACACAATTAATCACGAGGGCGTGGTTTCAAGCAAACATGAAACATTTCACAAGAGATATCTTATCAGGATAGATAGTCATTGTTTCGGAAAGGTGTGTATTATCCAAGTTTCGCTCGGACGAATAAGGTGTCAAAATACAACCCAAAAACAAACTTAAAAATGGTCCATTACGAAAAGTCAATAACCGTCATAAGAGGGACTTTGCTGTGCATGAACTTCGTCACTTGGGTAAGTCGATCCTTTGCAATCGGAACTTTTTCAATTATGCCATCGGATAATCATAAAAATTCGGTTTATCGGGCAGATAATTTAACTACACAATGGCCGCTTCATTAGTTCACACTGCACTAAAAATTAGTCCAGGTTTGATCCCATTCCAAAGGTTTCGATTTTACTGGATACAGCATAATCAGTCCTTCCTATTTGAAATTCCTCGTATGCCAATACAACACAAAATATTGATGTAAACATCAATTATATTACATCAATAAAAGGCAAAATTGAGGCAGGCTGAAGCCATGGAACGCTTCAACAAGATAAGTTTTCTCGTTGATCTCAATGTTTGGAATTATCTATTGGTCTTTCTCCAAACAAGAAAAATAAGAAGTTTTTAAAAATCAATTGCCACTTCATGCGCCAAATCCGGCCCACTTGTTATTTTCCCCCTGGCGGTTTTTTTCGCTTTTCCACTGCGTTTCTTATTTTCACGGGAACTTGTTTTCATTTTTTTTTTTAATTTTTATTAATTGTTCTACTACCTTCGTGACTTTTATTCTTCCGAACATCTCTTGTGTTCTATTTTTCATCTGTCAAAGTTTTCTTTTATTTTTCATTTTTGTCAGGCACAAATGCCATTCATTCAGGACTGACTGGAGTGCTATAGCAGAACATTTTCGCAATTATCCATGGGTTAGTTCACAGTAATACCCGGGAAATCTTTCTAATTAACCCTTTCTTCAAAGCAATTAGAAAACATAGGAAGCGGTATGAGATATAAACATGTAAAGTATCATTACTGTCTGTATATTTGCGAAGTTTTTTAAAACATAAAAATAATTGACCTCTTAGAAGACCATATTAGAATTAATTGAATGTTAGAGGAAATTCAATATAAAAATAAAAGATATTTCTCTAATTTCAGAATTTAAAAAGAAAATTGTTCTTATCTAAAATACCACGTGAAAATTAATTACAATTAAAATTTACCTATATAAACTTAAATAGAAAAACAATTAATTCGAGATGTTTTTCTACTGTAAAATAATTATTTTCTAGATCAATTATTTTATAATTAAAAAATCGAATTAATCGCAAAATCACTTATTTTTAAATTTCATTTTAGATTATTTTTAATTTTAATTGTAATTAATTTCCATGCGGCATTTTAAATAAGAACCATGTTATAGTTTAAAAAATAATAATTAAAATAAGAATCCTTTATTTTTATATGATTATTAATTTTAATTTCCAATTTTTCTTCTCAACCGTCTTTGCATAAAAATTGAAAATAATAATTAATAATGAATTAAATAGTGAATTGTAATTGTAATTATTAATTTTCTTATGATCTACTAAGAGCTCAATTAGTTTATATTTTTAAAAAAATTGCAAACATACAGAAATTTTACTTGACATGCAAATATTTCGTACTATCTCCTAAATTTCTTTAATGCCTCAAAGAAAGGATTAATTTAAAGTTGAACCGGTCCAATTTGAAATTAAAAAGGGTTAATTAAATGAGAATAAAGACTAATTTGAAATAAAAAAGCTATATTTAAAAAATTCGCAAATATACCGTAATTTCATGTTAGATGCTTATATTTCATTCCATCCCTTAAGTTTTTAATGCTTTAAAAAATGTTTAATTTGAAGTTTAAAAGGGTTAATTTGAAGTTAACAAAACAGTTAAATTGAAATTTGAAGGGTGAAATTTATGTACGGTTAATTTGAAATTAAAAAGGTGTTAATTTTAAGTTAAAAACAGTTGATTTGAAGTTAAATATTGTTAATTTTGAAGTTGAAACGGTTAATTTGTAATGTAAAAAGGGTTAATAGTAAGTTAAAAAGGGTTAAATTGAAGTTAAAAACGTTTACGTTGTAATGCAAAAGGGTTAATTTGAAGTTAAATATTGTTAATTTTGAAGTTGAAACGGTTAATTTGTAATGTAAAAAGGGTTAATAGTAAGTTAAAAAGAGTTAAATTGAAGTTAAAAACGTTTAATTTGTAATGTAAAAGGGTTAATATTAAGTTAAAAAGAGTTAAATTGAAGTTAAAAACGGTTAATTTGAAATGTAAAAAGGTTAATTTGAAGTTAAATATTGTTAATTAGGAAGTTGAAACGGTTAATTTTTAATGTAAAAAGGGTTAATATTAAGTTAAAAAGAGATAAATTGAAGTTTAAAACGGTTAATTTGTAATGTAAAAGGGTTAATATTAAGTTAAAAAGAGTTAAATTGAAGTTTAAAACGGTTAATTTGTAATGTAAAAGGGTTAATATTAAGTTAAAAAGAGTTGATTTGACGTTAGAAACGGTTAATTTGAAATGTAAAAGGGTTAATATTAAGTTAAAAAGAGTTAATTTGACGTTAGAAACGGTTAATTTGAAATGTCAAAAGGGTTGATCTGATGGGAAAAGCTATACGGGTTTGCGTTGTTCGCCCCATATACAATTCTGCATGAGTCATTCGGTTTTATTTTTACCGTATATTTTGGGATCGTATTTTTTGCGAAATTATTTTGACTAGGCAAACACTATTTTTTTTGCTCAATACAAGCCGTTTGAACAATGAATAGTTTAAACTAATTGTCAAACTGCACGTTTTATTTTTGTTTTGTTTTTAATTTAAATGTTTTATAGATTACTAATCCGTTTATAAAACGAAAAATTTTTGGCCCTAGGCTAGATGATGTCAAATAAATTTTATAAACGCTGCACGTGTACGCACTATAGTGGATACATTTAACCTTAAGTCGGTCTCCTAACCCCTACACAATGAGAAAGAGAGAGAGAGGTTAGACCATTTTTCAATTTGAGGCAATGATGATTTTGAGTCGATTCCGCCTTCCCAGTTTTACAGCTTCTGGTAATAATGCTTTACAACCAATGGACACACTTTTGACGCTGCGTCGATCTAGGCATCAGGTTTTATTTCAGTCAAAACTTCCGCTTCTGACATTGTAAAAGATTGTGATATAATACAAGAATAAGTTCTCTAATAAAACCAGGCTTTCTATGGTAATTGGGACAGCCGTATGAATGTTAAAATCCAGTCTCCGAGAGGCATACAAAAAAAAAAACAAAAAAAAAACATTAAAAATGGAGAACTGCCTTACTAAAGTCGTGTATGCTGACTAGTACACAAAGGATATGTGCCAATCACTCCAGTTTCTATTGACAGAGTTTCCTACAAAGGATGACAGGTTCTGAGTAATTAAGAGGGCAGTAGTTGGTATAAGAGGCCAATATACTTTACCAAATCCTGCCTGCTGAGGGAAAGGAGTTCCTTCTTCTTCTTTTGAGTTATTTGTTAATCTCTTAGCTGCATACCTGGTGCGTATGTCCAGTTGAGATTTTCTTTCTCGGGTCATTTTTACAGCTCCATCAGCATACTTTCTGGTGTGCCTTGTGGTTCGCATGGGTGAAAGGGCTAACCTTCTTTGGCTAATTAACCAGTGCTTGGACCTCTGCTTGGAATATAGCCACTCCAAGGGGTTGTGCTATGGTGGAATTCGGTCCTTTACCCCTACACTACTTGTCACATCTATGCTGCATCAATGTACCATATTTAGGACCATTTTTTAAGCTTTGGCCTTTCTTCCAAAGTTTACCACTTGGGAGGGTCTGTCAAAGAGGTTTATCAACATCTCAACCAGAAAAACAAAATCTATCCATCTCAGCAGGCTTCAGTGTCATCTGTCTTAATTACTGCCTTGAGGGGGAAAAAATGAAAAACAGATAGAATGCCAACTCTGTCATGAATCATCAGAAACATAAGAACAGGCTTTATGGTCTTAACATAGTACACAGGTTGATCTAAAATGTAATATGGAGTAGGACTTAGCACCTCTGGGTCCCACACTGTTAATTTTTTACTCAAATCTGGTCTCAGGATGACTAATAAGACTAATGCATCTCCAATTCATGGGAAAATGCAACAGGTGGGTACATTGACATTGATTGAAGACAAGAAGAAAAAAAAACAAGTTGAAAAAGCAGATAGACGAAGAAGAAAAGAGCACTGTTGAGCTTGATATTCGATGACTGCATAGCAAATCTATTGTGCCTACCCCCTCATCAACATTCTACACATGACCTAGGTCGTTATGAATGTCTGCTGATGGAGCTGGACCATTAGCACATGCCACTTTACAACAGGATGCACCACGAGATAGGACCTTCCAGTCTTCAGGCCGGAATGTACAGGATTAAAACACCATTGATACTAATGCTTTGCCTAGAAAATCAGACATAACTATTGTTTTTGTATTCTCCAAACTATTATTATCTAGTATGTTTTACCTATTATTTGTAATGTTTGTTTTAGTTGATCGCACTAGCTGTTATCGGTCTTTGTTTTTGGCTGAGGTTTGACAGCGACATCCAAGAATGGGTATCAATGGTTGAAATCCAGTCCTTCTATATTGGCCTTTATATCATAATCATAGCAGCTATACTCGTCTCGGCCACCGGTTTTGTCAGCTGTGCTGCAACTGTTTCTGATAATTCAACCTTAATTGCAGCTGTAATTGATGTTATTCTATAATTTATGTGTAAATGTAAAACTAAGACCCTATGGTTTTTTAGAATGTCGTAATGCAACTGCTGCTGTTTATCCTCGGAATGGCTGGAGTTGCAGTGTTAATGGATAATAGCACGTTTAGGTCAGCAGTGCATCCGGTTATTAAGGCGATGATGCTCAAATTAATCATTCTATACCCAGCTTATGATGATGCGACTGCAACACTGTCCACACTTCAGACAAATGTAGTCCATTGGTATACCACTTTGATCAACATATTAAACTTTTTTTTTTACAGATCGGCTGCTGTGGGGCCGAAGGTCCAGATGATTATATCAACCTGAGAAGACCCTTACCGACAAACTGCAGAGACACGGTTACTGGAAATGCTTATTATTATGGTTGCGCAGATGAGCTGACATGGTTCCTAGAGCAACGATCGGCATGGGTTAGTGGACTCGTTATCTTTCTCTGCTGTAAAAAAATCGTCAACGCTGTTCTTTCCATTGTTTTGATGCAAATATTGAAACTCCAAGAGGAAGACATTCGTGGTTAATAAACCTGCCTTTTTATATTTTTTATATTTCTATACTTTATATTATATGGAAGTATATTATGTGAGAACTAGTCAAACAAATTTCTATTACATTTAATCTGCTCAGATTCTTCATTTTTATTAATACAGACATAAATGATTTAAGTACAAATAACAATCTCCAATTTTTTTAAAAAACATATCGATCAAACTTTGTTTGTAAAAATATCCTCACTTCTTGTCCTATATGGTACAAAAAATGTACCTGCACAAAAATTATGGTTTATTTTATTTTTATGCCTTTATTTTTGACACAAGATGTTACTTTTAACTGAATATTAAACATAATAAGATTTATATTATTATTTTAATTATATTTTGTGTAATTTTTACATTGATTTTAAGTAAAATGAGTATATTATTTTAAAAAAAGAAAAAAAAGTGGTGGTATTTGTTACCATACTAGTAATTGATTTTGGTTTGGAAAATGCTTTATTTACCTGTTGTAAATATTTTACATTTACCAACCACAAAAAGTTTTCAGTTTATATTAATGTAACTAATTTTAATATTTTTTTGTCTAATAAATTTGAGTATATAATTGCTTTCTACTTTCTTTACTCTACTGCTTTCTTACCGTATCTTTCGTGATTTGTTTGCTTCTTTGATTCAGTAAAGAAATCATGAAGTTTTCGACCTTTGTTTATTTATTTATTAGTGCCAATTCAGTTCGGTGTTGCCTTCTTCAAAACTTCTGGAGTTATAACATACTCCAATAAGCGCTTTATTTTTACCACTACCCTCACTTATAAAAAAGGTCCAAAAGTGTGTAAAGGAAGTTGAAAAACAATATTGACTAGCAAGGTGCAATTGTAAAATCTACATTATGAACATCGAAGACAGCTTCTCATGGAAGACAAGATACATGTCGACACTGAAGAATTATGAATTTCTATCATTTGCAAGTAAGAAATGTTATATTAAAAAATCTACGAAGTAAAAAAAAATGTCGTCCATTTTTAGATAGCTTTATTTCAACAAATTAACCTTTTTTAACTTCAAATTAACCTATTTTTTACTCCAACTTAACCTCTGTTTTTACTTCAAATGAATTCTTTTAAACTTCAAATTAACTCTTTTTAACTTCAGTTTTTACTTTTATTTATTTATTTTGAAGGTACAAATAGGGCTTTATGCTCCCTTGCATGTACTTTTGACTGATGAAACCACATTATGAAAGAAAAGCAGAAAGGGGAAAAAAAGAAATGGGAAAAAGAAAAGGGAATGATTCACGCGTTTTTAAAACTCAGATGCCATGGACTTGAAAACAAGCCAGGAGGAAGCAGAATGTACTTCCCGGTGAAGCAAATTCCATATGTCTTGACTCTGCAATTCTGAAGGATAAGGCTAAAGGTTTAGAAGAGTGTTGAAGGTTTTGTATATGATTGGTGCGTTTGGATAAAGAATGAGAGAAAATAGTTGATAGATATTGAGAACATTTATTTGATTTAATTTGAAATATATATATTAAAACACTTAGTTTAAGTATTTAGAATGTTAAGGTTGCTGAAGGCAGGATGAAATATGATCCCTCGGTTTAAGATCATAACAGTATCTAATGCAGGAATAATAAGCAATTTGAAGGCAATGAGAAGATTGAGAGTCTAAGGAAAGTGAACAAAAAATAGCGGTACAGTAAGTGAATAAAGAAATTATTAGGGTTTTAATAAGGAAAACTCTAGTTTTCTGTGGGGTGAAAAAACTGAGGCGTCGAAGTGAATGGAGGCTTGAGTAGATCTTTTTAAAAATAGAGCTTACATGGTTATGCCATGTAAGCTTGGAGTTAAAAATAACATTGAGATTTTTAACTTTAGAACAAAAATTAATAGTGGAGCTGTTGATATGAGGAGGGGATAGGCAATATGTACTAATGGGTTTATTTAAAATTAATAAGGACTGGGATTTGTTAGGGTTTAAAAGAATGCTGATATTACTTGACCATTGGTTGAGAGAATGAAGAACAGAGAGATAGCTTCAGAGATGTTGCTTGTAGGACATTGAATATAAAGCTGAGTATCATCAGCATAAAGATGAAATTGGGAGAAAGTAAGAACTAATGGAAGATCATTTAGAAGCATGGAAAAGAGCAATGGTCCAAGAATAAAGCCTTGGGGTACACCAGTTGAAATTGAGAGAGAAGAGGAGATAGACTCTGTCAGATAGGAAGATGAAATTAGATTAGTAGCAGTAGAAGGAAAACCAATAAGATGCGTCAATTTCCAAATAAGCAAAAGTGATTTACAGAACCAAATGCATTGGAAAAATCAAGTAGAACAATAATAGTACACTTATTATCATCAATACCTAGGAGAATATCATCTGAGATTATTTCAAATGAACCATTTTCAACTTCAATCATGCCATACAAAATTTTGTTATATGTGCAATTGTTTAAAATATGAAATAATTGGACTTTTAGACTATATGAAAACTAATTATAATTAAAATTAAAAATTATATAAGAGGCGTTGCTGGCTGGAACGGTTTAGGCATTGACATGGCACTCTTCAGTGTAATGTAAAGGCCCCGGATTTGAATTTAGTAGCTCTGTATTCGAACCAGACATACTCATATGACATACTACATTAAAAAAAAAATCTATTAGACTATAATTTATAGGAATTCCATAATATATCATTGTAGGTCGCATGGGAGGAAAAGTTTATTAAAACCTTAATCAACCCCCAAACCAAAAAATTAAAAAAATGGTCTCACTGGTTCATAAATTGTCATATGTCTAATAGTGGGCTCTCAGTTTGTACATAGATAAATTAAATTTACAAATCACTCAAAGATTATCAATTCTATTATGTTTTTATAAATATTTAGAATAACCAAAGCCCCTTTATCTTTTATCTTACTATTCTTCAAACCAATGATAAGGTTATAAAGCATTAGATCGCTGTTGTTTAAGGAAATTTATAAATTACATTGTAGTATGGTTCAAGTAACAAAGTACTTTTGTTTTCTTATGGAATTAAACACTTGATGTCATAAATTATAAAAAAGAGTTGGGTTTTTTAATGTACATTTTTTCTCAACAGAAACCTGATTTGTCATACATATAAACTGATGTACGACGAACGATGTATAAAATAATAATAATTATTAAGTTAATAAAATTTTTAATCTATAGAAATCATGCTTGCTGAAGAAGGCCAAGAATTGAATATGGAGGTTCAGTTGAGTACTCTTTGGTTATTGCGAGGGCAATCATCTCACTGTCAATATTGAGCAAAACGAAGGTTTTCTTTGCATAAAAGTAGACAAAAAAGGATTAAAACTGTTCATTTTAATGATTTCACTATGTTATACTTTTTAAGTTTATCTAAGAGTCCATTTTTGCTGCCTCAGAGAACTCCGCCTTCATGGTCACTTCATTTCAAGAAGAAAATTTGCAATTATCAATATAAGAAGAATTCTTGTTTTTACCGGTTCTTGGGTTTGATAATGATGATGTGAAGGAAGCGGGGTTTGTGATCTCCAGGCACTGCAGCCTTCTGGCTTATGGTACCTTCCTAGTTCCCTAGTTCAGCCCCTCAATCCTTCATATAAGAAGTATCAGGTCATTGACTGTCACTGCTACAATTCCATTCCTTGGGTTTTCTTTGTATCGCAGGTTACGTCTCCATTGAGCCATTGATTCGCATTCGAAGATGATATGGGTGCCTGTTTCTTTCTCTTCATTGCATAACCTACAAATGGGGTCATCATTGAATATACCCATGTTAGGTAGATGTTTATCAGATACCAATGACTGATAGTCCTATCACTCTTGACTTTAGCCCTCCCTAACTGTACCAATGAAGGTTGTTTGGCAACCAAACTGCCAAAAAATGGATACATTAGACAAATTAAAAATAATTCCTCTGTTTAAGCCGACAACAAAGACATGCAAGAAAGCTAATGAAAGGATTATTGCAGAAACTAATGACAAAATTATAAAATCTAGGTCATTTTAGAACTAGATTTGACTGGACACTACAGGCTCCAGAGGCATATGGAGTGGCAAAAACAAGACTGGGCAGATATCGCCAGGAAGAAGGGACAGGGGAGCATGTATTCTGTTGTTGCAAAGGCTGCTGACCGAGATTCCAACTCCTGGAAGAGTGAAGGATATAGGTAGAAGTCGTTGAAAAAGCTTAGTGATTGGGTAAAAAGCTTTAAGCTTAATAAGGAACTTCAACAATGGAGGAGCATAGTAGACCAATACTGGCCATTCTTAGAAATCTGGAGAACATTCTTCACAACATCCTATAAAGTCTCAACAGCCTATAAAGGAGAGGAAGAACACAAGAGAGCATTATATACAATGATATGGTATAGAGATGGTCCAAAACAAATTAAGAAACCCGATTGGTTGTTTTTTGTACAAGCATATTCATTAGGGAAGTACACTTCAGTCTTTCCAGCAGAAATACATGCCATCAATGCTTGTGCCCTGGAAAATCTTAAAAGAGGTTATACTGGCAAAAAATCCTCATAAGCTCTGACAGCCAAGCAGCCATTAAAGCATTAGCTTATGCAATCACAAGCTTAAAGAATCACATCAAAATTACTCAATGAATGCATCCAAAATCTCCAAAACCTGGGGAAACATAACAACCTGATATCTTGGGTGCCAGGGCACAGAGGAATTTTGGGTAACAAGAAAGCAGACAGACTGGCCCAAGGAGGATCTGCAAAACCATACATAGGCCCCGAACCTATGCTTGGAATAACAAAAACAAATATAGAATCCTCCATCACAGAATGGATCCAAATAAAACCAAATGAGAAATGAATAAACTCTAGTGGCACAAGACACAGTAAACTTATATTAAAACAATCCTCACCAAGACTGGTAAACTCACTGCTGCAATTGGAGAGGTTTACACTCAGGGGAGTGATAGGACTATTAACTGGTCAATAGCATCTGAGAAAACATCTACACAACATGGCCATATACCACGATGATCCCATCTGTAGATTATGTAATGAGGAGGAGGAAACAGCCATCCATATCATCTTCGAATGCAAAGCAACGGGTCAATGGAGATTTAACCTAACATAGGAAAAATACTTAGGGAATGAAATTGTAGAAGCGACAGTCGATACTTCTGATACTTTGACCTGATACTTCTAAGGAGAAGGATTGAGTCTATTGCACTGAACTAAGGAATTAGGAAGGTACAATAAGCCAGAAGGCTGCAGTGCCTGGGGAGCACAAACCCTGCTTCCTAGTATCTTTTTTACCATACCATATCAATACTGGCCATGGTGTGGAGAACTTAAAGAGGCCGATTCCTTCTCTAATCTAATTTGGTGTACGAGTGCAATGGAGAGTTCTGCGATAAAAGAAACAAGAATTATCTCTTGAAAACCTCTTTCAGATATGTCGCACCAGTGTAGAACATGGAGTTCTTAGTAGTTGTGGATGGCCCTTAGCTTGCAATTTTCCAATTTGAGTTAAAAATTTTCAGAGGTTTGAAAATTTAGCGCGATTTTTCTCCAGGAAACTGGAAAGATTGTGAATAGTCAAACAATGCCACGCCCACCAGACGTTCACTTGAGATAAAACAACTCCTGCAGTCTCGTGACAGTCGACGATTGTGAATCACTGAGATTGCAATTTTCCTTATGTTTTTTCCTTGTGCCTGAGTGTAAAATCTATGTTGAGTTAGTGTTTCGCGGGTTGTTTTTGTATTCTTTACCATCGATTTTCTCCCGGTGCGTTATCAGTTGCGCATCGATAACAAACAAGAATCAAGCAGGTTATAAATAAACTTGTTTTATTTTAGTGATAGACACAATTATGAGTGAAAATGAATTTTCTTGTTTGGAAAAAGTTTGTACGTTGAAAACGCAAGATGTAGTGTTCAGCACTAGCACAGTTCAGCACTCGATAGCCGTCATAGCTGTCGTCGTGAAGTAAATAGGATATTTCAATTTTTTACCATACATCCGAAATTGGTTCATTTCTCATATTTTATGTTCCAAGGAGCGGGGATCTGGTTTTGTACGCACTACCCAATGGGTCGGACAGCCCGATCGTACGCTGGGTTCCGTGGGTCGACGATGTGCAGAAGAGACTTTCCGCTTTCGCTTTCAACCCGAGTGGGAGCGAAGGACTTCTTCTTGTCTGTAAGTTCTTGAACAATTGAGACAGTGGATGGTAGATCACAGGTCATTCACCATGTTCTATTTTTATTTATTTTTTTAAATTGTTCTTATATCGGGTTTCACGGTTTTTGAACGGGTCGAAACTATCTATCTCTCTTCTACTGAACTGAGCAAATTCATCAAGTGTCAGTTCAATCTGTTCACCATCACTCCAATAAGCACTTATTTACGAAGGTATTTTTTTACTATTATGAAGTTATATGAACCCTCGAGGTGCGTGGATGTCTGCTTTTTCATCGAACAACGGACCATGTTTTTTACCGGACTTGCGACACCCATTCTTAGAAATTTGGAGAACTGTCTCCATGATCCTGGAAACATTCTTCACAACATCCTATAAAGTCTCAACAGGCTAAAAGGAGAGGAAGAACACAGGGAGAGCATTAGGTACAATGATGTGGTATACAGATGGCTCCAAAACAAACGAAGAAACTGAAAAATGAGACCTAACTTAAACTGGCAAAAAAATCCTCATAAGATCTGATCGCCAAGCAGATATTAAAGCATTAGCATGTAAAAAAATCACATCAAAATTAGTCAGTGAATGTATCTAAAATCTCCAAAATCTGAGGAGAAACTTGATATCTTGGGTGCCAGGGCACAGAGAAATTTTGGGTACGAGAAAGCAGACAGACTGGCCAGAGGAGGATCTGCAAGACCGTACATAAACCCCAAACCTATAGTTGGGATAACAAAAACAAATACAGAATCCTCCATCGCAGAATGAATCTAAACAAAACAAAAGGAGAAGTGGATAAACTCTAGCGGCTCTAGACACAGAAAACTTATGGTAAAACAACCCTCAGTGGTACAGTTAGAAAGGGCTAAAGTTAGGAGTGATAGGAGTACCAGTCACTGTCATCTGATAAACATCTACACAACATGGTGACACCATTTTTACGTAGATTAGTTCTTTGCAGTCCTTGGAAAAGATTTCTATTAAAATTATCAGAAATTCTTCCCCATTGCTCATGAACAGCCATTTCCACTATTCAAGGGTGTTCAGACCTGGGTTTCGCCTTTGTACTCGTTGCTTAAATTGGTCCCAAATTTGTTTGATTAGGTTCAAATTTTCACTTCGAGTTGGTACCACCAAACACTCGATTCCAACTTTCCAGTCATCCACAATACGTGCTCTATGGGGCCTGGCATTGTTCTGCATTAGCAAGTATCTCTCACCGATGTGGGGGGCAAAGGGCACTACATATTCTGTTATTATGTCTTGCAAGTACCTCTGTGACATTAGAAATCTTACTCGCACAACAACCAATTCGGTGCAGGCATTCAAGGAAATGCCACCCCAGAACAACAATGACCCACCGTGGAATTCCACCTGAGGAACCATGCAGCAGGGGCATAACTTTATCATGAGCGTCTCCAAATAAAATTACACCCATCTGAAGATTTGATGCCAACTCTCACTTCATCTGTAAAACGAACTCGTCCCCATCTTCCACTGTCCAGTTCACATTGTTATGTTAGTGTAAAATTAAATAAATTCCACTAATACCTCTTTTTCAAACAAATCTGTATATAATTAAAAAAATAAAAATAAAACATTTTCATACATATAAGTATAATACATAGCGTCTGTATATATAAAGTCAAATACACCTAATTAATTTTTTAAAAAATTACTTTTTGTTTATATATATATTTAAAAAAATTATTAAATAAATGAATAAGTACCTCTGACCAAACTCTGAGCTCATACAAAATTGTTAGAACTTATAAATTGTAGAAGTATATACAAAAAAAATAATATAATTTTACAATACAGTCTTCTCATCTGCGCAGACTCACACGGCATTTTTTCTCTCCTTTCCTTTATCAGATCAAAAGCCACCTCGACTCCCCTTTCATTCCTCCCAGAGCCTCTTCCTTTTCCACTTCTACTTGCATTGCACGATGGGAATATCTCAGCAGTAGGGGTTTGGCGAACAATTCGAAAGTTCGCCGTTATAACATCTTCTCATGGGATTTGAAGCCTGGCCATTTTTTGAGTTGTGGTAAGAAGAGGTCCACGAGCTGGGTGCCAGGCCCTGAGGTTATTGTCATTGAGCATTTTTCTTGCCTGACTGGAGCCATTGAAAAATGTGTAAGAATAGTGAGGAGACGGTTACGGTTCAGATCCTACGAGGGCCACCTATTGACTGCACTCTATCAATCCAGCCCACTGATGACATTTCCTTTCAATACTATTTATTTTTGTGTTTTTATCATCAGGAATATTTATTGCAATTTTATCAGGAAAACTGTAGTCATGTCCAGCAGTAGGGACGTCCCAGTCTTATCATTTTGTTACCTTCCATACCTATGTGTCAACCTTGCATGGACTATTCAAATTGGGTGTATACAATCCTCTTCTTAGTTCAGATCCTCTGAGGCCATTTTTCGACAGTGCTCATCATAATTAAAAGCTTCTCATACATCCCATCCTTAGCTATCTTTTTCCTACCCTTAAGACCTGTGTCAACCTCGCATGCCCTATTCTTAGTCTGGTGATAATCCCTCCTTTTTGATTCAGATCCTCTGAGTGTCATCTACCAACTGTGCTCATCATAAGTAGAACTTTCTCTTAAAAACCAACCATAACCACCTTTTCCATACCTCCGGACCTATTATAATATCACATGGCCTATTCCTAGTCTAGTGGTGAACCCCCTTTTGTTTATGCATTTTCCTGAGAGCCATCTACCAATAGTGCTCGGCCTAAATAGGAGCTACTCTGTCAATCTGGCCCACCGATGACATTTACTTTTTATCATATCATCAGAGGGCTGGATTGTGGTGGTTAAGTCTGGAAGGTTGGGATATTCCACACACGATTTTTTCCATAACATTTTAGCTCCAATTTGATTTTATTTATTTTTTTAATCAATACTCTTGTTTCAGGCAATGACAGAAAATTGTACATGCTTCCAGCACTATCTTTGATGAATTTGGAATGCAAGAAATCGCAAACTGATCCTGTTAACAATAATAATGATGATATTGAAATTCTCCCATCTCCGCTTCTCAACGATGATGCATTTATTCCATCTGCAATTGGCTGGTGGATAAGAGATGCAGCTGATGACTTATCAGGGTAATTAAATCTTTTAAAAAAATTAAAAAAACAACAACACAGAAATCCTTTAATTGTGATGGGGTCAGTATGAGTGTTCATTTGTTTTTGGCCTTCTACCTCTTCCAAAGATGACAGGCTTATTATGATTATTATTATGGACAGTAATCACTTACAGCTGCTCCCCAGCCAAGTACATTGATTTTGCCTTACTGTAATGTTTTTTTATCATAACCCTTTTGTTACTATATACAAATTTTGAAACTTTGACTTATGAAAACTAGTGTTATTTATTATTGTTCTGCAAGCTAAATGTTTGGTTTTCACCTTTTTTGTTGTTTTTGTTTTAGCCACATTGCAATTGTTGGTTCGACTAACGGGCACATCAAAGCATTCACTCTTTTCACTGGGAAGATTATTTTTATTACTGCAGTTGATGGAAGGGTCTGTCAAATCGATATCTCTTCAGGAAATGATTTAGCCATAATAATCGTAAGTAAATCGAGTTACCCAATATTCTGGCATTATTTATTTTAACATGCTAAAATTGTTAAATTTATTGTTATCTGTGTGCAGTATTTAAAGACCGTTAATCAATAATTATTTAGAGATTGTGAGATGTGGTCTGGTGTGATGTAGGTGTAGAAAAACATTTTCTTTATTGTGCCGACTTGACTTACAAATCTAACAAAAAATGTTATATTTATTTGAATCTCTATCTGCTTAACTGGATAACAATATACATTTCACCCAGTATGCTCTATGAAAATAATTTTGGTTAAACTTCGTTTGTAACAAATTGGTTTTATTACTCAAATCTAAAGTTTATGTTTATTGAAAGTCAAGTTTTTTTTTTCAAATCCAAATACCCAAATTGAAGGTTTGGAAATAAATAATTACTGCCATGTGTAATTTAAAACCCCCTAAAACATGTTATAAGAATTAAAATAGACAAAAAAGAACTCCTGTCTGTATTGAACATTAGAATCGTGGATATTCACCCTAATCCAAAACCTAATCGTAAACCTAACTACCTTCCTAACTTCCCTAACCCTGACCATAACCTTAACTCTTCCTAACCTAACCTGACCCACCCTTGACTGTAATCCTAACCTAACATCCCTAACCGTTTCCAACCTGAACAAACCTGTTCCTAACAATAGCCCTAACTCTACTTAACCTAATGCATTCTTAACCATAATAACCTACTAACCTTAATTATAATGTATCCCAACCATAACTCTTTCTAACCTTACCTAACCTGAACCAAACCTTAACCCTAACCATTTGTAACCTAACCTAACCCTAACCCTAATTTAACATATTGTGTCACTAAACCTAAATTTTCCTAAAACGAACTTAACCCTAATTGTACCTCTTACTCTTCCTAACTTAACCTACCCTACTTCTAATATACATCTTGTAAGGGGATGAAATTGCATTAACTCTCGGACACTTCTTGTTGCTCTTAGGTGCAGTCCGACCGATATGTTGTTCAAATGAATCTCATAAGCTTACTTAAACTCCTAACCATTCCTAACCTAATCCTATTCTAATATAATGTAACGTATCACTAATACTAACGTCCTAACCTAGACCTAACCATAATCATAACCTAATCCTAACTCTAATCACTCCACTTCGATCTAAATAGATCTAATGTAGAACCCTTATAAATTATAGCATACCTTGGAAAGTGCACATTTTCCTAAACACTTTCTTTGGTGAATTTTCAGGCACCTCTACCAGTGTAAGAATTTCATTATTGAAGTGGCTGAATAACTGGTCTAACGCTTCACATTCACAAAGGATGTGTGTCAATGTCTCTATTTGATTTTTACTAAAACTATTTACACTCTAAAATTGATTTATTATTTAATTAATTTTTTTAAACATCCAATTTGACTAAAAAATTTACGGAAAAATGTCAGAATATTATTTTTATTGCTTTGAACTATTAACAAAGAAATGGCTCTTATTTTACTTGTAGATCACAAATGATTATGGTAAACAGTGGCGTTTTGTTTTGCAAGAACAAGGTTATACTCAAGAGCAAATTACAAGTCGGTATGATCGAAACATGGAAATGTAAGTATATATATACCATATGTTTTAATTTTATTTTTATTTTTTTTTATTTTATTGTATTTTTTTTAACAGAAAGTGTATCACAAGACTAATAATGTTGCTAGATAACTATTGAGGTTGAAAATGCTAACTATTATTTACATTTAATTTAATATTCAAGACATTTTGGTAACTGATAATTCGGAAATCGTGAGATGCGGTCTGGTGTGACGTAGGTTTCAGAAAAGCATTTTCTTTATTGTGCCAATGTTTCGATCTTTATTGAGATCATCTTCAGGGCCTGGGATTTTCAAACATTGTTTAAATTTAATAAATACATGTAGGAAATGGAAAAAAGTGAATTTATACAATGCAAAAAAAAAAACATTTTTTATATTTAATCAAAGTATTTCTACTCACTCAAAGTGTTTGTTTTCTGTCTCACTAATCACCACACATTTCAGTAACTTTTCCTCAGCTACATGTAAGAAAAATTTGGGATTATTAATGTGTCAAATGTATAAACAGTACCATCAGTTTAATATGTTAATATAAACTTTGTATTTTTTAAATATATCATGTTAACATTACACACTCAATTTTGTATTCCAGGTTTAGTAATCAGAGTACATCAAGAAAAAAAGAAGCTGCTCTATTTGGAGGCAAAAAGTGCGAAAATGAAATCAAACCTAGTTTTAATTCTAGACTTGGAAGAAGTAAGTTTATCTGTTATAAGGTTGAAATTTTTTAACAAATCAGATTTTTTTTAAGGCACAAGGAATGATGAAGACCCTACGACATTGAAATCACTGAAACTTTTCATAAAAATGGTGAACGTCCCTGAAGAATCATATCTTGCTGTTCATAACAAATCGATCAGTGGCACTTACCAGTCTAATTTAGTGACAGTGAGTATGAGAAATTTTTGCTTTACAAAATTTAAACAGTTCTCTCAGATTTATAGTTTCAAGCATTACTATACAACTTTAAAAGTAGAAAATTATAATTGCATTACAAAATGAGAAATAAAATGGAGTAGTTGTGAATGTTTTAGGATTTTTATAAATTGAATATGTAACAGAACAGTAAAGAAAAGAATTATTGCATTAGGCCAGCTAGAATGTTCAAGTTTTGCAGGTTAAAACAGTACTACTGCTGTAAATCATCTCAGATTTTCATTTTTCTTGCAAAACCTTTATTTTACTCTTGGCTTTGTTTTTAGACTTGCATTAGAATTTTTTAGCCTGGTGGTAAATTGGGAAATTTAACTGATTCTAAAAAGTTGCAATAAATTAATTTTAATTGATTTATTGAATTAAGACAATACAGTAAAATAAATAAATTAAAAAACATTGAATCAGGAAAAAGTAACCTTACCCTGCCTAATCTAAATTCATCCCTAACCCTTCCTAACCTAATCTAACTCATCACTTGTCCCTAACCCTACTTAACCAAACTTGTTCGTTCCTAACTACTACTAGCCTAACCCATCCTAATTTAACCCAGACCAAAACAAACCTAACACATTCCTAACTACTGTTAGACCAATCCATCCCAATTTAACTCAGACCTAACCTAACTTGACCCTAACCATACCAAGCCTAACCTAATTCCTCTCTAACCCTACCTAACTCATCCTTAACTACTTCTCACTAAACCTAGCCCAATATATTCTAATTTAACCTAAACCTAACCTACCATGTCCCCAGCCCTGCTAACCTAACCCTAACTCATGCTTAATCTTATCAAACATAACCTAACTTGTCCCTAACTATACCTAGCACAACTCAAACCTAATTTAACCCAACCCATGCACACTCCCTGGTAATGTAAAATCAATGAAGCAAAAAGGCCACAAAAAATTGTGTATCAAGCCCAAAAACATCCATATTGAAATAATGACATAGAGCAGTAGGAAGTTAAATCAAACCAGTGTGCAATGTCAGAGATTCATGTATTTTTTCTTAAAGTATAAGAAATGTATCAAATATTTTAAGTAGTAAATGATAAATTGAATATATATAAATTAACCATCATAATAATATAATTTAATTCTTCTTCTCTTTTCTTCTAGATTGAGCAAACAAACGTTGAATTGAACTCAGTTCATAAGCTTCCATACAAAAATTATCTTTTGGCTTTAACCAGTTCATTATTTGTCTTTACAAATGAGGATTTTAACAAAATCAGTGTTGTGTCCAGACATTTGTCACAATGTAAAGCTGACGTGAACAAACACGTTTTAAATATGGTTGGTATCTTTATGCACTGGTAGTGATTAAAAGGGATTTTCATATTTCCTAGTGAAATATAATTTACTTTAATTTTAATAGAAAGCATTTTTGTTTGTTTAAAAAAACATTGAGTAAAAATGATTTTTATAGCTTAACCTATATGTCCTTTGTGTTATAATAATTGATTATTTTTTCCAGGATTTCAATAGTGAATCTTTAATTCAAGAATTTTTTCTTAACAATAATGAAAGAGTATTAAGCATATACTGTACTAACTACGCCAAGGAACAATGCTGTGTCATTACAAATTGTGGCATTTATGTCCTGAGAATGATGTAAGTGCATCAAAAACCACACAATCATGATTTATTGGCATTTAAGTTTACGATGGCTTCTCTCGTTTGTATATAAAATTAAAATTCACAAATCTTTAATAGTAAAAATATCTTTCAACAGCCAAAATTCAATTTATTGTATATTCTTGACAAATTATTTTCAATCATGACAATACAATCTTTAGAAACCAGACTTCATTTTCATTTTTTCTTAAAGGAATCTTAACTGATCATCTTGGTCTGCCTATAATTGCTGGATTGGTCTGTCAGAAGTATTTCGACACCTTCAGTGTTGGGTTCATTTTTACAAAGTAAAATCTGGGTTATGCTTTACCACTCACTTTTTAATATCTATCGTTGGTTATGCTTACTTGAACAGAATATTGCAACATAATTGCATATTAAAAAAAAAACATATCCAACACTGAAAGTTTGTAAACAAATTCAATAAGCATTAGGCAACGTTTTAAATGGACATTTTTTTACTCATCCTACTATGTTGCCTTTAGTATTTTCATATATTTTTGTTTTAGAAAAAATCCCTACCAACTGGTCTTAGATAATATTATTAATTCTAATAATCTACATTTAGCAGAAAAATTGGCACAAATATTTGCTTTAGATCTTCAGAAAATAATATGTGAAGCTGGAGATAAGCAATTGTCAAAAGGTTTAATAGAAGAATCTAAACTACTCTATTCATTATCTCGTGTGAGTATTTTGTATCATGTTCCTACGAATCATGCCATATTTATTAAATAAAATTGTGCATTAATATATTATAGTGTGGGAATATTCATCATGTCATGATGTTGGCGATAAAAGGTTACATGTCGGAATTATTGAATGCACTTCAGACATACAAATTTCCAAATACGAATAAATATCATCTAAACAATTTGAAACTTTTGGTTTTCGTATATCAATATTTAATAGCTTTCTCAGCCAAAATTCATGAAGATTTTAGGTATGCAAATGTTTAACTATTTATTATATATATATAAAATGTTTTAATTGTCATTACATGTGTTTTAGAGATTTATTACAAAATCATGAATACGATGAGGGACTCGCTAATAACATCATTGCTCAAGCTGGCCTTTGTGACGATTTAAGGTTCTTAATGAAAATAAAAGGCATCCAACAGACTACACTATCGACTATAGTAAATTTAATTCAACACAAACATATAGTTGATATTATGAGTAAGTTCTCGTTTTTTCTTATACTTAATAGAATAATTATTTTAACAAAATAAACAAACAAAGCAAACAGAAAATGTATAAACGCTAGGTCAATTACAAATATTAACAAATGATCGCAAAAAGGCCAAATTTCAGAAATTAAAAAATAAAAAAGATTCTTACTTGAAGTGTTCTGGTTGATAGTTGTTCATAATTGTTTGTCTTAGGGAATAAAACAATTCATTGAAATGTACTAGCAATTTTATAAAATGCTTTTATGCATAGATACATAATATGGGCAAAAAGGCAAAATCAGTATTGCCTAAAGTCGATGCATAAATCTTTTCATCAGCAAGGTTTAATCAATAGTTTAGACTAAAATTGCCGTAAAATTTACTAGATTTTAACTTCAAATTGATTTCAGAATGTGATGGCTTCTGGGAATTATTCAGTGAAGAAAGCTTATACGAGTCTATGTTAGCTAGACCAAATCTTGCCCTTTTTCATATTAAATTAGTACAAAAAAACCTTTCAGATTTGAATGTTTCCATAATTAAAGTAAGTAATGTAATTGTATATAACGATATTGATTTGTTTCATGTAAATAATTTTTCAGCGTCTTGAAATTCTGTACAACCCATTTAGAACATCATTTAGACCATACATTACAAACTGCATCCAGGTAATTAACATTTTCTTTTCTTTTCTTTGATTTCTTTGGATTGATTACCACAGACAAACCTAGTATACTTTTTCCCCTAATAAATATTGTTCTGTTCAGACTGATGCTCCGATAAACCAGTGGATTGAAACATACCTGCTTATTTGTGTTACACTGTCTGCATTAAAACATGGATTTATTGAAGATTCTTTAAAGCTAATATCTAAGAACCATGAATGGGTTTTCAACGAGCCCAAGGTATGTTTTCATTCCATGAATGATAATTTATGTTTTACAATATTATACACCATTAGTGGTAGTTGAGTTTCATTTATTAATAATTAGTACTTTAAGTAGAATATCACAGTTAACTCTTGATTAAGTTGACCTTTTATAAGTTTGACAAATTAACTAGTCTGATGTCATTCCTTCCTTCATCAAGCTTTTGGGGACTATATACCATTACCAGGACTTTGAAACTAAATGTAATAATATTTAAATATTTAATGCAAATTAAAAATTATTCTTTATACACTTTTCTTTAAGGAGTTTTGATCTTTAACTCAACCATTCTATATTACAATTTATAATCTCTTTTTGGTTATGCTATCATATAATGCCAACTCATCTGCACATTTTTCCTAATCTGGACCAAAAAAATAAGTAAACAAATAAAATGAAAATAAATCAAATACCCATTCCAAATTAACAATTACTCTATACACACTTGTTTTAAAAGTAAACATATATAATAGGAAATAAAATATAATTGGCTAATCAATAAGTAACTAACAGTTGAGTATTTAGCTATTGTGATTGGATGTTTTAATTAAAGCCCCATGTCTGCATATATGCAAACTTTCAGTTTTTGTTTGGTGTCAAGCTATTTAAGATTATAATGAACAGCATGGGCCCCAATGTGGAGCCTTGAGATACACCAGTGTGAATCTTATGTACTCACAAGAGTTTTCTCTGGTTAGGATTCTTGATAATGTAAGCTGGAAAATTTTATTAGCCAGCAGTCCATCATGCCAGGCAGTGTCATTTCTTCTTTTTTTTTAATCATCCATGATTGACATCTTTTGTAAGTTGGTTGGTATGTATGAAGAGTGTAATAATTTTTTTTATGATCTTGATGATGTGGGCTTCCGTAATGTAGTATTGCCCACACACAGATTTTACGTATGCTGCTAAGCAGGCTGAGCTAGTAACTTAAGGTGGGACTCACACCACTTTCTTTGTTTGAATTTGGACCCAGGTAAATAATGCAATTCATCAGGCAAGTCAGGTTGACTAGAGCTTTATGTAGCGGTTTTTGAGGGGGATGGCCACAGTTGAACTGATAAAATGGACATACCTTGTGTGTACTTCGTAAATTGTACCACTGCTCTTCAGTTGTTACACCAAATTAAAACGTTTACATAATAAAACAACAATAACATACATAAAAACATAATACTGCATACATCTGATTTGAGTATATATTCACATTTCTGAATTTCTGACAGGTTCCATTTATTAAGAGACACATGGCTGCAGGCTTCAAACATGCATTTACCGTATTGGAAGGCAATGCTTATGGATGGGGTAGCACATTAGCAGGCGCATTGGGTAAGTTTGTATTTCCTTAGAAAAAACAGACAATTTTTATATTATTATTATTATTGTACTTTTTGTCTAAAAAGGAATGGGTCCAACAAATCAACTTGTTTGTGGACCTAAACTGCTCGACGTATTCCTGAAGCTAAAAAAACAAGTGTTGTCTATTTCCTGCGGAAGAAGCCACACAATAGCCTTAACCAATAATGGAGTAAATATATTATTGCTTTATTACTTAATTAATTACAGATAGCTTAAAAATTGTTGTTTACATTAGCATGTTAATTATCAGTATGTAGAACAAAATATTAATTTTTATTACTTGTTTTTTTTTCTCTCTACTTTCGTCTTTTAAATCTGTTTGAGGTTCATTTTTATATAATAAAAAATTTATATTGAATCATAAAAGAGGTAATGTTTTTTATACTGGTTATATAAAAATGCAAATTTAATTGTCCAGTTGTTTGCAACAAAAGTCTGTTTTTACTTGTCTTGTTATTGGTGATAACAAATGTTTTATCTGTAATTTGACTGTTACGGATAATTTTGGTCAGCCTTGTTTGCATATTTAATTTTTTATCTATTTTGCCTAGGCAATTAACATTAGTGATGTTATTTAAAGGTATATACTTGGGGTAGTAATAAATATGGACAACTAGGTATCCCAGAAGTTGTCCAAAGTTGGTATCCCCAGTTAGTTGATGAGCTGACAAATTACAGAATTATAAGTGTGGTCTGTGGACAGTATCATTGTATTGCGCTTGATGATGAACATAGGTATGATATCTATTTTAAAAAAATTTTGTCTGTGACTTTATAATAATTTATAAATTTCAGAGTTTTTACTTGGGGTTGGGGTGTTCATGGCCAGCTCGGTCATGGAAGTGTGGAGGATTTTAATACACCCCATTTAGTAAAAGCATTGAGCGATACAGTATGTAAAGAATGTCCAGTTTAAATACATAGTTTTGATATGTTGAATAATTAAATTACAGGGTATTGTTCAGTGCGGTGCAGGACAGGCACATTCGGTGTTTTTAGACAAAAGGGGTATAGTGTGGGCTTGTGGTTCGAACGTTTTCGGCCAGCTAGGCACGGGAAAAAGCAAGAAGTCCTCTCTTCCGATTCAAATACTCGGCATGCCCGAAACAATTGTCACAATCGCTGCAGGATTTTTTCAAAATGTAAATAAAACAGAACATTTTCATGGTCGTTTTTTTTTTTTTTTTTTAATTGGCAATTTAATTTTATCAATTAAATTTGATTTCAGTGTGCGCAATCAGTGACTGGTAAGATTTATCAGTGGGGTCGTAGTCCAAATGTTTTTCGCACTGCGGCACACATGGCTAAAAGAAGACTGAGGACTGAGGTGAACTAATTTTTCATGTTGTTTTTTTTACTTGCTCATAGTGAATCATGTAAATCATTAATCTTAAATAGTGTTTTTATGCTAATCTAAAAGTGGTGTTTCTTTTTAGGAAAACAAACCTGACCTACCCATTAATGATAATTCAGAATATATGATTCCAAAACTCGTGGATACATCATCTCTAGACAATAACATAGTAAAGGTAATCTTTTTTTACACATATTTTGAAACTAATAAACATTATACAACTTTCTGCACGCTTTTATAATAATTTAAAAAAAATATTTTTGTACTTCTTGATGCTCCATTCATTTTTCAACTTAATAGAACTGATTGTAGCCTCTTTGTACGGTTATAATTAGTGATCTTAGTGGTTATCTTTATTCATTGTTTGTTATACCACTTTCTGGTAACCTTTATTATTATTTTGTTTTATATTTTTCTACTTAATTATCTTTATAATAGAATCTTCCTTTGTTTCTTAATTCGAAACTGGATTCATAGGAATTAAACCAAGTTCAGAAAGTTGTACCATTCTACTTAACCTATTTCATCCTCAAGTTTGTAGAACTGAGTGTAACCTCTTTGTCTGGTTTTAACTAGTGATCTTAGTTATTTTGAGATAACTATGAAGGAGTCGAGATAAGTGAAAACAAGTTTTTTCAAAGTTAACTGTGTGGTGTTTAGTGACTGTTAGTTAATGACTATTTGGAGATCATGAGATGTGGTCTGGTGTGATGTAGGTTTTAGAAAAACATTTTCTTTATCATGCCTTTCTTTATCGTTTATTGAGATCATCTTCTCAATAAAGATCAAAACATTGGGACGATAAAGAAAATGTTTTTCTAAAACGTACATTCCAGACCGCATCTCACAATCTCCAAATATCATTGGCTAACAGTCACTAAACACCACACACAAAGATCAAAACATTGGCATGGTATAGAAAATTTATACGATATAGGAAAAAAAACCTACATCACACGATGCATCACTGCATTTCATGATCTTTAAATAATCAGTAATTACCAGACACAAAATATTACACAGTTTTATTTCTGGATTCTGTTGAACTCATGCTTGATAGCCGTTCAAAGTTGATCTAGGTTCATTATTTGAATTGAATTTGTGAGTGTGACTTACCATACTATTGTGAATTATAAAATGTCAAATTTGTTGAATTATTTAGATGAGCGTTGGCAGTGAACACAGCATTATTTTGACAGACAGCGGTAATATATATTCGTGGGGAAGAAACATAGATGGGCAACTCGGAATCCAATCAACTTTATCTGAAAGAAGAACTCAGTACATACTCGTCCCAACGTTAATAAACATAGGTAAAAGAGCCTTTTGTTAAATATTATTAATGCATATTAAGTAATTTAAAAATAAGAAATAGATCAAGTATTATAAATTCTAAAAATTTTATTTCAGGTGTTAAAATAGTAGATATCTGTTGTGGGTGGGATTTTAGTATAGCTTTGGATTCTACAGGAGATGTATGGACCTGGGGTGCTAATCATTATTCTAAGGTATCTTCTTAATTTATATAATATTTGTATCTATGTTTACAAAAATGGCTGATTTTAGGGGACACGAGGAACACTTTCAAGTCTTGAAGGGGAAATTGTTGTCATTAATAATAAAAATAGAGTACTGAAGTTACCCCATTCTTCAACAAACATTCAGCCAGTTCCAACTATATTAGATATTCCGAATAAAGATGTAAGTAAGATGTGTTTATTTTGATTTAAAATTTGAAATGGTGCCTGACGTTTTGACATTTTACATTGTTTCATGATGGAAATAATAAAAATGTTTTTATGTTATTCCCAACAGGTGTACATAATGTAAGAAATACGTACATCAAATTAAGTTGCAATAATAATAATTAGTGAGCTTTCAGTCATCCGCTATTGTCATTTTCAGAGTTGTCAGACCTTGTAAAACAAATAAATTGAAATAAAATACTATTTTAACATCGATGTTCAGATAGGTACCAAAATTTGTTTACACAAAAATGTCTATGTCTTAGAACCCACTTTGCACAGAACTATCACTTAGGATACATAATCATCTTGAATTTTAGTTATAATGGTTTAAAGAAATTTTGTACTCTTACCATGAGACGTAACACTGTTAATAATTTGTTAGGAATGATTTGAAAATGTTTGGCCTAGTGAAATGCCGGCTTTATGTTAAAGGGTAAATTTTTTTATGGCTATTTACAGTTAAAATCTTGAATAAATCCCAAGGGGTGGGGCTCTTAATGCTGGGATTTGAACCCAGAACCTTCACCTTTGTGGCTCCTGGCATCCCCTGGGGATTTCATATTGTTAAAGCATTGAAAATTGTGTTACTTTTTCGATTATAAGATCTTGTATATTCAGTTTTATTCATATTTCTTCTTCTATTTCTTTTTCTTTGTATTTAAACTTTAATCTTTACTTGTTTTTGTAACTTCTTCATCAAGAGGCTGGCCAGGGAAGAAAAAGACTGTTTAATTTTCTAAAAGAAAAAATAAAATAAAATAATAAAAATCACAACATTATGAGATTTTTGTATTTTATGAGAACATCACAACTTCTCGAATATGTCTTTAATGTTTCAAGGTTTGTAGAGAGTTGATCCCGATCAGGATTGGCAGGTAAGAAACACATTACCTTATGAAACCGAGCATTATCATGCTTAGGCAATGATTCAGAGCCTAAGAAATTCATGATTTTTAAGAATCATCTCGTATCTTAAGGCATGCAGCCACCAAATATCGACCATAGTCAAAATGTCTCTTTTCCACAGCATTAGATGTATTGTTCTCCATGTCTTCTTCAGTCACTTTCACGGTCAACTTGTCTCATTTTTCTTTCATCTATTGTTCACAATTCGTATTGTTTTATCAATATTAGTCTATGATGAGGCCTTTCACAGGTTGTATTGATTTAATGTTTGACTCTTTATCTTCTAACAGTTGACCTTGATATTGATATTGAATTCAAGCAATCAATCAAGTTTTCAATAATGGGATGCCCTGAATTTATGCCAGTACCTTTTAACAGTTCTTGAAACTGACGGGTAACAAATGCAAAAACAAGCACGTAGCCCAATGGCTTCCCTTTTTCATGGAGATTCTGACACCATAGTAAAGAAAATGGAAAGAATAGAAAAAAGTGGAAAAATTTGATCCTTCGTATTTTGGTAAAAAGTGATTAATAATGATATGATTGATATCCAATGTCTCTCACCAAACAAATAATGTTACTATATGCATAAACATAAATATAGAGATTACTCATTCAAGGGCTGGCAGACGACTAGTTCATGCCATTACAAGTATTGTTTTGTTATTTTGTAAAAACAATGTAATATTTTATTATATTTTCTAAATATACTTTTATATATACTCATTCAAGGGATTTTTATGTACTTTAATGTTTTTTGTATTTTCTTTGGCTCTTTGGCCCCATTGATGGAACTTACAAGGAACTTTGCACTTTTTCCTGCATTCGTTTTTTTCTTGATTTTCTCTTCCTATAAAGTTCAACTTTTATCTTCCAAGTTTATTTTTTTATGGCCTTTAAATTAGATGTGACTGGTTGGTTTTACCTTTTTACATTTGTGAGAAATTAGTGAAGCATCAATGTATTAAGTTCCATTGTTATTACCTATTCTGAATGATTCTAAACTTAGAATATTGACTATATTTTGATCAAGAACTTGGCTTTATAAAACAGACTGCACAATTGAACAATTTTGTCTTTTATTTTACATCGTTTGAAATAATATATTCTCTTCTGTTTGGTTTTTCTTTATATTATGTGAAAGTCTTGTTGTCTTGCAATGTTCATTATGTTTTATTGTTACTGCAACTTATAGCATTTTACTTTGTTTTGTTATTTTTATTTTTTATTTTTTTACTTTTCATTGTTATTTTAGCTATTTCAAAAAATGTCATTAATGCTTTTAATTTGTTGTGCTCAATTTCATCCTTTTAAGTTATTTTTATTTTTCATATTTTATTACTATTTCAGAGTCTGACAGTTCCTATGTATGTTCCTCCAGAAGTACCAAAGTGCCTAACTATTGCTAATGCCGATAGCACCATTGTTAATGATATTTGGCGTTACCGTATGCATTTTATTTTAGAGAAGTTAATTCACTTTTATAATCCATCAGTCATTGTTCATCAGGTAATACACATTTTAATCATAAACATTTTAAGTATTAGTCCTTTGTTGTTTTGGATAGTGAAGGATCAGTAAAAATACTTATCGATGGGGTAAATTGTAACGTAAAATGCAATCCAGAGTCGTAATCCTTGTATTTCTGCATGGAAGCACTTTCTGCATTTTTAATAGTTTCTTGTGCATTGTTTATTTGTGTTATTATCATCCTTATTATTTTCCCACCTATTTTAATACAGCAAGCATTGCTGTTGGTTTGATTTGTAAATTAAAAAATTTCAAAAGGCACAAACTGGCAAAATATTACATAACATTCCACACTTCATTCCATTACTGTCGATAACCATCACAAAGCCCTAAGCAAATAAATAGATGTACATAATTTATATAGTAGTCAATTAAAAATCGGATTATCGAAGAATTGCCAAGATTGCAGTTCTATTTTTGACATGTATCAATTAGCATTGTTTCTGTTTCAGAGTAAAATGTTGAATGAGAGTGATGCTCAATCAAAACTGGCAGAACTGTCTGGAGATATAACAACGGCTGTTAATGAAAAGCTTAAATCGACAGAAAGCATACCTCAAATATCTTTAATTATCGATTACTTTTTACAGACGACAAATCAATCAGATCAGATTAACTCTCTAGTACATAATGTGAGTAGGCATTTTTGTTTATTTCATGTCAAAGTATGATTCAAGGATTTTAAACTTGTTTGTTGTACAATTACAATATTATAAATAATTATTCAGAAATCGTGAGATGCGGTCTGGAGTGAAGTGCATCTCACGATTTCTGAATAATTATCGATTAACAGTCACTAATCACCACACATTATAAATAATACGGAGACACAGATTTATTCTGTTTATTTTAATGATTTATTCCACTTACTTGTTGCTCCATTCAGAACTGGTTTCACAGAAATATTGTTCATAAATTGAACCAAGTATAGAAAGTTGTACCATTCTACTTAACCTATTTCATCCTCAAGTTTGAAGAACTGATTGTAGCCTCTTCATACGGTTATAACTAGTGGTCTCAGTGATATTTTTATTCATTGTTTGTTGTACCACTTTCTGGTAACCTTTATTATTATTTTGTTTTATATTTTTCTACTTAATTATCATTATAATAGAATCTTCATTGGTTTCTCCATTCAAGACTGGACTCACAGTAATATTGTTCATAAATTGAACCAAGTATAGAAAGTTGTACCATTCTACTTAACCTATTTCATCCTCAAGATTGTAGAACTGATTGTAGCCTCTTCATACGGTTGTAACTAGTGGTCTTAGTGATATTTTTATTCATTATTTGTTGTACCACTTTCTGGTAACCTTTATTATTATTATTTTGTTTTATATTTTTCTACTTACATATCTTCTGTATTGTATTATAATTATGTTGACCCCGTGGTGTATTGGACAATTGATACAAATCATTACTTTGCAGATATTTCAATTTTGGAATAAAAATGATCTAGATATAACAACACTTGAAGCTCTCTATTTAAGACATTGGGACAAAGTCGCATACATTGTTGGAAAGCATTTATTAGAGTAAGTACTGAACTTGATGCACATATTTTTCCATATAAATTAAATGTATGAAGTTACCTGTTAATGTCAAGCCTGATGAAATGGGTTAACTATTTCAAATAGCAAGACTTTTTTTTCTAAATTTTTTGTAAGTTTTTCTAATGCTGAATTCAGCTATGCAAAAGGTTTTAATTTGGAGCAACTGTTTTCAAGTTATTCGCAAAAACCTCTTTCCAAACATCGTGTTTGGTAAAAATGAACTCAACTTCTTAAATCAAGAACCAATTTATTTATTCGTAATTTTAATTTATAACGTTTTGAAGAATGGACATTGATTAGTTTCTTGCTATTTGAAATAGTTAAGGTCTTATTTGTATCCCACTATCTAAGAAAGTTAAACGTAAACATTTTGGCTCATGAGAAACTAGACAAAAAATAAATGTATATATGTCTTAGGTTTTTCCCAAAAAAATTCTCCAATAATAAAAAAATAAAATAAAAATCGGGGGATCAGAAGTATATTCATCCTGACTTCCAAATGGGCTTTTTTTCAGCTAAAAAACACCAGAACCTTTGGAGTTAATGTAACCATAATTTTATAATGTGATATTCGTTATCAGCATTCTCTTAACCTATTCCATAATTATTTTACATCACTACATTGCTGTAGAATGATTTGGACTTTTATAAATTATCGTTCAAGCAGTTTCCTTCATTGTTTAAAACATCTAATGAGCCCCTTGTAACCATTTACCAGTAAATTTTGAAACTTGTGTATTTGGTCGTCTTAGTCAATAAGACATTATTGAAGATGTCCCTCTTTCAGCTTGTCATATGATGTTGATTATGATGATGAGGATACTAGGAAGTTTTGGTATTTGAATATTTCTTAGTTCAGTTCAATCCAAGTTACTATTTTTAAGAAGTAGTAGGTGACAATCATTCCTACCATTCTTTTCCTTGGGCCTTCTTGATACCCCAGGTTATGTCTACATTGACCGGTTGGTTCGCATTGGAAGATATGCGTGGCAGTTTCTTCCTCCTACAAATGGTATTATCATGGAATATATCCATGTTGGATAGGTGTTTCCTTAGATAACAACCGGTATAAGCCGTATCATTGAGTTTACTAGACTGGCACCTCTAGAGTTGGTTGTTTAGTTTTGTGTGAACACATTGTGCAGGATCTTGTTATCCTGATTATAGGTTTGGGACCAATGTTGGTTTTTACATCCTTCATTGGTCTTTCTGCTTGTTCATTACCCAAAATTCCTTTGTGAACTAAAACCCAAGATATTGCTTGGTTGTTCTTTTCCCATGATTTGGATTGTGTTGGTTTTTATTTCTAGTGCTTTTACTTGCTTGGCTGATGATCTTTTTTTTTGTCAGTGTTTCTTTTAAGACATCATGTGACTTGATTCATTGTTTTGTTTATTACTCAATTTTTTCCTGTTGCACTTTTTTCTATTATGTACATTATCCAAGTTGTGTTTGATATTCTTATCAGCTTAAAAAGATTCAATGGCACTGTTATTACTTAATTGTGTAATTTATTTTTTTAACAGAAAATGTAGTAAATGGGGTCTGTTTTTACATTTGTTCTCGACTGATTTCAAACTTCAACTCATTGATAAAATGTGTTCTGAAAGCAGTAAGTAAATTGCATTTCATTTTATCACTTCCCTAACCGAACTGTACAATAATATTTATGGTTTGTTTACAGAGAGCAGTTTAACCTGCGTTCTAGAAGGATTCAACGATTTAAATGTACTTGTAAGCGCGCTAAATACGCCAGACAAATTTTTAGATATCGTATGTATTTTTTTCCCCTTTGAAATTTATTATATCATCTTGAAATGGTATCATTTGTTCGCAGGAGCCTGAAATGTTAAATGCATCAGCCACTCATACCAGTAAACGAACGTACTTAAGCACAAAATGACATATTTATTTTAAAGTTGAAATATAAGCTTTAATATACATGCACATGTATATTTATATATACATATAAGCATGTAGTGTTGATATAAATACTAAAAGAATGTAAACTGTGTAAATAAATTATTTATTGTTATGTAATGCTCCACTTTTTGTTTGTCTCTTTGTTTTTTAATTAAAAGAATTATAGTTGGAGGTTTTGACATACCATTTATTTATTATTGTGGAAATGTATATATGTTGATAAATTGTAATGATGGAAAGCCATCAGGAGCTAGCAGTACAAGTTATTTTCCTTATTACCTCATTATGGAGAGGTTTAGACATAAAGGACAACTAATCTCATAGTTTTATTTTAGTAATGGAGTTTATAATAATTCCAGCTCCAGATCAAACTTTGAAAATCGTGCTATAAAAGAATTTAGTCCGTTTGAAAAATCATGAGACAGAAAATATTAAATAGTAATTTGCTTTTTCAGCCACCCTACATGCTTCTGCTTTCGAGCGGAAAAGAAATCTTGCCACTGTGTATTGAAATTCAATTTAATGAAGAAAAAAAATTCAATTTATGTTTCTGCAGGGTGATCATGAAATTTGGTCTGCCTGTCCTAATTGGGCTTAGCTGGATACATTCATATGGAAAAAACAGTCTTGCCATCCACTGTACATCAACAACAAAGAGATATCGATTTCCATTCCAGTCAAATACTCAGGATTATACCTAGACAGCTAGTGGAATCTCTACACAATACATCAGAAACAACAATTTAACGGAAGACTTGGACAATTACGAAGACTTCTAGGACAATAATCTGTCATGACCGTGACACAAAACTAACCTCATACGAGACTTAAATGGGCCCATCTTGGATATAACTTCATATGTGAGTGGAGCTGTGGAGGAGGAGTGCAACTGTGGGGTTCTGCCAAGCCATCTAGCATCCAATACATCCCATCCTTCCATCAAAAGTCTTCAGACAAATTGTCAAAGCTCCTTACTACATTACTAACCTCAGTATCCACAATGACCTCAACATTTGTTTTGTTAATGAATTGTTCTGTTCTCGATTACAAAAGTTTCACGCCAAACACTCAATCCATCCTAGAGATCTCTCCTACACATTTGCATCCCCAGAACCTGCCACGTTGCCTTAGTTGACAATGGTCTTGACACCTCCTTACCCATTAATCCCTCACACTGTGTGCTAGCATAACAGTGCAGCACTGGCATTAGTGTTACTGCGTGAAAAAATTTGTTTTCATTTTTGAAATAATCTGTAAAAGAGATGAAAAAATCTAACCCTTTTCTCCAATGATTGGGGGTTTTAAAATTATACATTTAACATAATTATGTAAAATAAAAGCAAATCCCTTTGAGTTTAAGCCAGAAACAGTGTTGTCACAATGATTTCTCCGCTGCCAATTTAAAATCTCCATTTTGGATTCTGACAAACAAACTGAAGATGATATTGAAATGCGTGTGACAGACCAACCCAGTGAGGAGAGGCAGCATGATCGGTAACGATCAAATTTCCAAAAAAAGAAAACCTTGTGGTTGAATCTGAAGGTAAAATAATTTAAGGAATTGAGAACCCTTAAGGTTTAGATATTTACAAGGATCTTTGGGAACTGTTTTAAATAGTTCTAAATATATAACATGGTGTTGATAAAGAGTACTTAAACTGAAACAACAATACAATATATTTATCAAAGCTTTATTTTGAATTATTCATATACTAAAACTGAATTACTTATATTTATACAATATTGGTTACATGGTAATCAGTTTGTAATAATTAAAGGTATTTAACAAGTTTCATACATAGTTAGACATTTGAGTTCCTTCAGCAAAAATATAACTATTTTATAGTACTGCCATTTGGATGACAGTGATAAACAATTTATTTCAAGTGTAAGAAAAAAAAGTGGAATAATAGGATAAATTAAAAATTAACTATTGACCTAAGAAGACGGTCGCCAATGGGGCTCTCATGGCCCATCCCCTCAAGGAAAAAAGTATATTTTTGTATTAACAAAAGTGAAATCATATTGCCACTAATTAAGAGGATTGTACCTGGTATAAAACAGGGTTATAGAATGACTAAATAAAAAATAAATTTTATTGGTATCCTAATTGTAATTCAGAATTTAGTCAATACAATCATCCTTGACCATCAGCACAATAGGATGTCAGTTCTGATATTGAGCAACTTTTCCTACAGCATTCGTCGTAAACGCCTTTTTTATTTCGGAAATAATTTTTAGAAAACATGGACAATGCGTTTTCTTTTGAATTGATTGGAATAAGGTCATCAGTCTCCTCTCCTTCCAAGAAAACATTCATACGATCATCCTCGAAATTATCTGGGGAAAAGAAAAGAAGTTTAAAATAAATTAATCAACAGCTGTGGGAAATTCTATGTTAGTAGAAAGTATGTATCAGAATGTCATGAAATTTTGCAACTGCGGTTCAATGCTCTGGGATTTTTAAAAACAATACAAATAGTTTTAAAATACCTGAATAATACATAACAAAATGAAACAGGGAGGATGTTTCAAACCAAGGAAGGTTGTGATTTCTCACAAGTATTGTTTTTAAACACCAGTTTTTATCTTTAATACATATACAAAATATCATTTCAATGGTTTTCTTGTTGTTTTTACTTAATATGTATTTGGTGTTATTTTTAAGTTTTATAATGTAATAATTTTAATATGGATGATAAAATATCAAGTGAAGTTTGAGGCAAGTATTGTTTTTACAAACCAATTTTTACTGCTAATAAGCATATAAATGATTATTTCAATGGTTTTGTATTGCTGTTGTTTTTATATATGTATTTGCTAAAGTTTATAACAGGATAATTTTAATATGGATGATAAAAGTCTTAAGGGGGTGAAATACTGAATAATGTTATGATCTCTGACACGTGTTGTTTTTACACACCAGTTTTTATTGCTAAAAAGCATATAAATGATTATTTCAATGGTTTTCTATTGATGGTTGTTTTTATGTATGTATTTGTTAAATTTTGTAATAGAATAATTTTAATATGTATGATAAAATATTTATGAAGCGGTGAGATACTAAGTAAGGTTATGATCTCTGACAATTGTTGTTTTCACACACCAGTTTTTATCGCTTATACACATATAAAATATTTTTTCAATGGTTTTTCATTGTTGTTTTTATGTAATATGCGTTTGTTGTTATTGTGAAGTTTTATAATGGAATAGTGATAATATGGATGATAAAAGATCGAGGAGGGGCTGATTGATTGAGTAAGGTTATGTTTTACACACCAGTTTTTAATTTTAAAACATAAATTATTTTTTACCGGTTTTCTATTATTTTTGTATTTATATTATATAATATGTTTTTATTGTTATTGTGAAATTTTATAATGGAATAATTGTAATATGGATGAAGTACTTTTTTACACACTAATTTTTATTGCTAATACTCATATACACGTAGTTATAAAAAAGTCTCCAAACCCCTTCAGTGAAATAGAACCAAACCAAATTATTAATTAAAATAAACCAAATTAATTTAAAATAATTATTCAGAAATCATGAGATGCGGTCTGGTGTGATGTAGGTTTCAGAAAAGCATTTTCTTTATTGTGCCAACATGGGCACTCTCAACACGACACACAAGAATGGCACAATTACACAGAAGACAAACACTTTGAGCCCTGAAGATGATCTCAATATAATAATAAAGATTGAAACATTGGTACGATAAAAAAAAATGTTTTTCTGAAACCTACATCACACCAGACCACACCTCACGATTTCTGAATAATTATTGATTAACGGTCACTAACCACCACACATTAATTTACAATTAAAAGAATAATGGGCTAAATTGATTAACATCACCGTCTTGCATCTGTAAATTAAAATCAACATCAAAAACCATATAACATGTAATAGTATTTAATATGAAGAAATTAAACAACATACATATATAGAGTTATACATTTCAAGCAAAAAAAAGTCTCTGAACACATGGTTTTTCATTTTTATAGACACTTATCTAAATTTATCTCAGTTATGTATAGGTCCACCCCTACTTTTTATTACTCGTAATGAACAATTTTTCATTGATAGAACTAATTTTTTGTCACATCCGGGGTTGTATTAGACTACTGAAAAATCTCTTCTTTTAGAAGGTTTTTGATTGTAATATTCTTTTTTTAAGCTGTCTTCCAATATGAGCCCAAAAGTATGTTATGTGTTTCTTTGTAATTTTATTTACAGGGACAGTAATGATTCAGGGTCATTTTCGCCCTGAAACTTTGGCCTAAGGCTCCAATCCTGCAGGCCAACGCACCAGTCACTTTATTTACTTTTTATTCATTTATTCATTTAATATTTGTTCTTGCTATCAGTATAGTAGATCATATTTTATTTGTTAAATTTGTTGCTGTCAAAAAGGTGAATAATTTAGCAACATTTTCTTGGTTGCCCATATATTTCATACAGCATATTTGGGGGAGAATAAAATTTTCTTAAGTCATGATATATGTGACATGATAGTAAAATAAGTTTTTTTTTTTNACATACTATATACAATAAAAAACCCCAATTTCCCCTAAAAAAAAAATGTTTTGTTATTATTTCATTGCATGCTCCACATGCACAGGCCATTAAGTGACTCTCCGTGGTCCGGTAGTATCCTATTCTTAACCTACTCAATTCAACCTGCTCCGTTCTCTTCAACCTAAACGATGAAGACCATGCCTGTACGGTAGACTTGATTTCATGAAGCTTGTTGTTTGTAACTGAATGCCAGGTTTTTTGCCATTGTAAATATATTTTCTCCTTAAAGGAGAGGTCATCCTTGTTTACCTCCACAACAAGGTTTCTATCTCCAACTGCCTTCATGGCAGCCATATCCGCTCTCTTATTGCCAGGGATACCTGAATGAACAGTAATCTAAAGAAAAAATACTCTTTTCCTTTGCTGCTCAAGACGCCTCAATGAGTACAATAGATCCTGTACCATAGGGTTATTTCTGAAAGGATGATTAAATGTTTGCAGGGCAGCCATGGCGTGCAAATAGCCATTATTTGCTCGTCTGTATGGATAATGTTGAAGGATTTATCTATGGCTATCATTTCGGCGCTATAGTTGCTTGCTAGGGGTTTTAGTGAAAATAAATATTTCCTTTTAAAGCACAGATACTCTTGCAGCACCAACACCCCTGATTTTTTTGAAATTCATGTTTGTATATGTAGTCAGGAGTGGTGGCTTTATTATATTTTGCCAGTGATAGTAGAATTTTAGGGTAGGGTAAAAGCCAGGGAGAATAATCGATTTGGTTTCTTTTTGGATTGGGAGACACTGAAAACTGCATAACCTGTAGGAGCAAATACAGTCGTGTTATGTGTTTAAATCGGACGTTTGGAGTGGTGTCCAGAGCTATCTAGGTGAATTATATAGTAATCTTACTTGAGTTTTCCGAGTCATGTGTTTGAGGTTGTTACATTGCTGGAAAGTCCTTTGCACACCCACTTTAATAGTGCTTTCCTTTAAATTCTTTTTAGAACATCGATGTAGATGGTCCATGATTCCATTGATTATGAAGTAAATTGCCAACTCATCTATAGACCAAACATCCCACCACCACCCTGTTTAACCGCCAGTAGTGTATTCTTTAATTTCAAGTGTTCCCCTGGCTTACGCCACATTTTTTTCTTCAATCAGACCCTGAGACATTAAATTTGCTCTCACCGGTGAAAATAAATCTCCCAAAATGTTTCAAAGTCTTACTTAAATTTGCTTTTCCCTTCTTGCTTGTATAGGTCTTCTTTCTGGGATTACGTCGGCGCATGCCTTGTTTTTAATAATATTTCGTAATGTTCGGGGCATAAATGAAATATGATATGGCATATGATGCAGAATACATACAATTTCGGAGGCACTTATGGATGGGTTGGTGATCATTTCCTGGAGAAAGGCATGCTTTTGGATGGTGCTTAATTTTTCAGGATGACTTATGGTATGGTATGGTGATAAGGATACTAGGAAGCGGGGTTTGTGCTCCCCAGGCACTGCAGCCTTCTGGCTTATTGTACCTTCCTACTTCCTTAGTTCAGTAGTCCTTAGAAGTATCAGGTCATTTACTGTCTCTGCTACAATCTCCATTGAGCTGTTGCTTCGCATTCGAAGATGATATGGGTGGCTGTTTCCTCCTCCTCATTAAATAATCTGTCTTTAATGTCTGGCTGATCTAAATACGGCCTGTTTTCAGCATTACTGTTGGTATTATGAAGAAAAATCATTTTGTGAAATAGGAAATTGTACTTAAAACTCAACCATTGACAATTCATTATACCAGGAGATGATGTTACGAATTGTCAACGATTGAGTTTTAAGTACAATTTCCTATTTCACAAAATGATTTTCCTTCATTATACAATTACTTCTCGAATCGACCTCGGTATTACCATATTGAAGGCTAAATATCGTAATCACTAAGCAAAACATGATTGCTATTAAGATGATATTGTACAACATAAATAATCAGGCTCTAGACAGCGAAGTTAGGAAAATGAAAGTGTTTGCCTAGGGTTCGGAAACTTTTTTTGCCTCTCAATTAGCATATTCAAAGTAATGAAGACAAAGCACGTTTAAATGAAATCATTTATATTTTAAAGTCCAAAAGTCTTTAAATATTACATTAAAATATACAAAAATAATGCGTTTGTATCGAATGACATAAAATAAGAAATTTAGAGTTCATATTTTGAGCAACTAGTAGGTGTTCAGACATTTGTTTTACTGAGTGTGAAATGATTATTTCAATTGTTTTTCATTGTTGTCTGTATTTATATATGTATTTGTTTATATATGTATTTTATAATAGAATAATTTTAATATGGATAATAAAAGACAGAGGAGGGGCAGATATTAGCAGGTCGACAATAATAAAACTGGAGGAAAAGTTCAAAGAAAAGGTGGAATTTATAAGTATCTTGTACAATTAGTGAAAAACCTGTGTCATTAAGGGACGGTTAGATAGGAGTGCGAGAAAGAAACAAACAGGCATATTATTTTTTTAGGATAGTTTTCGTATTTAGATCAAAAAGACTAGCAATTTTAAAATTGTACTTTTACTTACAGGATTTCTTGAACATGTGGTTGTAGTATCCATTGCAAATGACTCGGAGCGCCTCGTGTATCTCTGGACCGCAGTATTTCTGGGAGCTCCTTTTATGGAAAGGAGCGTATGAACGTAGATGGTAGAAATTTCCGAAAACCGATGCAACCGCAGCCAAAAGGATGATCCACCTCCACATCTTCTGAAATAAATTTCTATTTGAGATTTTTTTAGTACGGCAAAGGGCAGCAAGAGAAAACAATGAGCCATTTTTTAACATATATTGGAAATAGACTGACACAAGATGCTTAAATTTTACAGACAGGGATAAAATATTTTATCTAAGCATAACTCGGTTTCACCTTCGTTAAAGTCCGGCCACTCGCTTAGTCAAGCAGTATGCCTAACAACGTCAGCAATGCTGTCAAGATGTGTTAAAAAACAGATATGAACTCGGCAAAAAAAGAGACTATCTTGTCAGCATTCGGGCGAAAGTGTTTACCTCTGCATAAAGTTATCTTGGTATTTGGCCTTGTAAACCAGTGTTTCGACTTTATTACATATTTACTTGATCTAATATGTAATGTTAATGGTAATGGTAAATGTGTGAAGATGGTTAAGCAGGACTTTTCCGTCTTACGGAAACTATTATGATTCGAATACAGGTCACATTTCCTGTTTTTAAACGACGAACATGTCGACAATTACAATGGCGAATTAACGAAAAGCGCCACTACTTCATTTTTGGGGGAGTTCAACTCTCTAAGCGAACCGTGACAGAACAAACGTGCAACGATTATTAAATTTTCAGTTGACAAGTTAGAGCAATAGAAACTGCGCAATGCCAGATTGCGACAGACAGAGCGAAGATAATCAGACAGAAAAATGACTACGACCATTCTTGTTTCAACTATCCTGAACGTAGTAATTTTGATTCTGTCCTTAAATAACTCTTAGTGACTGGGTGTTTTGGTGGCCCTGACAAGGGCCAGTGTTGTTTTGGAGTGTAGAAACGATTTTTGCGGCCGGGACCGTGTGTGTGTGTGTGCCGTTGGTATAGGTCCGTAACCGAGGGAGGCGTTGGCTGAGGTCCGTGGAAGTTGTGGGTCGGTTGACTCTGCAACGGTTGAAGGGACTCTAGTACAGCGGTTGGCCAGTAGCCAAGTCAGCAGTGTTGAGAAGGCGAGTTCGAGGCTAATGTTGCGAGTACCCTTGCTGTAGTCGGTGCTCCATTAGTGATTGTTGAAAACTCGTCGGGGAGTCGAATCTCAACGCGCAAGATGAGATCTCGTCGAATAGACGAGTCAAGACTCGAGGTGTCCAGTTAGATCTCGTCGGACAGACGATTCACGAGTCTGAACTGTCTGAAGGCAATGGGGCAACTGGCAGTGCCCTTGCTTATATACAAAATGGCTCTACTTTGATTGGCTGCAGAGTGGAGAGCGAGACCATACCAAAATCAGAACTGATGGTGACACTTGGCGGGTACCGTGGTAACTGTAGGTGGCCACCACATTATTGTTAGCAGCTTATCGGTTTGTGAATAAGCTTCAATTTAATTGCGATTTCTCCTAGTTGTGCAGAGAGTCTACGGCTTTTGTAAATTAGTCAGATCGAAACAGCTAGGACAGGCTAAAATGATGTGGCGAGACCACATTAAGCGATCATGGACAAAAAACACTAGGCATGTATGTTAAGAGATTTATAAATCTCTGAAAGTGGAAATTGATCTATCTCTCAGCATGCAAGATTTGAGACCTCTATCCCGGCTTCCTCTTGACTACCATCTAAAGAGTTTGGGCAAAGCAGGGACAGAAACATACCGAATATGTCAAAAGAAAACAAGAGACATCAGTTCATATCCAAATGTTTGACACTCGTCATGATAGGGTATATCCACTTTAGTAAGGCACCGAGGAAAGTGGTTAGATTTTCAAGCAAAAGAGCACTTCCCACGGTCTATCGACAAATAGATTATAGACCTGACTATAATCATAGGGGTTCCGCGATAGTTCTAGATCTTTGGAGAAAATGTCGAGAACCTGTGCTCTTGTCGTTGTCAGTTTGGTCTGTCAGATGAGTTTGGGTTATAAACTGGGTGAGGCGGAGAACTGAAGATGGCAGAATGACGAATCGCGAAAAAAATGTTTCTTCGGAATAAATTGGCCAAACGAATCACGGACTGGCAACCGAGAGAAAAAAAGAAAAAACAGGCAGATATAAAAAGAAACCAAGAAAGACCATGATAGTCATGTAATCTGAAGTATTTCGGGGGTGACACAAAAATGAGTTCTTCATTAGCTCAATAGGACTTCCTTGGACAATAACTGCTAATACATAGAATATGATTTAAAAAAAATTATAATAGACGTATAATCGAGAACAAAAGGCTCTTTTATATTCTCCTATGATTGAGAAAAAAGGTAAGGTAGACTCAACAGAAGGAGTAATGGCAGGTCAAGCCCTGAAATGCCCAGAAACGTAGCTGTGGAAAGATCGAGAGATCTGGATTTTCAACACGAAAGGGCTAAGTGTCTATATTTCAAAAAATTGGGACTATTGAAACCCTTTAAATGGGCCAAATGAATGGGACGAACTGGACAGTCAAGGAATCTGAAGAACCTCGGGGGTGACACAAAAGTGAGGAACCAGCTCATTAGGACATCCTTGGACAATAACTTCTAATACATTCTGTATGATGAACAAACTCCATTTATAATAGTACAATCGAGATCAAAAGGAAGGCTCTTTTGTATTCTCCTATGAATGAGGAAAAAAGGTAAGGTAGACTGGACAAGGGTAATGGCAGATCAAGCGCTGAAACGCCCAGAAAAGAAGGTGTGGAAAGAAGCTTGCCTGGATTTTCAGAAAAAAATGAATAACCCAACATTAGAAACATCCGAGTGGATCGAAGTCACGATAGCTCAAGTGGTAGAGCAGCGGGGTATTTAGCCGAAGGTCGTGGGTTCGAATCCCGCTCGTGACACTAACTTTTTCATTTCAACCAATACTTTACATAAAGATTAATTAATTGAAAGAAGTAATTTGGTCAATCGGACCACGAAATATAATGCATTAGAAACATTAGGAAAAAACTATGTCCACCACACCTTGGACGGTGTTTCTTCGGAATAAATGACCGGGAAAGAAAAGAAAAAAAACAGGCAGGTTTAAAAAGAAACGGATAGGCTTGGATCGTTATGGAATCTGAAGGATCTCGGAGGCAAAAAGTGCAAGAAAAAGATCGGAGGCGACACAAAAGAGACGCCTTCCTTGGACAATAACTGCTAATATAGACAATACGTTAAACAAACCGAATTTTTAATAGACGTATAATCAAGACTAAAAGGCTAAAACAGGCAGAAAAGTGTTTAAATAAAATAGTGTCTATGTTTAAAAAAAATTAGGGATATTGAAACCCTTTAAATGGGGCAAACGAATGGGACGAATTGGACAGTCAAGGAATCTGAAGAATCTTGAGACGAAAGGCTCAAGATAAAGTTATTCACCGGTTTGCATGAATTAGAGGTTGATTCGGACCTGCCAATATTAAAATTGAAGTTTTCAGATCCACACTTAAAGCTAAAAACTTCATGGCTTTTGATTCAAAAAAATGCCGAGTCCAAAAACCACTTTTTCTCAGCTGAATTCAAATTAATAAAAACCAAAAAAGAAATCGACACGTCTGAAGTTGTTGCAAGTTTACTTACTGCTGGTTTTCAAGTGAACACTTCCAGTCCTGTTTTCGTATTGACCGTCCAGGGGAGGATAGCCATGAATAAATACCCTTTCTTCTTACTTTTACTAATTACGTTGTCATCTTCATATAATTTACGCATCAATAAGTGATGTCAAGTCAATTTCATACCCTCATCGATTCGTACAGACGTGATTTCACCTAAGTATGTCAACAACTAAATATACGTAAAGGAGTCGACGGTTTAAATGCAAAACGCCCCCTAGAATATAAATAATATAATCGTATTACGCATTACTATCGTACCTAAATCAATTAAATGTCAGTACGATTACCGAGAAAAGTTATACGCTCAGATGATTTAGTTAATCTTATACCAAATTGTCTGGAACAAGGTCAGTTTGTGAAATTATGTATTTATTATTAGCACTTCAGATTTGACGCAAAATGTACGAGATTATTAAGCCTTTTTTGCATACTACCATACTCATTTAGAACAATTTGGGATGTGGGATATATCGCAAACTATATGTCTTTTCTGCCTTTTTCTTAGGATCCATCACTCCATCAATTTGTAGGCGGTTCCACTTAGAGTCACATGAATCAAGGGATGTCGTTCGTGGTCAAACTTCTAGCATCTAAAAGTGATGTTCCGAGATGGCGGTGAATCACAGCTATGACTGTTAGGACTGTCGATGATTTTAATACAGTGTAGATACTCCCTGTAAATGCTATTACTGTCCTAGTGTGAACACCACCTGTCACGGCTGTCGGGCATAAATCTTAACGTGCAATTGGCAAACTTTAATCTAAAGCACCTTCTTTTGCCAGTCTGCCTTTTCGTTGCCTTTATCCAGCGTAAACCCAGCCTGCCATCCCAATCCCAACAATTCTCTTAGAGTTTTCGACTTTACTACCTACTACCTAATAGGTTCTGGGGGTCCAACAGCTCGGCGTGATTTTGTATTTGTAAACCATACATGATTGAATAATATTTTCTTTAGCTCTTCTAAAAGTCATTTACTCGTACATAATCTCGCTGCCAAGAGGAACTTTGTTATGTCAACATTATTTCCTTTCTCATATGTGACCTAGTTACCTAAAAAGACCTAAAAAGAAAGAATTATTGATATAGTTCTTTTTCATCGTTCATAAACTAAATCTCTAAAACTTTTAGACATACGTTTCTCGAGTACAAAAAAAAAAAGATTTAACTAAGAACTACAGCTCACTTAGAACTACAATTCACTTATAGTTCACTAAGAACTATAGTTCGTTTAAAGAAAGACTTGTTAAGATAGTTTGTTCGGGACTAGTTCATTTGAACTTATTCGTTCAGTAACTGTATCTCTACACATTTTTATACATACATATGTCGAGAAACCACCCTTTTTGGAATTTTTGATAAAGTCATATTAATACACGCTAGAAAAGAAAAAATGAAAAAGAACTATATTTCATTAAGAACCACAATTCCAAAAAACGATAGTGCACTAAAAACCCTAGTTCTCTAGGATCTACAGTTCATTAACAACTACAACTCACTAGGAACTATAGTTCACTGAGAGCTACCGCTCACTAAGAACTGTAGTTCGTTAGAAAGAAAGACCTGTTAATACAGTTCTTTTTCATCATAAACTAAATCTCTACAAAATTTTAGGCATACGTATCTCAAGTACCCACCGTTTTCGTAATTTTTGAGTGATAATAATACACGATAGAAAAGAAAAAATGAAAAAGAACATAGTTCATTGAGAACCACAGTTCGCTAAGTACTATAGTGCACTAAACACCCTAGTTCATTAGGAACTACAGGTCATTAAAAACTATAATTCACTTGGAACTATAGTTCACTAAGGGCCACAGTTCACTAAAAACCATAGTTCATTACGAACCATCGTCCACTGAGGACCATAGCCTAAAAGCAATTCAGTAAGAACGCAGGGAGGAATTTCTCATTTATGTTTTCCCTGTTTTATAGCGGATTTTAACCCTACAAGCTCAACGATCAGTAAAATACTTTATAAATTTTACCGATCATTGAACTTGTAGGGTTGAAACTGGAAACATAATTGGTTATTCTCGCTTATTGTTCAGAATTAGCTGGATACCCTGTCGCGAGACACGTAAACTGTCGTCTATTGTGCCGATCACTTCTAATGGATTCCCTGGAAGATTTTCGTTTCTTTAATCAATAGAATTCTTATGAGGGTATAGCTCAAGAGCTGTTTTTCCCAGGTGCCATGGCCTTTTCATAGTTTTTCAGAACAGTTGTGTCTTCTAAACAAAATTGACATATCATCCGATGATAGTTCCATTTTGTTAAGGTAATTAACTGGTGCATGTTCTGTGAATGTACCATTTAGAGTTTTTAATTGCTTTCTGATGGGAAGGATTTTTTTTTATTTTTTATTTTTTTAGCCTTTTTGCCTTACGCTCAATCAAGCTGCTACAAATGGGTATATTGGGGAGGATGAAACTGCAACCCGACACAACCCGCGGCACCAAGAAGATATTACAGCATAACAGTCAATGACCTGACTGCTTTGCATTCCAAACCCCCGCTTCTTAGTATCCTAGTATTCTTTTCATCATCAGGGTTGGTTAATTTAAGTTATTGAGAGATGTGTTTAATTGAGCTACAACTTGTCTCTATGGGCAGGTCAAATGGGAATAGAATAACTTCGATAAATCAAGTTTTCCCTAGTCACATCTGTTTATCCGTTTCCAAGGATCCTCAAGTCGTCTGGTACTAGTCTTACAAGTTGCAAGACGATGGAGGAAGGCATCGTTGTCAAAACGCCAACAAGTGAAATATCTTATTCTTATTCGAAAGAGAGGAAACACTTCGGAGGGCCGTGCCGGTTCGGGGACACTGAAACCGAGCTCAGAATAGACATCATCCCTAACCCAGATCTGATGGAGGGTGCCCAAATCTTGGATGTCGTTGAAAAAGGGTGCCAAATTTCGGCCAGCCTTTCCCTACACGAAGTGAGTCGGATTTCTATCATAGGTTATACCTTAACTGAAGTACAACATAAGAATGTTGGAGATACACTTTTGGAAGAGCAACAAACTGTTACGTTGCGATTATACAATGAGTTTTATTTTGTTTCATGTAATTTTTGAAAAAGTTGTAGTAATAAAGGATAGAAAAGACAAAACGAAAAAGAACTATAGTTCAGTAAGAACCATCGTTCGTGAAGTATAGTTTTTATAGTTCATTAAAAACTATACTTCATTAAAAACCATAGTTGACTGAGAAAAGACCTGTTCTTTTTTTCTTTTTGGATAGTTCGTTTTAAACTAGTACATAAACAAACTGCACATTTCTAGATATTTTTATACATACATAATAATCGCAAGTAACCCACCATTTTCGGAATTTTTGAAAAATTCATATTAATACAGGTTAGAAAAGAAATAAACAAAAATAACTGTAGTCCACTAACAACCAGAGTTTGCAAGAACCATAGTGCACTAAGAACAATATGTAGTTCACTAAGAACCATAGTTCACTAAGACCTATCGCCCACTAAGGACTATATTTCACTAAAAAGAAAGATCGGCCAATAAAGTTCTTTTTCGGGAAGAGTTCGTTCGAACTAGTTGACGAACTACAAATCTCTAGATATTTTTATACATATATACATATCTCGAGTAATAATAATAACAATAATGTGGGAATTTTAGGGGTCGACAAAAAACTGAGGTCATCACCGGCCCTCTCCGTGTTTTTACTATGCGTATTTTTCAGCTCATATCTTGAATAACCCACCATTTTTGGAATTTTTTGAACTAGATCACTTAGAACTAAAATTTACGAAGAACTATAATTCACTAAGAACATTAGTTCATTAAAAACCATAGATCACTAGGACAATAAGTTCACTAATAACCATAGTTCACTAAGAATTACAGCTCACTAAGAACTATACTTTTTAATATAGTTCTTTTTCGGGGAAGTTCGTTTTTAACTAGTTTATGAACGAACTAAACACCTCAAGAAATTTTTATACATACTTAATAATTTCGAGTAACTCATCGTTTTCGGAATTTTTGACGAAGTCGTATACACGTTAAAAAATAAGACAATGAAAAACACTAATAACTATAATTCCATAAGAAACCATTCTAAGAACTGTAGTTCATTAAGAACCATAGTTCACTAAGAACTGTAGTTCATTAAGAACCATACCTCACTAAGAACTATAGTTGTTGTTCTAGTTGTTATATTGTTCAATAAAAATATAGTTAATCAAAAGCCATAGTTAACTAAGAACTATAGTTGATTAAGAATGCAAATTAGCAAGTGCATTTCGATTTTATAAGTCCTTTACTGTTGAAACTTTTATAATCGTGGTCCTGGGCTTGAATTATCATCACTCTTAGAATTCTTGATAAAAATTGCAAAATATGTATTCTTAAGTGTTCTTAACAATATACATTCTTTACAATTCCTTCTCTTCCAAAAGTGCCAATTTGAAGGTGGTAACTTTTAATATATGTGATTGTAATGATATAGTGATAGAGGTTGATTGATTGAATATCAACGCCTTATTAGACGAATGTATTAGATGGATTATACACCCTCGATCACTACATCATTACAATTGTAACTGTTGGCCAATCCTATCAAGATTTTTTAATATATGATTCAGGTGAACACAACAAGAGCGAACTACGTGCAAAGCGGTATGAACCACACTGAAGGCGGTTGGCCGAAAGACCTGAATTTCATGGACCCAGAACAAACGATCCGTTTCAGAAAAAAAGTGGAAAAAGATGAGATGTATACACATGGTATTCTACAGCTTTTATTAGTTAGTATATTAATGTATATGCAACGTGGAGTCTTATAATTTGTATCTGACATACGTTCAGGCTTAAACCATTCACACAGACAAGAGGAGAATGAAAAAAATCAAAATTGAAATTATCACAACTTACTGCTCAAAAATAAATAGTTAACAAACAATTAACAAACTAATAAATATAAACAAAAAAAGGCAATTCAAAACCAGGCATTCACATATTTGGACTAATAGCACCATTAGGAAAAGAAAGTAAAGACAAAACACATCATTGTCTTTATTAAAAACAATACATAATGTAAAAATAAAACGAGCTGAAGAATGTGATAATCAAAAAAGTACAAATATCAAGTAAACCAAGAATAACTAAACATATGAACAATTTGCCTCTTTCACCCCATCTATTCTTTCACAAACATACAGATCAACCACTTGTTTATTTTCCACCAGAGAGATGAGACAGACTAGGTTAACCTAATTAATGGGTTCATCAATTATAAAATATTGCTTCACCACAAATACTCAATTATTATTTGTTCGTTTTAGCCCATGGAGCATTGCGTTCATCAAAACAACGCAATAAATATTTACGAGCTTTATTTTTCTGAATGGGACGAAGGAGACACAGGTGAAGAAAGCAGGTTCAGGACTGTAAACGTTTTCAGAGACATGTGCACGCCAAAACGACCCGTGTCACACATTTCCTGGTCGCCCGACCAGGGATCCAGACTCGCAGTAACTCATGCGAATCTGAATTTTCAACACGATCTGTCTGAAAACTTGCATCATTCTTATATATGGCATATAGGTGAGATTAACATATCCAAAATATAAATTCTGTATGTTATCACAGCAATAAAATATAAATTCTCTGAAAAGCAAAGCATAAATCTATAAGGCAAAGAAGTAGCGTAAGGGAAATCATGAGACTTTCATAATTACACCTAGTTTCATAACAGATTTTCTTCCCAGAAAATCCCAACAAACCCGAGTTGGTTATTGATGCTGGTGTGCCTGTAGTATGCTTAGAATATAATCCTAGAGATTTAAACAATTTGGTCGGAGGACTTGGAAATGGGCAAGTGAGTGTTTCTCTACACACTTCTTCAAACTTATTGTCACTTCACTTTTATTGTCTATGTAGGTTGCGATATGGGATATAAGGAGAGGATCGCAGCCGCTCGACTTATGCGATCATTATCATAGTTTCAGAGACCCAGTTATGAGTGTACTTTGGATAAACTCAAAATCGGGTATGGAGTTTTTTTCTTCTTCGACAGATGGGCAAGTAAAGTTTTCCACAGGTTCAAAGAGACTAATTAGATTATACATGTAAGCTTGTTATTTTTTCATCAAGGTGAAATGGTGGGATGTGAGAAAATTGAAGTCGCCGTTGGAAACACTCATGCTTGACATAAGCAAAGGAGAAGACCAGTTGCTAAGTAGAGCATTGGGTGCATCAGTTTTAGAATATGAGCCAACAATACCTACAAGGTTTATGGTATATAATCAATTTAATTTTAAAATTTCTTAAATATCTCACTAAACAATATTTATATTATCTATAGTTTTTCAATATTTATTAACCTTAACCCCTCACATCAATTCTCTATAACCTAACCTGTCCTTAACCCTAATTCTCCATAACCTAACCTGTCCCTAACTCTAATTCCACCTAACCTAAACTACTCCTAATCCTACCTAGCCAGTCCCTAACACTAATCTGACCTATCCTGTCCCTAGCTCTAATCCTACCTAACCTAAGCTGTCCCCATTCCTACCAAAACTAACTTGTCCCTTTAACAGTCAAATAAATCAATTAAATAATACAGTTCACTCAACAGACAATAGCAAATGATTCAGATACCATATTAGTAGTATTGAATATCTTCTTAACTTAAATTGACCTCACTTTGAATTCATGTTTCCATGTTATTAAATTTTACCTTGTTTACACGATTTAAGTTGAGAATTTGAATCAGGTCGGCACAGAGAAAGGAATAGTAATTTGTGGAAACCGAAAAGGGAAAACGCCAAGTGAAAAATTAGGTGTGCAATATCAAGCGCATCATGGGCCAATTTGGTCGTTACAGCGAAACCCGGCATTCCTTAAGAATTTCCTCACAGTAGGTGATTGGACAGCCCGTGTCTGGTCTGAAGACTGTCGTGAATCATCGATCATCTGGACAAGGTAAACTCTGAAATCACTGAGCACTTATGTAGAATGAAATAATAGTAGATAAATGAAATAAAAATAAAAATTAGAATTTAAAAAAATGAAAATTGTTTGTTACAGTTATCAAAAGACAAAGCTCACTCGTGGTGCGTGGTCTCCCACCAAACCTTCTGTATTCTACACGACCAGAGTTGATGGGACACTGGATGTTTCAGACATACTCCAAAGCCAAAAAGAAGCCTGCCTCAGTATCAAGGTTTTCAGGGATGTATAAAAAATTATCATTAAGATTTAAAAGCAAATTTAACTTTTGCAGGTGTGTGATGAGCCTATTCATGGATTACGATGTCACGATAATGGTGAAGTTGTAGCGGTTGGAAATGATGTTGGAACAACTTATATAATAGAAATTTCAGAAAAACTTGTGAAAGCATCCAAGAACGACAAAGCATACCTTACAGCAGTAAGCTTTCACAAATATTTAAAGAATATTTTATGACCAGAATTAAATATGTTTAAATAAGTAACAGGCTATTTAAATTATTGTTGGAGTTATGTAATTTTAGTTTTCACAGATATTTTATTTAGCCCTAGTTTTCAATTTTTCTATCCCATGTCATAGAACGCTGCACCTTTAGTGTCAGTAAGTTTGTGGTGAATCTGTAGTTGTTCATTTCTGATAAATCATTCCACATCTACCACAATGTGGAGTATGGGAAAAATTTGTACAAGTTCATCTCATTTTCTGTCTTTAGTTTTGACTTTCTATTTTGTAAAAAAAGACAGGCGAGTTTGGAAGTTCCATATCAGGATTTTCCAAGTTCAGTTCCAGGCTATAGACTCTCCATCCACTTTCAGTTGTGGGGGTTTGGTGTACTATGGAATGTGAATATTTTTGCACCATAGTTGCATCAATTAAGTTCACTTTTCCTATCTTAAAGTACAGGTTAGGTTAAGTAGGGTTAGGGTCAAAGGTATTCTAGGTTAGGTACAGTTTTACCTGATAAAGCAGACTGAGATAAAGTGTTCTCAGTTAATGCTGACTGGTATACAAGTGATTTTGAGACGGTATGGGCCAGGAGCTAGTATCCATGAAAATAAACCAGGACTATAAGTCACACGACCATTGGGAAATATGTTACTATTGTCTTTCAGGCACAGATCAAAAGGATAATGGCTAACACTTGTAATATTTTATATTCTGTTTAAGATGTTCGAACGTGAGAGTAGAAGGGAAAAAATTATCGAGGCGAAATTGAGAGAGCAAAGATTGAAAATGCGTGCCAAACAGGAACCAGTTGGTCAGAAGTCGATGCTTCCGAACATACCTCCTCAGTTAAATGATGAAGCAATGGAACATTTAACAAAAGAATTCTTTGCAAAAATAGAACAGGTAAAACGATTTCATGTATTTATTAGCAAAAATGTGCTAAGCACTGAGGAAAGAAAATATTTACATCGGTTTTCTTTATATTTTCTAGGACTTTCACCCAATTGAAGAATGAATGTATTTATTAAAGATGAAATTCTTTAAATTAAAATGTGTTTTTGTTATTTCTTTCCTATAAAAACCCTTTCGCAAGGTTTTCCACCAATGGAACCGTATTTTATATATCATTATTGCTAGAGAAAAGTGGTTTTTTATGGAGGATGCAGGAGGGTTAGAATGTTTTGAGGAAAAGTAAAAACATTTAAAATGGTGTGAACATACCGCCCACCAAAATTAAATAATTTTTCTTCACCTGGAAAGGAATATTGCAGTAGGAATCAAAGGAAGGATTTGAAAAATAGGAAGCAGAACTTCCAGCACTCCAGAACTGAGAATTGACAAGAAGCAAACAAAAAGAGACAAAAGGGCAAAAAGAAGTCAACAGGCAGCAAGTACAAACTGTCATCACACAATGTACAATATCATGCCTGGGATGCAATGCCTCTATAAAACCAACATGCCAGGGAGTGGCTAAACTAAATCTACAACCTTCGTCCACCACCACCAAAATATCTGAAATACCCATCTTTGGTTTTACCAATTCCTAATGCACTGTTTATTGAGGAGGGATAATTAATTAATTTGTATTTGATATATTATTATGTATTGCAAGAGAAAAGTACCTAATTTTAATGAATTCTTGGTGTCTTTTCCTGAAGGATATGGGCGGGTTTTGGGGTAATATAAAACCATTTTAAAATGTCACAAACATACCCCCACCAAAATTAGAATAATCTCCCTCCCCTGAGAAAGGAATATTGTGATAGGAAGCAGAATTGAGAAATGACAAGAATAAAAAAAATAAATAAAAGGACAAATGCAAGTAAACAAGAAGCATGTATGAACAGTCATTGCACAAAGGTATAATATCATGCTGGAATTCAAAGCCTCTATAACGCCAACAGGTCTGGACAGTGATCAACATGTGAACCATCCACCACTGCCAAAATATCTGAAATATCTGTCTTTATTATCCCAATTCCTTTATTGTTTATTGACTGACTCACAACACAAAGTATACAATGAAGACGTTTTCTTCTGAAAATATTTTACCGCTTATTTGGTTGATACTGTCATTTTAACCAGAAACTTGCACACAGTTTGAAGAATAACCACTGCTCCCATCTACTACAATAGTTTTCTTCTCCCAGCAGCTAATGTAGTCTGCTTCCTTGGGACATCGACAAACAACTTATATAAAACCTACACGCACCTCAAAAGACAAAAACTTCACAGACTTCAGACTTCATGACATTTACATCACCATTCTGAGATCCATTTGACCAAATATTCCAACATTTAATGTATCCTTACAATTGAAAATCTTCCAAATCTAATCAACAATCTTACCATTCATGACCTCATTAAATATCATCTTGAATTAAGCCATCTACATGAAGTTTCACAGGCCATCCTATCATCCAAATCCATCCCGCATCATTCCAGGAGATATCAGCGTCACTGGTCAATTTTCTATTTTCACAGTAGTAGCGTATCACTTTATCTTAAAAACAAGTCACCTAGGCAGAAGGGATGAGTATATCAATGAAGTCGCTTGCTTTAATTTAGTCACCTTTGACCTATTCGGTCAGCTGTGTATGAGTTACAAGGTTGAAGAATTGAGAACTCTTCTTGCAATATGTAATTTTTCTTTTTAGGTATGTATTATGTATTTTCTCAAATCTTATTTATCACTTAGCCGGTTTTTCCTGTTCAGTTCAGTTACATCCTATTATTTATCATTTTATCTCTTCTAACAAATAGTAAACAGTATTAGTTGTGCTTAAACTGTCTGGTAGGAGGGTTCCCATTTTGATACCTAAATTTTGAATAACTAAGCACCTCATTTGCTTAATTTAGACATTAAACATACTTAGACATCAATAAAAGAACTGAAAATATTCTTGAGTGATGTTGAGGAAGCATCGGTGTTTTAAAAACATTAAATCGTGTATATGTAACCTAACCTGTCGCCCTAAAGTAAAGAAAAAGTAATAACTCTCATACAGTCCAACAACCCGTTGGGTACCTAACCTAACCATTCCAACATCCGCATTAATAATAGGTCAATGCTGAATCAACTATATTCATGAAATTGAGTATCCCAATATGTATTTTATGTATAATAATATCCTATATAATTATTATTGTAATTTAGGATCAATATTATTAATGTATGTCTTATTAATGTATTGACTACTGTATAGGACAACCATGGTTACAATTTCAGTATAGAATCTGCAACTTGTTCCCCTATCAACTCGGATATTCACTGTTTGGTACCATGAGTTTCAAAACTGTAAGTAGAGGTCCATATTTGTTAACATTGCGCAATATTTTACTAATTGTTTCAAAGTCCTGTTGAAGGATATTCCCAGAAAGTTCCATAAAAGAACTGTGTGCTACAAAATCCTAACCCGAAGCTACCATCCCTATATCAATATTACATCACTACTGACAGAACTGATGAAGTTTGAATAATACTTTTTATCCAGGTCTTTTTAAAAAGTATAATTTATTAAAATAATTAATACAATCAATTATGGCTATTAAATACATATATAGTTTAATTTAAATATCAATGTTGATCTATGTGTCTAATTCCTTTTTAAACATATCATTGTTTATCTGGGGCCGCTGGTCACTACAGTTTGGCATTTAGATCTACACAGACAAGACACTACCTTCAAGGTAGTTGAGTACATTCCGTTGTTCCTCTGCTTATTTCCCTAGGCATTAGTATCACCTTTCCACAGTGGCTGTATCATTTCCAGACTCTATTGCTTTGCAGTCACATTAGACATATTACAATTTTAGTTTTGACAAAGTTTTAATTAAATGGGGATACGGCAGTATAATTGTCTATTATTTTTCTTCCAACTTGCTGAGAAAGTGAGAGGTTTTTATTTTCCTGTTTGAGTTGGTAAGGAACTTCTTTGTTTTGCACCATGAATTCATCAGAAAATCATATCATTTGTTCAGTTGTTCAGTTCCGCTTTTCTTAATTTGTCAGCTTGTTGTTTGCCTCATGTCCCGATGCCCAGGCGATTTGCTTAAAATTCTATTGGGGTTTCTTTGCCCCTATCGTTGTCATCTCCTTGAAGATTTTTTCACACCTAGAAGTTCTCTTTTAATTTTTCATACTTCAATCGAGAAAATATCCACAAGCAATCAAATTGTTAAAAATTATTGGCCATATTCAGTGTTCAATTAACAAAGACACAAAAAAACTAGTGATTCAGTTTTTACAGTGTTTATTAAAAAAATAATTCCAAACTAAAAAAAAGTTGCATTCAATACAACAATCAATTCAAACAACTTAAAACTATAAAGTGAGACATTTTTCAAATTATGAACAATTACTCTTTGAAACTTATATTTTTTTTAAGTACTGACTGACAAAACACATAACAAAACATATTACGGTTTAAACTTCGGAGAAGAAATATTTTTCTATGCGAAAAAACCCCATCCTTTTCAGAGATTTCTGCAATAAATGTCACGAAAATCAGAATGATAGCAATTATTAAAAATAGTAGTATATTTACAATAATCTGCACCTAGACAGTATTTTTTTTCTTAGTGTTTAACAACATTCAATCCATTTATTTTTTTAACATAGATAATACAGAATATCTAAACACAATTGATTAAGTACTTAGGACACATTTTGGGTTTATTTGTTACAAATTAAATTACTAGTTACTAAGGAATGTTTTATAAGTAATAAATAGAACAGATTTACATTGTTGATTTACAAATGACACAAATCCAAATAGTTAACTTAATTAGTTGCAAAAGAGCTCTAAATGTTAATGAAAAGATCATAAGATTTTACCGCTTTTAAATTTAAATACAATAATTGAAATAGTAAACTTTATTAATTTAAAGTGGAATGATGAAGATTTGAAATTAACCTGTAGTATAACAATGGATTATAACATTGTGCTTATGTGTTTGTACAATTTTTCTGTCAAACTATAATTTAGACAGATAAGTTATATAATGGCTAATTTATCAGCAGGATTTCAAGACTAATTTGAATGCCACTGACAACACAGTCTGTTAATTTTTTTTACTCCAGGAAATTATAAAAAAATATTTGTACTAAAATTACCATTTAAATAATTATTTGTCAAGTTTTTATAAATCGCTGATATGCTATACTAATCAAATATAAATTAAGTTAAAAAAAGTAAATATCAAAATTAACAGAATTAATTAAAACCATTGATTATTAGTTAAAAACTATATTTAATATGAATTAAAATATAGTTAGTAATATCGTAACATAAGTCCATAATGTTTTTCAACAATTTGATTTTTCAAAGTACGCCATTTTTCACCTTGTCTGAACCGAAAACCGGCATGCATTTCATGGTGTATACACAGCGCACTTCAGGTGGTTCGAGATCTTATATATCAAAAAGGCAGATGATGTAGCTCACAACTTCCAGTCCTGACCCTCACATGCTAAAGTCAGATCGACAGAGAAGCTATCATGTGTCAAGAGCACAATTGATGTGCCCTCAAAGGCTCTGAATTGAAGAACCATCCTCACCTGTTTAAGAATAGGCCATACAAGGCTGACACACAGACATTTACTTCTAGGGTAGGATTGCCACCCGATATGAGAATTGTGCTCGACTCTAGGTCCCCTGTTCTGATTTTTGGAGGAAACGAGGATGGTTTGATAGAGTGAAATATTTATTAGGATGAATGTGTAGTGTGAGAGATAGTGAACTATTAAACAGTATATAGCATGTGTAAAAGGTGATGAAAGAATATTTAGTAAATAGGAAAGAATAAGTGAGGGTGTGTCTAAATTTAAAATCGTTTTGGGGGCTGATCTGGCTGATTAGCAAGAGGTTTTCCATCAGGCTGACGCTCGCCCCAAAATCGTTAGAGCTTGACTGGGATGTGGTACAAACAGTACAGTTAACTCTCATTATCCACAGGGATATGTACAAAGAATCATTGTGGATAATGCAAACCATGAATAATAATAAGAAACATCTCGAATTTTAGGATTTTGCATTTTCTTCCATCTGCATACCAGACACTTTCTGTTTCATGTGAACCTATCGTCAATGTTATGTATGAACGAACGTATACATATTTAAGGTTTTTTCAATAAGAACAATACAATGTATATAAACAGAAAGTTTATTCCGTGCAGGAAAACAATATGAACTTGTTATTATTTAGAGATCGTGAGTTGCAGTCTGGTGTGATGTGGGTTTAGAAAATCAACAATGGCACACCTACACAGAAAACACACACTTTGAGTGAGTACAAATACTCTGATTAAACCTAAAATTTCTATATTGTGTACATCATTGTATAAATTCATATTAATATCTGATACGTATTACTATAATCTAAACAATGTTTATAAATCCCAAACCCTGAAGATCTCAATAAAGATCAAAACATTGGCACAATAAAGAAAATGTTTTCTAAACCCCACATCACACCACACCGCATCTCATGATCTCTATTAATCATGAAAACAATTTACTTGAGGAATGCTGAAATCACAGCAAGATGTTCTGGGAGGATGGAATTACAGATAGTGGAATACAATGGTTAATGATTTGTTTTCAAGTACCTGAAATTTTCATTAAAACTTACCATGAAAAAATACTATGGACTTATTTTACAACATGAATTTTTATATTAATAATACACCGACAGGTACAAAAATAGCTCACTAGATGCTTTTCATTTTCTAAGCCTTAAGAAAACTCTGTTATTAATTTGTCTTAGGTGTAACTGTGTTACCTTTGTCAGAATTAACTTTATTAGTGATCAATCATAAAGAGCTCTTTTTTTAAATTTTTAACTGGGTAAATAAAATTTCAAATTTTCACGGCGCAAATAATGTACATTTAATTATTTAGATAATCTTGAATTTACAGAGAAAAAAATTACTTTGCAGTATTTCTCTTCAATCACAATCAGCCATTTATCACCCCGAAAAATAAAAAAATAAATAAAAATTAACTGTCTCTTCGGAAAAATAACAACTATATTTTTATATGTTGTCTTTCTTATCTAAGTATCGTTTACCAATTGAGGATTAAATCTCAAATTTAATCATCTAATTGTTATAATTCTCCTCCACTGGCTTGGGTGGTTCCGTGGACTCGTCGTTTTTCTGCAATTAAACATATTGGCACATAAACAATACAAATGAAACAGATAAATGTTATATAATAACAATAATAATATAAAGGAAAGTTGTCATGCTTCTACTTTTGTCATGAGAACCTTTGGTTCGGTAAAGCTGATCAACTAAACTATTCAGTTTTAATTGATCAACAAAAGTTGAAAGTGACAAGTATGAGAAAGTGCCTTGAATGGGTTGCAAATCAAAATTGATAAACTTTTATTGAAATGTGTGAACAAAAACTGATTCGATCAAATTTTTCATCAATAAAAGTTGAATTGTGACTCATCTTAAAGAAAACGGAGCAAAGAGTAAGAGAAAAAGGGGTCAATTTTAAAAGATATTAGTTGTTAAAGATTACTTTTTTGTTACGTTTTGTATGCATTATAATTTAAAGTTAAGTAGGACAATATTTAAAGTATGTAAACTCACTTTAGCCATCGCAATTCGTGACTGTACAATAGACAAATGTCTTAAGACGTAATCTTCATTTGGAGCGAGCTTGTGTGCCCTCTTTAGGCACGTTTCAGCTCGTTCGAGCGATCCTCTTTCAACATAGACAACGCACAAATTATGTACTCCCTGGATATTATTCGGTTCCAGTTCTAAAATCCGTTTATAGCACTGAAATATATTATTTGTATTAGTTTAAACAATTTACTGGACAAAAGAATAATAGTTTTAACAAGTTCGTTACAGCATGGATTTGTAATATAATTCCCAAAATATGGGTTTTTTTAAAGGCAAAACTTGGAAAAGACGTCCATAATAGAAGTGTTTAATATTTTAAATAACAAGATATTTCCATTCCATCAAAAATCGCCATTACCATTACCATAACGGTTTAAAAACCATTTTATTATATTATTACAATTGAGTACATTTTTGCAATGAATATTTGTTTATCTTTTGATGAAACGTAACACATTTACTCTTTCCTGGGAAATAAAATTTTACATATCTAACAGAAAAAGTTAAGTTAATCAGTTATGTAGTGCTTTATTCCAATATTTAAAAAAAAACTTACATTTTCTGCAGCATCAAGATCTTTAATGTTGTTAATATAAATATCTCCTAATAATATTAGCCCTTTGACATGATCTGGATGGAATCGGACTAATTGATTGAGGAAAGGCGCCGCTTCTAGTGGCCTGTGATCATCCGCTAGCAAGAGCGCTAGATTAAATAAAGCTGAACGGAAATCTGGCTTTATTTGTATAGCTCTTCTAAACCAATTCTCTGCTCCAGCCAAATCTCTGTCATCCATAGCCAGCATTCCAAGATTGAAGTGAACCCTTTCATTATTTGTGTCCTGCAAATATTGTTTGATTAATAAATTCATTAAAAAACAAACAAATTTAAATCAACCTTTTGTAGCAATTTTAGTAGCCTTTCTCTGGCCAATTTCCTTAGTTCGGCCCTTCCTAACTCTTGTAGAAGAATAGCAGAGTTGAGCAGAGCTTGCTCATGCTCAGGATCATATTCTAAGGCTTTATCCAAATAAGCGAGGGCTTGCGAAGCTTTTCCTTGTTCAAGGAAAACAACTCCAAGCTGTTAACGATCAAATAAATCATTAAAGTTATCTGTTTGTAAAAGAACTAAAGACCTTACATTGTAATAAATATCAGGGTTGTTACTATCATAAAATAAAGCTCTTTCATATACTTCTTGTGCCTCTTTGGTACGATTGAGTTTTAATAGTACATCTCCTCGATTGATATACGCTTGAGTATAATCGGCTCGCATACTTATAGCCTGCCTGTACAGTAAATCCGCTTCTTCCAATCTAGTTTCATTTTTGGCAATTAAATTGGCTAGATTTAAAAATACATTTAGGTGATTTGGTGCTATACGAGCCTGATAACTTTGGCCAGGTTTGGCTTTTGGTAATAAAGATTTTGCCTGTAATATATATTTTTTTAAAGAATATTCAACACATATTACATAATCAAATAAAAACCTTTAAGTAGGCCTCTTCAGCTTCTTTGAACATATTTAAATGATTATAAGTTCGCCCAACATTTATGTGAGCACCGATATCATCTTGCTGAACGCTGCAAAATTTTTTTGGTTAATTGTGAAAATGTCTGGCATCACTGTAAATTTAAAAATACCTGACGGCTTTATTGAAAAACTGAAGTGCTTCATAGAAACGCCCCTGAGATTCAAGCGCATGTCCGACATTATTGAATAATTTTGCATTTTTCTGATTTACGCGCAATCCTGCCATGAATAACGAGTATTCTGTTTCCCAATCCCAATTTCTCCTGTACGTTTTACAACTGTGGCACAAGATCAAGACAATCAAGCCGATCCAAGACAACTTCTTAAACCTGATAAGGGTATAATGTTAAAAAAAAAAAATTATACACTCAATTCGACTTCCTTACTTATTTGTGTAGACGAGGAACCATCCATATGACACCAACATGCAAAATCCCATAGACGGCATGTAAAGTACCCTTTCCGCAACAACAAACCCAACTGGGAAAAGAATATTTGAAGCAGGCAGAAAGGGAAAAACCATAAATGCCAATCCCTGAAAAAGATAACATTATAAATTAAGAATAAATAGTATAAATAAGAACAGTCACACTTTTAACATAAATGAGAACGTGTAATTTGGTGTGCCTATTCTTGCCATCTTCAGTGTGGATAGGGTGATTTTTGAAAATATTATTATTGGGTTGTCCGGAAAATAATGCAGGATTTTGGTATTAAACAAAAAAAAAGAAACTAGTTACTTTAAAGCAATGTTCTTTAATCANTCCACTCGAACACTAACTTCCCATCTCAACCCCACCTTTTGAATTTTCCCTCCTTTTTGCCATTTTTCAAATGTCGTGTAATCGGATTGGATTCTCCACGACAAATGAAATGGCCACGGAAAGCTTTAGTGAAGTATACTTCATTTTAAATCATTAAATTCACCAATTTCGTGGTCCTCTTGACTAATTAATATATTACAATTAATTAAGGTTTTTAGTTGAGATAAAAAGTCAATGGCACGAGTGGGATTCGAACCCATGATCTTCGGCTAGATACGCCGCTGCTCTACTACTTGAGCTATCGTGACCTCGATCCACTCGGACACTAACTTCCCATCTCAACCCCACCTTTTGAATTTTCCCTCATTTTTGCCATTTGAGCGTTCTTTCCCTAGTAGCCAAATGAAAAAAATCTTATAAGTAATTGACATAGTCTTTTAAATTTGTTTTCCTGGCGTTGTTGTGCAAAGGTTATTATATGTTAGTTAATATTCTAGGATTCTATTAAGTCAGATTGGATATATAAAAAGTTACAAAACTCAACTCTGCAACAATGACCAAGAATAATTCTTCGGTTTGATGGATGCCCTGAACACAATTTTTTGCAGGTGAAAGTTCCTACGCCAATCATTACCTAGCAACCTCAGTTGAAGAACTGAGGCAAAGGATAGAGAATGATTGTCAATCCATCTCCCATGACTCTATCGCTCTGAGCACTGTTGAAGAGTGGTTAAAAAGAGCAAATCTTTGCATCTTTATGCACGGCAGACAGTTCGAACATGAAATGTGATTAATAAATAGAAAACCAAATGACTATTTTTTTTACTTTTTGCCAACTTTGTCATTTTTGACCAATTTAAAATCCGATTGCACCATTGTTTTCAGCATTAAAAAAGACCTTTAAAATTATGCGTAAGGATGCATAGGGTCATATTTGAAATTCTGAAGTTGAATTGGGCCTGAAGTACCATGTATAATTTTTACTCTAATGAAGGTAAAAATTTGAAACTAGACCAAAAAATATTAAACTTTTTTTTATTTATTTATTTATTTTTTTTAAAGCATTGGTTCAAGAGAAATTCAGCTGGGCCATCTACAAAGGACACCCTGTATAATAATGATTGAAATATATGCACAACAAAGGCAGAAAAACATGAAAAAACTGTAAATTACTTAAAAGATTTTCTCTCTCAACTCCTAGTTCTGATTAGAAAAAAAGCTTTTAAACATGTCTAATATTTTTCAACCTAGTATTACCAAAAAAAGTTTCATTAAAATCGGTGATCCCATTTTGTTCTCCCCTTGTTTGTTTAAACATATTTTTTTACTAATAAATAATTATATATATATTAAAAAAAAAAAACTAAATTGCTAAAATTGTACTTACCATAATAATCACAGTCCCTTTTTGCCTATTTCTAGTTGTAACAGCACTATGAATTAACGCACCTAATGTTAAATACATTAATAAAGTTGATATATTTCTTAAGTCTGTGAACGAAGAAACAAGTGGAATAGTGCCCATCGTCCAGTCACAACATAAATCACAAGGAAACAAAAGTAACCACGTATTTAACGATATAAGGTAATGGTATGACAATTGCCGAGTTGGAGATGGAGACGCTGATGCTGGATTATCAAACCTGAAAAATTTAAGTGATTGCAATAACAGTTATTTTTGAGAAATAATATTTTAAAAAATCCACCTTGTGAAAACTGGGAGCCTTGCGCCCATAACCATTATTCTAATAATAAGTAACGCCACTGAAATTGCAATAAGAAAAATGATTCTTTTCGTAGCCTGTGGCGACCAACTTTTGATAATAGGCTTCCCACAGAATATCCATTTCATAAACTTTATAAACTCATACGGTTGGATCTGTAATTAATAAAAAATGTATAATACATCTTATAATTTTGTTTACACGAGTATCATTTATTATTTATTATTGCATAGAATTGGTTTCTGCAAGAACATCATACCAGAAGATTAAGTCAACTGAACTGAACCAAGGCACTAGCAAAAGTACAATAAGCTAAAAGGCAGCATCCTCTCATCATCATACCAGTAGAGCGATACGTGAATTTATTTTTATTTATTGTTATTTTTTAAACAAAGATCTTGTGGTGACCATGACTCGATACAGATATTTACCACCAAACACTATGGTTACCACGACAGAACACCATAGCACACCGCACACCACAGGCGTTATTAGTCATACATATCAGGACAATGCTTACAGCAGCCAATAGAGGCAAGGATCGAAGAAGAGAGGAAGCGATTCCTCTATATAAGAGCAGTCCCGGTTCATGGCATTACAACCAGAAACTGGCTACCATTCAATCGGCTCCAAAGCCATCAACCGAGAGCATCGATGCAGATTCAAGCCTGTATTCATGCTCTCAGTCAACTGTGATCACATCTGATGATTTTTTTTAGAATGTCAACTTTCAATGGCAAAACTTTTTTTTTTTTGAGCTAGATACACAACTTTTTACATGAACATTTTCACATCATTGACTAGGTGAGGAATGGTTAGGTTATGGGAGGTTACATATTTATGATTCAATGTTTATTATGAACAGAGAAAATATGCGAGTGGTTTTTTATTCAATATTGATAGAACCAATTTGAAAAAAAAACCCTGCAATACCGAGCATGTATAGTTTTGAAAATGTCAAGTTTCAAATTTGAAAGTGGATTTGCAATCAGTACATTCTATATTGGAATTGTAAACTCCAGCTGGCTACTCTATTGAGTGATATTCCTCTGTCAACTATCAAAGTAAGTTTATCTATGTAGAGGTATGGTTCAGTTATATAGTTCATTAAGAGCTATAGTGCACTTCACTACGGGCTATAGTTCATTCATAATTAACAGAGAGCTATAGTATATTAAGAGCTATAGTTAATTTATAATTCACAAAAACTATAATACACTAAAAGCTAGTTCATTGAGTGCAATATTTCACTAACAGACATGGTTCACAAACAGTTGTAATACTAGTTATTCCTCTCACTCTGATAAATACATTTAAAATGAAATACAAGAAATTTTACTAAGTAAAAACAACTATATACCAGAGCACTAATTGATTTTGACATGCATTTAATTCAATTAATCACAATTCCTGTTACATTGATATTTCAATTGTTGACATATGATTAGAAATTTATAAATCAGTCTTTTACCTTCTGAGCAATGAATATTTCATATATAGAACAAATTGATGTAATTGTGATCCCTTGTTCTTTGCACAGCATGGCCCCAGCCACACTTGCGAAACATAAAAACAAAAGGTGCCAACCTGCATTTAAAATAAAGTAATTATAGTTAACTTCAAAACGGTAAATTAAATTTCATTTCTCACCGAATTTATTTTTTTCTTTTGTCGCTTTAACATACAGGAGAAATGCGATCAAAAAGTAGAGCGATGACAATGTTTCGGCTCGACCGACTACCCCAGTCACCTATTCATAAATGATTTAATGTTACATCAAAAATTGTTTTATAATTTGTGTAACAACTTACTGCCTCTGTGTGTATCGGGTGGACAGTAAAAAGTAAAGCTGCGATGAAACTTGGCAAATCGGGAAGAAATATAGAGCAGACTCTGTTACAATAAATAAAACTCCAATTAGCTTCGACCGAATATAAATATAAAGCACAAATTACCTCAAATATAGAAGAGAAACAACTGAATGCAATATAACATTCACCAAATGATAGCCGAAGGGTTCCAACTGTTGGATGTAATAGTTCAAACGGAATGTAAGTACACATAATGGCCTGTATGACTTGTGGCTTTGTTCCTAAAACATTACAAAAGGAAATACTTCAATAATCATGCTGTCTCATAGAATTTTATATTAGTTTTTAGTTGATATTTGTCAATCATTGATGTAATGAATGTTATTTATCAAGTGATTGGTGAAAACTTAAGCTACTTTAGAAATAAGAAACTAAGAGGACACTCAAGGAAAAATATTCATTTCCAGGGGGAAAATTTGTGTGACAAATTGTGGCAAGTCGTTGCCAATCATCTTTTTGTGGTAGTCAAGAAGGCAGTGGTTGGTAAAAAAGTCTATAATTTCCCTCAAATCTTGTCTGAAAAGAGAGGAGTTCCTTCGTCTTCTTTTTTGAAAAATATCAAATCTCTTAGCTTGCCTCATACTTAGTACATGTTCTGGCGACATCCACTTTTTGGAAATGACTCATGACACCACAGTGGTGTTATCAGATATGAACATTGATGAGGTTAAAGTCAAGAAGGCAGTGGTTGGTAAAAAAGTCTATAATTTCCCTCAAATCTTGTCTGAAAAGAGAGGAGTTCCTTCGTCTTCTTTTTTGAAAAATATCAAATCTCTTAGCTTGCCTCATACTTAGTACATGTTCTGGCGACATCCACTTTTTGGAAATGACTCATGACACCACAGTGGTGTTATCAGATATGAACATTGATGAGGTTAAAGTTAAAAGGGGTCAGCCTCTTTATTATGTATTATGTATATGTGTATTATGCAATCTCTGTTATTATCTATATCTTTCCATTAAGCGTAAGAGTTTTTATCAGGTCCCAAAACATTGCTAAGGACTCCCAGGTGAAGAAATTTTAGACCTTTGCACCAACAGAGGACATTTTTGATGTTCCTTCAATATCTGCACAGGATTGTTTCTGCTGTGAGTCTATATGACTCACTCATCTACTCTCAATCTAATCCACATCCTAGGTTTAATAGTTGTGCTGTTTCTGTTATGGTCCTTTGATGAATTTTTTTTCACATGCCTCTGTCCTGGAATTCATTCCCATTGACCTGAGGATTTATTCTTAACCCATTGTCATATAGATTTACATTTTTTGGCAATTTGATATTGCAGGACAGCACCTTAGGCCTAGCCAGCTAGTGCCCAGGGTCTCTGCCTACACCATGGGGCGAGCCTCTCATCATCTGAGTTTACGCACACAATCTTGTCAGCAAGGACCCAGGGTCGACATCCTCCAAGATTCGCAACCTGTGGTCAGGGTATAAAAAAAAGACCTGTACCAGAGACCATGTCAGTCTGAAAGAGTTGATGGTGCTGAGTTCATCCATCGCCTCCAAGAACGACCCAGCATGATAACATTCTTCCAGCAATAAAATCCTAATACAAGTGAGGGGCGCTAGCCCTTAAACTGGAGTGTTTATTTAAAACCCGGGTCTATGCCCTCATCCATGCCTTAATTCAAGGCTCATGGGATATGGTCTCACAATCTGAGGTCAGCAAGGGATCCACCAGTCAGATAGAGATCAGTCGATAATTATGAGTACATCCACTGCCTCAAGGTCTACACCCATGCTTGAAGACTGTGTGCTGAGCTTGGTCAGCAAGGACAAGGGATCTACACGCTGCAACATTTGCAACCTGAGGTGAAGGTATAAGACCGGTTCTTTCCAGAGAACACCAGTCAGATAGAGATCAGTGTGAGGAGGTGATGGTTCTGAGTTCATCCACCACCTCCAAGATGTATGATCCAGCATGAGAACTATGATGATTATTTAAATCTGATTGTAGCCCAGGGTGGAGCATTTATTTAATTAAACCCTTTTCCCAGTATAAGACCGCTGTACATGTTGATAGAGATATCCCGCCCAGATTAAACTTATATAGTCAATTTATCAGTTTCAATGTTGCCCTTCTGCCCTTGTACCCAAAAAGGAGTAATTTTATTGTTCAGATTTGGACGATATCTCTTTGATGCTGTTTATACATACGAGATAGGATTTTAGCGTCTAAGGGCCGTTTTGTTCTCAAGACCTATCTGAGGGAATAAACACAAAATCGCTTATGCTTTTACTGGGTTTGAAGGTTGAATGGATTGGAAAGAGTATGTTTGGCAATTAACATAAATGAAAGAGAGACAAAAACAAGACTTGCCTTGTGAATCGGTGTGCCCCAAAAGTCGTTGAAAAAGATATTTTTGATGGGGGTGTGCGGTCTTAAGTCTCGATTCTCTTTGATAGCGCTGATGTCATCGAAGACAAAGCCACAATAGAAACTATTGTAATAACAGAGGAGGCTGAGCAAGAGTATAATAAAAGACCTAACGTGATCCTTGCCCATCTCATGAAATTACCGGCAAAACGATTGTAAAAAAACGTAACAGACCGACATTTGAGAGGATCTCGACGTTTTTTAACAGAACGAGAAATACTTGTTTTCGAACATGTTCCAGGGAAAAGCCATCCAGTCTTTGAAAACCGAGTGGTTCAGAATTCATGAAAGTTGCCCGGACAGAGATGGTCCGACTGATGGAGATCCATTTTGGGCTCAGGTGTAGAAGCCGTTCTTGCCGACGGAAATTTATCCAATCCGATAAACATGTGTGACAATTTTCGTATTTTCCGATTTGTAATTAAAAGCGCGGAAGAATGGATTTTTCATGAAATTTGTTTGTAAACATTTGACGATAGGAGATAACTTCTTTCCATAAACTTCCCGGGTCTAACCTGAAAAGATTATAACCCGCACCAATTGAAAACAAATTAACATAACTTTCATTAGTGAACCATATTCCGTTTTATTTGAAGACAAATTTTCAATCCGTTTTTTCATGACGAGAAAAATTAATTTTAGGAAAAACTTGATAAATTGGTACTTGTCAACATTCGGCCCGGGACTCCCTCCAGATTGATTTTCGATTTAATATCCAAAGGAGTAAAACATATTTTTTTAAAAATATTGAATGAACTATACCTCCTAGAAAATTATAAATGAATTTTTAGTGGATCATAGCTATTGCTGAGTTATAAGTGAACTGTAGCTCTTACTGAACGGTAAGTGAATCATGGATTTTAGAAAATTGTGAATTATAAGTGAACTTTTGCTGAATCAAATTTTTTAGTGTCTTATAAGTGAATTTTACTTCTTTGTGAATATAAGTGAACCACAGCTCTTAGTGAAGCTGTTAGTGACTGGTGAAATATAAGTGAACTTTTAGTGAATCATACTATTTAGTGAACGGTAAGTGAACCATAGCTCTTACTGACTTGTGAATTATAAGTGAACTTTTAGTGAATCATACCATTTAGTGAACTGTAGCTCTTAGTGAACGGTGAGTGAACCATTGATCTTAGTGACATGGGAATTATAAGCGAACTTTTAGTTAATCAGAGCTTTTAGTGTCTTATACGTGAACTGTACTTCTCGGAGAACATAAGTAAAGCACAGCTCTTAATGACTCGTGAATTATAAGAGAACTTTTAGTGAATCAAAGCTTTTAGTGTCGTTTAAATGAATTGTACTTCTATGTGAATATAAGTTAACCACAGCTCTTAGTGAACGGTAAGTGAACCATAGCTCTTAGTGACATGTGAATTATATGTGAATATTAGGTCGTAGTGAATTGAGGATTATAAGTGAACCATATGTCTTAGAGAATTGTGAATTATGTGTGAACGGGAAGTGAACCATAGCTCTTAGTGATATGTGAATTTAAGTGAACTTTTAGTGAATCATACCATTAAGTGAACGGTAAGTGAACCATAGCTCTTAGTGACATGTGAATTATAAGTGAACTTTTAGTGAATCATACTATTTAGTGAACGGTAAGTGAACCATAGCTCTTAGTGAACGGTAAGTGAACCATAGCTCTTACTGACTTGTGAATTTAAGTGAACTTTTAGTGAATCATACCATTAAGTGAACGGTAAGTGAACCATAGCTCTTAGTGACATGTGAATTATATGGGAACCTTAGGTCTTAGTGAATTGACGATTATAAGTGAACCATACCTCATAATTTTACTTCTTTACTTCTTACTTCTTTGTGAATAGAAGTGAATCACAGCTCTTAGTGATTGCTGAAATATAAGTGAACTTTTAGTGAATTATACCATTTAGTCAACGGTAAGTGAACCATAGCTCTTAGTGATTTGTGAATTATATGTGATCCTTAGGTCGTAGTGAATTGTGATTTATAAGTGAACCATAGCTCTTAGTGACATTCGAATTATATGTGATCCTTAGGTCGTAATGAATTGTGAATTATATGCGAATCATACCTCTTGGAGAATTGTGAATTATGTGTGAACCATACTCTTAGTGAACGGTACGTGAACCATAGCTCTTAGTGATATGTGAATTATATGTGAATCTTAGGTCGTAGTGAATTGTGAATTATAAGTGAATCATACCTCTTAGAGAATTGTGAATTATATGTGAATCATAGCTCTTAGTGAAAGGTAAGTGAATCATGGATCGTAGTGAATTGTGAATTGTAAGTGAACTTTTAGTGAATCAAATCTTTTAGCGTCTTATAAGTGAATTGTACTTCTCTGTGAATATACGTGAACCACCGATCTTAGTGAACGGTAAGTGAACCATAGCTCTTAGTGATTTGTGAATTATAAGTGAACTTTTAGTGAATCATACCTTTTGGTGAACTGTAGCTCTTAGTGAACGGTGAGTGAACCATTGATCTTAGTGACTTGGAAATTATAAGTGAACTTTTAGTGAATCATACCTTTTAGTGAACTGTAGCTCTTAGTGAACGGTGAGTTAACCATGGATCTTAGTGACGTGGGAATTATAAGCGAACTTTTAGTGAATCAAAGCTTTTAGTGACATTCGAATTATATGTGATCCTTAGGTCGTAATGAATTGTGATTTATAAGTGAACCATAGCTCTTAGAGAATTGTGAATTATGTGTGAGCCATACTCTTAGTGAACGGGAAGTGAACCATAGCTCTTAGTGATATGTGAATTATATGTGAATCTTAGGTCGTAGTGAATTGTGAATTATAAGTGAATCATACCTCTTAGAGAATTGTGAATTATATGTGAATCATACCTCTTAGTGAACGGTAAGTGAATCATGGATCGTAGTGAATTGTGAATTGTAAGTGAACTTTTAGTGAATCAAATCTTTTAGCGTTTTATAAGTGAATTGTACTTCTCTGTGAATATACGTGAACCACCGATCTTAGTGAACGGAAAGTGAACCATAGCTCTTAGTGATTTGTGAATTATAAGTGAACTTTTAGTAAATCATAACATTTAGTGAACGGGAAGTGAACCATAGCTCTTAGTGACATGTGAATTATATGGGAGCCTTAGGTCGTAGTGAATTGAGGATTATAAGTGGACCATAGGTCTTAGAGAATTGTGAATTATATGTGAATCATACCTCTTGGAGAATTGTGAATTATATGTGAATCATAGCTCTTAGTGAAAGGTAAGTGAACCATAGCTCTTACTGACTTGTGAATTATAAGTGAACTTTTAGTGAATCAAATCTTTTAGCGTCTTATAAGTGAATTGTACTTCTCTGTGAATATACGTGAACCACCGATCTTAGTGAACGGTAAGTGAACCATAGCTCTTAGTGACATGTGAATTATATGGGAACCTTAGGTCGTAGTGAATTGAGGATTATAAGCGAACCATACGTCTTAGAGAATTGTGAATTATATGTGAATCATAGCTCTTAGTGAACGGTAAGTGAACCATAGCTCTTAGTGATTTGTGAATTATAAGTGAACTTTTAGTAAATCATAACATTTAGTGAACGGTAAGTAAACCATAGCTCTTAGTGACATGTGAATTATATGGGAACCTTAGGTCGTAGTGAATTGGGGATTATAAGTGAACCATACGTCTTAGAGAATTGTGAATTATATGTGAATCATACCTCTTAGAGAATTGTGAATTATATGTGAATCATAGCTCTTAGTGAACGGTAAGTGAACCATAGCTCTTAGTAACATGTGAATTATATGTGAACCTTAGGTCGTAGAGGATTGAGGATTATAAGTGAACCATACGTCTTAGAGAATTGTGCGTTATATGTGAATCATAGTTCTTAGTGATTTGTGAATTATAAGTGAACTTTTAGTGAATCATACCTTTTGGTGAACTGTAGCTCTTAGTGAACGGTGAGTGAACCATGGATCTTAGTGACGTGGGAATTATAAGCGAACTTTTAGTGAATCAAAGCTTTTAGTGTCGTATAAGTGAATTGTCCTTCTTTGAGAATATAAGTGAACCACAGCTCTTAATGAGCGGTAAGTTAACCATAGCTCTGAGTGCCTCGTGAATTATAAGTGAACGGTAATTGAATAATGGATCTTAGTAAATTGTGTATTATAAGTGAACCATAGCTCTTAGTGAACGGTAGGTGAACCATAACTCTTAGTGAATTATAAAAAAACCCAAAAAATGAAAAAATTTTGAAGATTTTTTCCATGTAAATGGCTCATAGGACACGTTTTTTAACGAATGTTTCAAGAAAAAAGCAAAAAAACCCCAAAAATCGAAAAAATGCTTACCGTCTTTTACGATGGAAAAGGGTCGTAGGACACGTTTTTTTCAAGAATAAAGCAAAAAATCGAAACAAAATGTATTGTCCTTTTCGATGTAAAAGGCTCGTAGGGGACGGTTTTTACAATAAAACGAAAAAACCAAAAAAATCGAAAAAAAATTGTATTGTCTTTTTCGATGTGAAAGGCTCGTAGTACACGTTTTATTATGTATTTTTGAAGAAAAACTAAAAAAAAAGAAAAAATTGTATTGTATTTTTCGCTGTGAAAGGCTCGTAAGACACGTTTTTTAACGTTTTTTTCCAGAAAAACGAAGAAAATCGAAATCAATTTAATTTTAATTTATTTTTCGATGTGTAAGGCTGGTAGGACACGTTTTTTACGTATTTACAAAAACGCAAAGAATCCCAAAAAAATCGAAAAAATTTGTATTGTCTTATTCGATGTAAAAGGCTAGTAAGACGTTTTTTACAAGAAAAACGAAAATACAAAAAAAATTGAATAAAATTATATTGTATTTTTGAAGAAAAAAAAAAAATTAAAAATTTTTTAATGTCTTTTTCGATGGAAAAGGCTCCTAGGACACTTTTTTTTTTTCAAGAAAAACGAAAAAAAAATCAAAATTTTTTTTATTAGTTATTCAGATATCGTGAGATGCGGTCGGGTGTGATGTAGGTTTCAGAAAAACATTTTCTTTATCGTGCCAACGTTTCGATCTTTTATTGAGATCATCTTCAAGGCCTGGGATTTACAAACAATGTTTACATTTAACAATTACATTTAGGATGTGGAAAAGTGAATTTATACAATGCATAATATATTTTATATTCAAAGTATTTCTACTCACTCAAAGTGTTTGTCGTCTGTGTAATTGTGCCATCCTAGCGTGACGTGTTGAGAGTGCCAGTGAGATTTTGCTGTTTTATGTTTATATATGTTAGGTGTTGAAGGGGTGGGGAAGGAAGTATATAAAAGACAATTTTGTGTAAGGCGTCGGCTTTTTTGAAGTGAAATAAGCCGACAAAGGGGAACAATGTGTTGGTAATAGTTCGGCCAGATTGTCCTTTCTGGATTATATTGAAAGGGGATAAATAGGAAAAGGAAAGCTAAATTGTTGGAAAATTAGACACCCCTTAGGACACGTTTTTTTACGCTTTTTTCAAGAAAAACGCAAAAAAGGAAAAAAAATCGAAATTTTTTTTTTATGTAAACGGTTGGTAGGAAACGTTTTTTCAACAATAAAGCAAAAAACAAAAAAAAATCGAAAATTTTTTGTCTTTTTCGATATAAAAGGCTTGTAGGACGTTTTTTTGCAAGAAAAACGAAAAAAAAAATCGAATAAAACTATGGTATTTTTCTATGTAAAAGGCTCAGAGGACACGTTTTTTAAAGGTTTTTTCCAAGAAAAACGCAAACAATCCAAAAAAATCGAATTTTTTTTGTCTTTTTTGATGTAAAAGGTTCGTAGGTTACGTTTTTTTTTTTTTCAAGCAAAGCGCAAAAACTTTTTTAAAAAATAGAAATTTTTTTATTGTCCTTTTCGATGTAAAAATCTGTTTTTGTTTGTTTTTTCAAGAAAAACGAAAAAGCATAATCGCAAAAATCGAAAAAATAGTGTTTTCTTTTTCGATGTAAAAGGCTCGTAGGACACATTATTTTACTCTTTTTTTTTTTCAAGAAAACCGAAAAAAAATTCGTAAATTGTTTTATTGTCTTTTTCGATGTAAAGGCTCGTAGACGTTTTTTTTTTCAAGAAAAACGAAAAAAACCCACAAATAAAAAAAAAACATTAATTGTCTTTTTCGATGTAAAAGGTTGGTAGGACACGTTTTTTTCAAGAAAAACGAAAAAAACCCAAAAAATCGAAAAAACATTAATTGTCTTTTTCGATGTAAAAGGTTGGTAGGACACGTTTTTTTACAAGAAAAACGAACAAACCCAAAAAATCGAAAAAAAATTGTAGTCTTTTTTTATGTAAAATTCTCGGTTACGTTTTTTTCCAAGAAAATCGCAAAAAAAACCAAAAAATCGAAAAAAAATTTATTATCTTTTTCGATGTAAAAGCCTCGTAGGACAGTTTTTTAAACTTTTTTTTTTCAAGAAAACCGCAAAAAAAATCGAAAAAAAATTTATTGTCTTTTTCGATGTAAGAGCTCGTTGGACACGGTTTTTACGTTTTTTAAGATAAATATAAGGAGAGGAGAAATAAAATAAAACGTCAGAACAGTTTTATTTTAGTTCATAACTTTTTTCTCACTATAAACGACATACAATCTAAACGTTTTTAGTATAGCATGAAAGAAGAGATTTTTCCCTTTCCAAAGGTAGTATTACCGTTCAGAGGAATTATGAATTTTTAAGAGGAACACTGAGCATGCGTGAGAAAAAAATTGCAAATCTTGCCCAAATGATTGTTTATTTTATCTTGTCTTGACTATTTAGAACATTCATATTTAAAAGAGTTAAAGGATGTTTAAAACCAATCCGATTTGTTCTTAAAAATATTTTTTTTGAAATACTTCTCTCGTCTATGCAATGATATTTGTACAAGAAATGCTTAACAAGGTATTCACATGTGTAAAAATTTACTTATTCTCAGACATTCTAGCGGCACTGAAAGCTTTAAGCCGGGAACACACTTACCCGTTGCAACGCCATGTGACGCTACCCAATGCTTCTCGACGCAAAAACAAAGTCCAATTTTCCATAAGATTGTATTAACTCCGTGCTCACCTTCCCAATGTTATGCAACGCTACTCTACTCGATGTTCTGCGATCCCCACTGTCCAGATTATCGTCGGGTTGCATCGAGTACAGTCGAAGGCAAAAGGACCGGACACTCATATTTTTATTCAAACTACATGCATTATTGTCGGCATATTAATTACACCATACTTATTTTAATATAAACCAAATTAACCGAGATCAAAAATTCATTAGATTTCATTTAAAAAAAAAAATTTTAATGGTTTGGTAGAAAATTGATCAAAACACTGGAATACCATTTTTTGATATAATGAATTTAACTAACGATTTATTACACGGTTTTGTCATAATATTTAACTAACAATTTATTTCATGGTTTTGCTCATAAAATTACACCATTTTCGTCGAGTAGCGTCAGGACAGGACACTCATATTATTTGTAGTTTATTTCAAACTATGTGTATGTAATTGTGTCGTTATATTAATTACAACATTCTTATTTTAATATAAACCAACTTAAACGAGTCTTATAACCAACATTTCACTAGTCTTTATAAAAGTTATTTAATTATGATGGTTAGGAAGAAAATTTATCAAAAAACCGGAATAACTTTATTTAAAAGAATTACATTTAACTAACAATTTATTACATGGTTGGGGCTCATAAAATTTAACTAACAATACACTCGGTTTTGCTCAAAATAGTGCATTAAGAACAAAAGAGGCGTTGCGAGCGTGATACACGCGCTTGACGTCGCATAGATGTGCACACCCTACGAAAACGAGACACGGCGTCACGTAGCATATGGTAGCGTCGCATAGCGTTGCATCGGGTAAGTGTGTTCCCGGCTTTAGAGTTCCTCTTGAACTCAAAACATATTTGGGAACGCTTAACAACTCTCTAGCTTTTTTGAAAATGAAATCACGTCTGATGCGGTAGGACGCGAGGGATTGAAGAAACAAGCCGACAAACTAGCAAAAGCAGCAGCATCCCTCAAACTCGTTGGATCAGGAACTACAAATTGCATAAATAAGTTTATAATATTAGGACAACACTCTTGGCAATGTATCATCAGTGATTTAATTAACAATGAATACTGAAAATTTTTAGGATTTTTTATAATCTATTTTTCTTCTATAACCGAAACAGCTAATGGAAAAAAAATGGTTGAGGTTCATTTTTTGCAACAAGCGTTAAGTACATATATAAAAGGATTCGGGAGTTCATATAAATTAGATTGTTTTGTTAATTATTTACTTAAATCTATAATATATAAACTATTAATATGTGATCCTTATGTAAGGAAAAAACGGACACGATTCATTCCAATAATTTCTTGTTAATTAATTGGTTTATCAGCCTTACGTTTAGCTCTGGTATGACATGGAAGGATATTGTCAGAATCAAAAGTTAAATCGAACAGTCGAAATAAAAATGTAGGTTAGTAAAAGTGGAAGATCGATTATGAAGGGTTCGTGTGCCTACATGACCTGCACAATAAATGACAGAAACATAAATAACTATATATCTAGGTGATACTGCCTGGTATTGCCAAGCTCTTATCCATCAGAGCTGAGCCCGGGTCCCATTCTATCCTGCCCCTTCTTCTATTTAGCCTCTTTCCGAGGTAATTAATTATTTCTTCTCCCACCCACCACTTATCTTCTTCCATTCACTCTCTGCCCACTGGACAGCACAGTTTGACTCCTTACCCGAACCGGCACGGGTGTTGACGAGAGAAAAGTTAACGTTCGTTCTTCTGGTTTTTGAAACTGTTTTTTTTTCACCTCATTTTTACAAGATGGAACTGGTGAAACAGGCAGGTAGGAATTTAAAATTATAAACCAAAATTTTGCTTGATCTTCACATAATAAAAAGATTGAGAAATATTTGTTAGAAGAAAATTTACTTTCAGCTTCAAACTAACCTCGAGGTTATCCATAAATCATCACATCAGACATCCTTCTTCAAAATAGATTAACAAGGAAAACATTGATCTCCAAGAAATCAGTTGATAAAAATTTCTAAAAGCAAATTCTGCACAATCAAGTTCAGTTTTCAACATAAAAATTGTAAATAAAGATTGATTTTAATTAACTGGAAGCTTTTAATTGTAGTACAAAGATTATCGCACTACATTATGAGCTTAAAGGTAATGCTTTGTGTGTACAAAATAACGGAAAATTTACTATGACATCAAAAGTCTCTTTGGTTCTAGTGCATCTTTACAATTCGTCTTGGAATATTTAACGTTTGTCTTTTTTCTTATATAAACTTACCCACAGCTTCATTGCAACATGAATGAACCACATAAATTACTATTTTCAGCAATTACAAAATCCCTTGTTAATAGTGGCCTATTTACTTTGTCTGTCGTCCATGTGACATCGGTGAAAGTCAACTACGAAACAAGTATCACCTATTTGACAGTTCATCCGCAGGGCAGAAAGGGTGAAACATTAAAAAAACCTTATCGTTTACAATTCAGTTAATTTAAAAAAAAATTTAAATGTTTCATATAATTTTTTTAAGGAGAGTAGTGAGCCTTTTTTGAACCAAAAAATTTAGGTCAGAGACAGAATTAGAGATTTAGAATAGGTTCAAATATTCCTTTGAAAGTTGTTAATCGTGTGTTCCGGTAAAGCTTGCCCTGATGTACTTGCAATTAGTCATACCTTACGCTTTCTGAATGTTCTAGCCTTTTTTTGTTATAAACTAACTAAAACATCGTCAATCTACTCCCTACTGGAAGAGGGTGTATACAATTTTTACCAAGAAAGGAAAAATTTCCAGGTCGATTAAAAAATCGCTTTTCCGGAAGAGGTACATCTTTCTCAAAAACCCTCCATCATGTTAAAACGATAATTTTTCCCATTTTGCAGAACAACCAAAGCCAAATCATTTAGCGAAAACTATTTCCAAAGAACATGAAGGAACGGAGGAATTATACTTTTGGCATAAAAAATTTATAGCTTTGTCATAAGATTGTTGCAAAAAATTGAGGAATGACTTTTTTTTTTAAATACTATGAATTCTTATTGCACTAAGGAAAATAAAACACACAAAAATTTCTTGTAATAGACCGAATAGATAGACTAAATGGCAGGCTACAGGGAAAATTTGAGCTCGATCAAACAATTTCTCCTGATAATTTTAGCTTTTTCACTTGCCACTACGCTTTTCATCAAAATCCTTCATTATATTTAAACTTTTCTTTTTGTGGAACAATCACAATGAAACAATCGTAGTGAAGAATGTGTTAAAAAGAAATTCCCAGGAACAGAAAAATATTTTTTATGGATGGAAACAAATGCAAAATTTTGTCTCTATTTTATTTTAAAGAAAGAATGACAATTTCAGCAAAAAACCTAAGCTACCATTTTTTAATATACTAAGACAAATCAACCACAAAAAAATTGGGTGTGTCAGATTTTGGTAAATTTTTAACAGGAAACATTTAAGGTTGATCAGAAAATCGTTTCTCTGAGTTTTTCACTTTTCGGTACACTTTTGGCTAAAATCCTTCACCATATTTAAACAATTGTTACATAAAAATCCCCTACTACATACAAAATCATGTAGGAGAGGAGCAATACATTTTTTGAAGAACAAAGGTTTAAAACTTTATCACAACTAAGGTTGTTGTCAAAAATTAACGAGTTCTATTTTTAAATAGCCCTAAATACGAATTTTTAGTCGATGAAGAAAATAATCAAAAAATAAGGTTGGTTGTACTAGACCACTTAGTTTTCGAAAATAGGCGAAAAATTTAAATTCCATCAGAAAATCGCTTCCCTTAAAAAGTTGAATTTTCTCAAATTTCGGTACACTTTTCTCCAAAATTCTTCAACATATTGAAACCATAAGTTTTTCATTTGATAAAATCATCAAAAGTTAAAAAAATGTATTGAAGAATGTTTTTTTAACCTGCAGTAACGGAGAAATAAATAGATGTTCTACATTGTCACAAATTTACGTTCTCACTAAAAATTAACCAATCAATATTTTTTTTAAAAATCCAGATAGAAATTGTTAATATAATAAAGAAATTATACCAAAAAATTGCCTGTAATGATTCAAAGAGATTTTGACAGGCAACAGGGAAAATTGAGCTCGATCAGAAATCCTTTCATCATATTTAATCAATATTTTTTTCATCTTGTAGAAAGATCAAAGCCAAACACTCTTTTAGAGCATTTTTATTTAAAAACATGTAGTAGCGAAGAAATAAATTATTTTGTATAAAAATGTGTCTAAACATTAACAATTTTAGATTGTTACTAAAAATCAACGAATCGCTATTTTTTAAAAACGTAGTAGCTTCAAATTTGTAGTATAATGAGGAAATTAGATTTTTAAAAAAGATTGCTTATAATAGATTAAAAAAATGTAGTAAATCGGCAGACAACAGGAAAAACTGGATCAAAAAACCGCTTCTCCTGTTGCATTTTTTGACTTATTGATACATTTTCTCCAAAACATTTCATCATATTTAACCCGTCTTTTTTTCATTTTGTAGCTAGCATTTTTTTAATAAAATATGTAGGAGCGGAGAAATAAATTATTTTGCATAAAAATAGGTGTAAAATTTTATCACAAATTTACGTTATTACTAAAAATTAACGAATGACTAGTTTCAAAAATCCAATCTACGAATTGGTAGCAAACCAAGAAAAATAAGAATAAAAATATTGGTAATAAAATAGTACCAAAAATGGCAAATTTTTTCTTTGGACATTATACGCAACTCTTCCACACGTGGCTATGGCAGGAATATGTTCCTAATTCAATTTTACGTTTATACATTCATGATTTTGAAAAAAACAGTTTTAAAGCTAATAATATACAGTATATGATTTACAAACTACAATTGGGAAGACGGCAGGTAAATAACCTCGACGTCCTCCCACAATTCACGCTAATAAATACATTCATACGAGAAGAACCTTTCAAGCTATATGTACAAATGTAAGTTGGGTAATCGCCGTGGATTTAATATTACTCGGTGACTCGTCCACCTAGCGTTCATTCATACATAACTAACCTACCTAAATCCACAGTTCCATGTGGTACTCTATATTCCTCCGCAGACCCGTCCATTCAGACGTTTGCGCTTATAAATACATTCACAAATAGGAGTAGTCACCGGGTTTTTTTTATTACTCCGGTGCCATATTCCATTTCATATCACAAACATATATTAAATTGGGGGGGGGGACGTCGGTGGCCGCAACAGTTTAGGCATTGACACGGCGCTAATCACTGTAAGGTAAAGGTCCAGGGTTCGAATCCAGCTGCCCTAAATTAGAACTCGACATCCTTACAAATAAGCTTTTTTTTTCAAAAACACCGGCACCCTGATGGCTGATATGACCTCTGCTGCTGTGAACCCTCGTAAAAATAAAAATAAATAAATAAAATTAATATATTAACTTAGGCTATTTTGGCAGCTATGTGACGTACTCGATATTCCGTCCCAAATTCGCCCCACTCGACGTAATAACGGAAAGCCACTTATATAGGGATTCCTATATGCAACCATAAACAAACCATAATTTACCTATGCAGGCACTGTTAGGGCCTAAATTTTTTCTGCCAACATAAGATATGTTGCATTTTTTAAGGTATTCTTGCTGTAGTTTACAGTCAGATATATGTTTTGAAGTGACTCCTTCCCAATTCCGTTTTTTTTATCGGGGCTACCAACAGTGAAGTCATTTCAGCCCCCACTCACTGCTATGACCGATGGGGTACTCGATATTTCATCAATAATTGAATTATTCACAAATTTAATTTAATATATATACATAAATAAAATATATAGATTTTTTACAATTAAACATACCCACATAACATGTATACACATGCAATATATACAGTATTTGTACTATCTTTATGTCAGAACTCATGTCTGCTCGCTCCCTGTAAAGGGCCAAGCTAAATTCTTATTATTGCTATTATTTCCATTTCTTATATTTTGTATTAGATAATTTATTTCACTTAGTTCACTATATGCAACGACAAACGTTTGTTAATTCAAGTGCCAGATTTCTTAAACTCTCTGTGACCTTATTCTTAGGGGACCCTCGATCAAGAATAAAGTATTTTTTCTTTCTCTCTGTTCATTTCAATTTAATGGAAAATAAAATTCCAAGGGCTGTGCTTGGAATCCAGAACCGCTAGCGTGTGAATTATGAGTCTGACGTCCTAACCACTTGGCCACCGAGGTCCCTTATAGTAGGCTGAGTTTTTTGGTTTATCAAGTGTTTGAACCGGGTATCGTTTTATTTATTTATTTTTACTGACCAGAATTACACTAAATATTTAATTCAATTTGGACATGTTGCTTGAATGTCTAAAACTGGTGTACAATAGTAATTGTTTTTAAAGAAATGTATTTCGGAGTTCCAACAAAGTACGGTAAACTTTATCAACTAAAAGTTTCTATTGTTTCCTCAGTTGTGGGCCAGTAGAAGATTTTTTCTACAGAACAGTTGAACACTTTTGGTTGCAAGCAGGTAGTTTTTTATCTTTCGGAGGTCATTCTTCTTTTTCATGTTGATTGGTATTCAGGTTTGGGTACGCTTGGTACACAGTTGTATGTTAAAGGTCTTGAATAAGCCTTCGATGAAAGGCAATCACCCCTTTGTTTTGGCCTGGACATGACGGGTTTCTGTTGCATTCTGTAAATCTAACTAAAATAAATTGAAAATTGTGAGAAGAAAAAAACATAAATACATTTTTTTTTATTATTAGGAGTTTCTGAAATGACCGATATATTTGTATTTTATAGTATAAAACAATTTCCTTTGATTATTCGTTG